GGTCAGTGTCAACACATTCATTTGCCCCCAGCAATTGATTGCATCCCACTTTTCATTTGAGTTATAAGATAAATTATGACAAATAGTTCAACAGCTACATGTTTAACCCTTTACACCCCAACATTATAGTATGCATATTCTTCATACAGTTCTCCCCACATATCCTAAGGTAACGACAATAAGAATTTGTATAACAATTAAGAGCTTCTTTGCTTGGTGATCATTTCCTTTTTTCTCAAGGGTTCAAGGGTTATGGAGTAATGAGAAATTAGATGTTAGTCACTCTTAAGGGTTAAGGTGGGTGAGGATCAGTTTGCAGAGTATAGCAGTGCATGCACAAGTTCCCTTTTAAAAGTCAATTGCATGCCAAAATTGCTGCATTGTGTCAAGATCTGCCATACTCTGCAGCCAGAGATGAGGTTGAGGTCTCCTCATAAAAACCTGGACAACTGGGCCACTTTTTTTTTCAGAGATCTTGCCTTACCGATGTTTATTTTGTCAAAATTTTTGTGATGATTTTGATTTGTTTTTTCTTACTTGCAACAATAGAGATCTTACTACTACTGTGGGATCCCACCCGGGATTATGGAACATCCCGGGTGGGATCCCACCCGGGATTATGGAACATCCCATGTGGGATCCCACCTGGGATTATGGAACATCCCAGGTGGGATCCCACCCGGGATTATGGAACATCCCGTGTGGGATCCCATCCGGGATTATGGAACATCCCGTGTGGGATCCCACCTGGGATTATGGAACGTCCCACATGGGATCCCACCTGGGATTATGGAACGTCCCACATGGGATCCCACCAATCCCTCTTGGCATCCCACCTGGTAAATCATATTGCAGGCGGGATTGCACCTGGGATCCTGCAAATCCCAGTTTGGACTCTGCCTAAAATTACAGATGGCTTCCAACTTGACATTTTAGGAAAAATCCTTAGAGGGATCCTGCCTATATAACACCAGAGACCACAGAGTTATAAAATATACCAAAAAGAATATCTTACCAATCCCTTTGGAACCCAATCCTTTAAATTAAGAGTGCGAAACTTTCTAGGTGAGCAATAGACCCTGTCAATCCACTAAGGAACCAAAGCTTTCCAACTATATAGCTGTAGAATATACTGACACCTTTAGTGGTATCCATTATCTTACCCAAGCTGTTGATCGTACATGATTCAAATATTACATGAATACAGGGACTAAATGTGATAAAGATCTCACAATTTATTTGCAGTTTCACATTTAGCAAGCATGTGTTTAATGTTGTTTCATTTAAAAAATTAGCAACTGAAAATTTTATAAAGAATAACAAAACAAAACTTAACATATTACTTTTTCTAGATGATTTATACAGTCCATTAACAGTGTTAAAGCTCAACATTTTAAAAATTGGCTGTATATGAAAGAATACAAGAAAAACAAAACCTTAATTCATGTTATAAAAAATTAGAAGAAGAAGCTAGTGATTAAAATTCTGATTTCTTATTATGAGACTGTCTATTTGGACTTGTTGTTGGACTTATTTAAATTTCTGCACTTATCGGCAATCTTTTGCTGGATTCCTGTTTTTCCTCCCCAGTTTTTTTCAACTTCCTCCTCAGTCCACTTGAATTGTCTTTTGAGTTGACCTTGAAATATAAAAGAGGTACAATTAAAATATTTCCAGGATATACAACTATGTACTTGCTTTTCTATGTCTAATGAAAAATATAACAAAAGGATCGAGAAGCCAAAAATAATTCAATTGCAACTTTTGCTGATTGTTAGCAAGGGTTTTCTTTAAGAATTGAAGCACATGTAGCAGGAAAATAGTATAGAGTAACAGGAGAATCGTAGAGAAAAAATTAACTTCAGGGATGCTATATACCATCAAAATTTAACCAGAGAATTCCTCATAGAGGCCAGAGAATTGTCCAGTCTTTAATACCTAATGAACACTCTCCCTTGAGTTTTAGCATTTACCAAGTTCCATGAGCACTCACTCAGCCCTTGATCAAAACTTAGTAAATGTCACATTCAACAAGTGTAAAAAATTTATTAAGTTTCATGGTGCCTAATTTTTCAAGTAAATAATTTCACAACCTCAATTGTGTAGAACATTTGAATGGAATCATATGGAACACATAAAAACTCTTAGCTAAATATTATGCAGTATATAGTTACATGTACCTTTTATAGCTGCTAGAATCATTGGGTCCAAAGGAGACTTTCCATTTGTTCCCTTTACATTGGAGATGCGCTGAACATCTTTTGTGCAAGTTCCAAACAACTTTTACAAATATTCTGAAATGAACAGGCTTTTGTTCCTTCCTGACTTTCAAGGAGCAGAATGCAAAAAGGAAAACTTTAAGGACTTTCAGACCTAGGTTCAAGGTTCTCTAGATGCATAGCAAACCTTGACTATCATATGCTGTTTACCCATAACCCACAGTTAAATAATTAGAGTGTATGGTTTCAGAGACTAAATTAGTGAATTCTTTTTCTGTTTTGCAGAGAGGAGTGGGATGAACTGAATGTATTGTTGGTTGGATTTGGTCAACAGACATGTCTTCCTGTAAGTCCAATGTGCGAGTTCTGTCTTAACTCCAAGATCTGTCCTGAAGGTCGAAGAAGGAGCAGAGGAAAAGCTGAGGAGGAAACTAAGAAAAAACTTTCACCCAGAAAGGATAGAAAGGACACTAAGACTTACGGGGAAATTAAGTTTTACTTTAACATAGGCTGTCCTTGTCTTTAGCCTTGGGCCATGTTGTGCAAAGCTGGGTTGAGGTAGCCTCATGGTTAGTGTGAAATCTGATATCAGATCTTAACCCTCAAACTCCCAGAAGTGATTCACATGTAACTTCTCCTTACAATATCTGTGCACTATCCAGCAAACATGTAATGAGAAGGTAGAAGTTGTTATCTTGATCTAACACCAAATTCTTGAAACTAATTTACAAGGAAATGTTAAGCAGATAGAGGAGGAAATTAATAATCAGATCTTGGGAGTTATAGGATTAAAGCTATAGAAGAAAATTCATTACAATTTGTTTGTCTACGATTTGATGATTGGATGCCTTTTAAAGAATAAAGAAAATTAGTCAAAGAAGGCTTTTTAACAAAGCAGTAAGGAAACCTGGATTAAAATTTAACCCTGGGTTAGCACTAATCAGCCTTCCAACAACTGAGCCCTGGTTAGCATTGGTCCTCAAACCATGTCTCAAGACTGGTTCCAACTGTGTAAAATAAATGTACAGGTTCATGATACAATGGATAAAAGGCGAGATGGAAGCAAAATCAAAGACTGTGAGACCTAGGTAACAAGGTGCTTTTTTTGTGAAAAATTTTTTATAAGTGGCACCCCTTCCTTGAAGGGAGAGATCTGCCATTGAATTTGATTTAGAAATTAGTTTATGCTTAAACGGTGGATGGCAATGAAGGCGCGCTCTGATTGGCTATGCAAACTCCTTTGCTATTCGCCTCGCAACAACCCCCCAACAGCCTACCCAACAGGGTCTACCGCCGGGTTCAGGGCAACATCTCCCTGTATCTCCAGCAACAGAGACTAAAGACCCCCCTCAGAAACCTAATATCTCCATAGCGGTGGCTCCAAGCGGTATCGTTTTGTCGTGGTACATGGCTCTTGAGGAGAGACACGCGCCTATAATGAACTATCAACTGTTTGCGTTTTAGGACGGCGGTACAACGGAGAACCCTCACCAGTGGAAGAAGATTGGAGTTGTCAAGGCGTTGACGCTTCCTATGGCTTGCATTCTGACTCAGTTATCACCCGGCAATAAGTACCACTTGGTGCGTGCTGCTGATGTTAATGGACGACAGGGTGAGTGCAGTGAGGCTTGCACTATAACTCTCAAATAAATCATTTTGGCAATAAGGGAAACTGTCTTGTACAGCTCTTTATCGGCACTAATGGTACTTACGTATAAGAAACTTAGTGTGGGATCTTCAAGTTAGATTTATACCCCAAGAATACAACGGCAATCAATGATAGCCAATCTGTACAGTACTGAACTTGGAGTATTTGTGAATCGAAATTTAATATATGTCTTCTTTGCCGTTGTTATACGCCGCCGAAGCTAAACGTATTTACATCTTTTTACTTTTGGAGGAAAGAATCGCGCTCTCAGATGCTTGAAATTTGTTTTATTACGCCAAGGGTATGAATTAATCTATTTTCTACAGCATTGATAGTTACTGATTTGTAGATTTTGTTTGCTTTTAGAAATGGGAGATTTTAAGAATGTGTTGCCGACGTTTTTTTTTTTTTTTTCTTTTTTTCGTCGCCGCATACTGACTGGCAGAACGAACTATCGATCAACCCTTTTGATGTGTTATCTTCAACAATGGGGGATCATTATAAGATGGTGTGGGTGTTGGGATTTTAAACTCGATCGCTTGATTTTTATTTTCAAGAAAGTAAAAGCCTTTTTCACTAACACGGCTATAAACGGCACGGCAGACCATTTGTAAATAACAGTTTTTGAAACATGTGGTTGGCCTGTGACTTCAAGGTTTGCTTTTGATCGCTTCACTTTGTTTTGGTCTCTTGGTGTCTTGAAACAGGATTAGACATAATGGTCTGTTTATAATGTGTGACATCTCTTCGTGGGGTGCTAATAAAACATCACCATTGGAAGGAAAGGTTTCACATTTCATTTCAAGTTGAAGAAGGTGATTTCATGTCGATATTTAAAACCTAGTGCAAGACTAAATTATGTGTCAATATATTATTATGCTAATAATATATCAATGGATTTCAGTCACCTTCGCAGCTGTTTTTGGTTGTAACGCCACGCAGCACTGGGCGTTACATGACAACTTGAGTTTCCATTGTAAATTCTATGAAGGCTACATTAGTTAGTGCCCAGATCTCTTCGTCGAGTTCCTTGAATCCCTAAAGGTGACGTATGGTGACTACAGCAGTTTTGTTCAGTTATGCCTTACTTTCATCTCAGAGAGATTTAGGTAAGGCTCAGTAGCCCAAGGAAGCCAGAATGGACCATCCCTTGCATTGAGATTAACCTCGCCACATTGGTTTGCCCACCATGCACCAGTAGGAAAACACTTGCCAGGGTAGTTGTCATTATCTTGGTCTGGTGTGCCGAATTTCATCCCTCGGATGTTCGATTTAGGATCTGTATTTCCATAAAACCCATTTGTGATGTTTCCTTCGTACGAAGTCATGTCGCATCGATACTTTTCTGTTTCGTCAGCTACCCGAAACCCACCATATTTGGCATACCCCTTTATGCCGTTGGTTCGGTGCAGATCTATTCGAAGAATGCTGTCTGAAGAGGCGATTCGGTGCAAGTTATCGTTTCCAAGCCAGAATTCTTTGGACAAGTCGCCAAAGCCTACTCGATACTCTACCCACGTTCGTCTAAAGCTTTGCTTGTATGGACGGGAACGTCTCTGAACCACAGTCCACCCACCTCCATCTGTGGTTTGGTCACAGTACACGTTTATGACCCCTTGACCATCTGGGTTGATTTTATAAATGCCACTCTGATTCGCTCCCAGGGTTTTCAGCTGCTGACAGCTTCTCACTGTGTGTGGATCAAAGGAAACATAATATTATAACATAATACGCAAATTTGAGTGTTCTTCTCTTCTATTTAGTCACGAGTTACCCACCTCCGCTGTGCTCTTCGCAGTACACTCCTTTATAATCCTGTCGACATTCACACGTGAACATCCGGGGATTCCAACACGTGTCAACACATGTTCCACCATTTTGACATAAAGCCGAGGTGCAAACAGGTCTATTTCCTCCCTGGGTGAAAATGGGAAGAATGGTTAAACGTACTTTCATCCTTTTATAAGGCGAAACTTACCATGACCATACCTTATTAGGTTGAAATATATTCTCGTTCTTAGAGCTAACGTTTCTCTTTCGAAATGAGTATAGAAGTTTGATATTTTCAAAGTTTTGAGTAGGAATTAATCTTTCCCTCTCCTGTTTTCCTTCAAATTTCGTTTCCGGTGTATATCGAGCAACGATTTTGTCTCTATTTGAGCAAATTATATTTACCCAGGATTTCCTTCTAGAAAAAAAGCATTTTATGACATCAATTATGTCAATAACAAAATTCTCGAGAATGAGTGGTTCTTTTATCAGTAAAACAGCTCTTATTTGCGGCTTGATTGGCTGTTCCATGTCCAAATTGTTTGATTTCACCTGTCCAATTATAAGCACTTAGCAAACGTTAGCCAGTCAAAATGGAAAAAATATCTGAAGTGCATTAAGCATTCGATATTTCTAACAACGTTTAGACTTCCGACTTGAACTTTTGCTATATGAATCAATTCATGTGCGCATGTTTAAATTAAAGTTTTCATTCCTGCTCGTAATTTCAAATCATTCGCCCGATTGCTGCCTGAATTGTACTCTCGCCCACTGAGTTCCACCACATTTCAACTTGCTGTGTTTCGGGCTAGAAATGAAGGTCTTACAAACGCTTCTCTTTGTAAATGTTCAGTTTTAGGCAGCCATACCGTTCTCTGAGATAAAGGAATTTATTTGACCTCTCGATATGATTTTGACACCACCTTGCTCAGAAGATGGAATTTGAAAACCGAAGACCTCAAAGGTTCCTGCGCTTGGTAGGTTTAGCACTGATGATTAAGTTTCTAACTGATGTGTAAATTTCTATGACTCACCATCTGTGTCGTTGGCTCGTAGTAAGTGACGCCTTTTCTTAAAACAAAGTCATCTGGGGCTGTCGCTTTTGATTGGTCACTTAATTCACATGTTTTCCCTGAGTTTGCATAATTAAACGATCGACAGCGTGCATCCCGTAGGCATTCCCACGTACAGTCTATCGGGCACGTGACAGTGTGCGTAGCAATCACGTGATTAACCAGAGTGTAGCCTACAACAGATGCAAACATATCGTCATATATGAGAGTTTTCTTCAAGATATATCTTACAGGAAACAAAAAGAGAGAAATCAAGAGGACATTGACGACTTGATGAAAATCGTAAAAAATTATAAGATATTAGGAACACTTTGATTGATTGAAAGCCTATCGTTCATTGTACTAGTAAACTTAGGGCTCCATTTTTAAAAGCTAGAAAGCGCACTTTCTATCATTTTCTTTAGGCGTCAGTGCACTTGGAACGTTGGTAATCATGCACCCTCGGGTCGTGATTTACAACTTTTCCTTGTGTTCTCCTAACATCCCGTGTGAGTTTTTGCGTCTGAAAATCGACAGGAAGTGAAAAGTATTGCTTAGATATGAACATATTTTTACGTGGAATTATTTTTCTCATGTTTCGAAAATTACTCAGTCTCAGTTTTCGTAAATTTCCGGCCAGTTCTATCTTAGGCTGTTCGCAACTCTTCGATACACAACAAGCGAATACACAAGGCTTCAAAGTTGTTGGTTCTTAATTCTGGAAACCCCTATAATTAAGATTCCCACTCATCAGACGATTTTATGCTCCGATCACAGCGAATTCGATCACCGGTCCTCCTATTCATCCTCATCGTCCTTGTTGGCCATGGTTTACTCAAGTTTGATCGTGTCTGGAACACGTTAACTTGACGTAGTGCAGTTTGAAGGTGAATAAAATTCCATCATTACTAAAAGTGACCATACAAATGAAAAGAGTTCATCTCTGAGATTTTCGAGCGAAGTTAACTTTATTCCATTACAGCTACAAGCAAAGCGATGTCGGAGAGGAATGCACGACACGAAAAGCCGAATTTCACAGCTTGAAACGAGCTCACGTTAAGAGAAAGATAACTGAATGCTTTGCTAGTTGAAGTGCTTCGACTCGCGACTCGGTATTAAAGTGTTTTTCGCTAAAATACGAAAATTTGTTTGTGTTGTAACTGATGAATTAAAGTCAGCGCACCACGATTACATTACCTCCAACCCCACTATTCAGTTAAATAATCTCGATAAATCTTCTCGGTTCACATTGGTTCTGCGTCAAGTTTTCTATATTTGTGTAGTCTAAGATCTATTTTTGCCATTATTTTCAGTGCACAAATTAAGTGTCTAAGTCAAGCTTTACCTTTTTCAGGATGTTCATATCTTCTTAAACAAGATAACCGACCAGGGTTCGACGTTCCTGTTAGACTTTGAGCTGAGGGACTTGCAAACTTCCAGCACAGGAGAAACTGAGAATGGAAGAGTAAAGTGAGTCGCTGCATTGTTTTCAAGTTACTTCCACTCGGCTTTTGCATTAGTTCACCATCAAGATAAAGTCGTGATAAGGAAGCTTTGACCTCAATTAGTCGCTGGTGCGTCAACTTGAAAATGAATAATATTCGAGTAAAAATAACTCTCATCCACAGATTTTTTATATGTTGGGTTTTAGAAACTTAGCAGGAGACTGGCGAATAACATTTATTATTAAAAGCTCGATCAACTTCAAAATCTGAAACACTTAGTAAGGATTCTCTTCTATTTCTATTGAAGAAAGATTAGACGGTTTAAGGGGGGAAAGTAAGTGTGCAAGATTTTCTTAGGAAGACATTGATAACATTTCACGACATTCGTTCACTGACTGAACCAGTTCGTGTGCTAATTATAGCATTCTCTTTTTTCTCAATTGCCATTAATTAATTAACTTAACAGTTTTCTGGGTTTTGTGGTGCTCTAGAATTTAAAACTAAATAATAGAAGTCTTGAATTTGAAATTAGATAAAGAAAGAATTTAGTTAAAACTAGATAAAATTAGATAAAAACCGATTGCATCCATATAGACAAAACATGAAGGTTTTATCTGATCTTTATTGTGGGTTCAGTTCGCAGCTATGTTGACCCTTGAACTCCCAAGATCTGATTGTTAATTCTCCCCTCTAGCTGCTACACATTTCCTAGTAAACAAGTCACGAGAATTTGGTGTAAGATCAAGACTATTAACTTCCACATGATAAGCTTGAGTATTCTCATTACATGTTGGCGGGTAATGTATGGATGTTATAGGGAGAAGTTACATGTTAGTCACTTGTGGGAGTTAAAGGGTAAAGCATATTGATGTGATCCGCGCGTTTCGTAACCTCTTATCAATCTCTGAAGAGTTTAAGTCCTGACCTTACTTTGTCTACTTTCAGGAATAACACTTAAGCGATCGTTCAAAACGCAAGCATAGCGTACAAATTTTGAAAAGAAAAACTACATATAACTAAAATTCTGCTTTTATTAAAATTTAAAGAAATAACGTGAGTCAGCTCTCCTCTACATAAATTATTAAGTACTTACCAGGCGAGATATACATATAAATTTGAAGTCCCGATGCGAAAAAGTACTGACCCGCAATGTAAGAATTGTAGAGACTGTATGGGGTATTCATTTTTAACCTTTATCTATAAATGCGCGAGGACCAAAACATGACGGTCCTTGGGAAACTGTTCGTTATTGCACGTCCAGTTCCCAGCTATATTAAGCATACTGAGGTTAAAAGTTAGTTTATTAGGCAATCTCTTTTATTCACCCGCTACGTAACCTCTCAGCAATAAAAAGTTTACATCCCGAGCTTGGTGCTTCTTCCTGCTTGGGTTCAGGAATAACGTTATTACTATCGGGTAAATATCGGAATAATACTGACCCGCAACGTAGGAATTGTATAGTCTGTAAGGGGTATATTCTCTTTATACATAAATACGCAAAAGCGCTAAAGGACGCTAAACCTAAATTTGAATCCTTGTGAAATAAATACTGATTGCTTCCAAACTGCACGCAAACTCCAAATTATGAGCTTGATGATTCGTCCTGTTCCTTCAGGAATAACATTAACATCCTACCGATCGACTAAACATCGCTTAAAACCCAATCTTAGCATAAATAAAACTTTTAGAAGGAAAAACTTACAAATAGATAAAAATTGTGCTTTTATATTAAAGTTTGAAGAAATAAGATGAGACAGCTCTCTAAATAAATTATTTAGTATATACCGGGTGAGACATATTTGCAAATGCCTCATGCTAACACGGAAGAAAACAATACCTATTTTGACTTTTGAACTCCATAATAAATTATTTACAGCGAGATGGACAAACACCTTTGGAGTTAACACTGGGGAAGAGAAAAGACAAATCAAAGCGCCATAGGAGATTGATGGAAATAGTTATATCTCGTGTAGTTAGCCTTTTTTTAACTTATTTTTTCAGTCACTATTTAACTGAATCGGACGAACATGTAGAAACTAAGCAGCGCAATCTTCATGTCAATTATCATTAAATCATGATCTAAGGAGGACTCCCTTCCAATCTCATTCATTTCATCTAAACCGCCCCATCTAAACGTTAATTAGTTTCTGTTAAAACCATTGATTTAGTTTGTTGTTTTAATATAGTAAAATTTTGATGTTTCATTATTTTCATGTTTGCCACTAAAGTTCGTGTAAATTTTAATCATGAACACTTCTTAAGCTCAAAATTTTCAGTAAAATTTCATCAGACGATATTTGATGCCAAACAAGAGATTGTAAAGTTTCTATTCTCTTGTTGATGCCTATTCTTTGTTCTTCAGTGTGGAGAAAATTCAATGGAGAGGATGTGCTGATAGGGAATTAGTTTTATTCTTCGGCAAATGTCCGGCTTTTTGTAGTGACTAATTACGTAATCAGCTGGTCGAGTGACATCACTTTCCCGCCAAAATCAGCGTTCCATGGCGAAATCGGGGAGGACTGCTCACCATAATACTGATAATGGCAGACATGAGGGAGACTGACGATTCAAACATATGATCAGTTTGATTTCCAGGATGAGTGCTTCCCCGTATTTCACCTCAAAAAGAAAGACAAACACCATCGGTGGTTAGAGAAGCAATTGCAGCTTTTTCAACGAACCAAAAGGAACCAAGAAGGCACATCAAAATCGAATACGAGAAGCGACATGAAGAAGACTCGTCAAGGGACGACAAGAAAACTGAAGATGTTGCGGCCAAAAAGCGTAAAAAAGACACATCCACGGAACAGACACAAGGTTCAACTTGGCAGCCTCCTAACTGGAGAGAGCAGCTTGCTAATATTCGTGAAATGAGAAAAACACGCGATGCCCCAGTTGATTCACAAGGATGCGAGAAGACAGCTGATGAGAGCCAGTAACCAGAGGTGAGAGGAGATGAAATTGGCGATCCAGTGGGGTGGGGTAAGGGAAGCCGACACAGTGGTGTCCTCGGAGCCAACTATGCTTATTTATGAGAAGTAGAAACGTTTTGGGTAAAATTTCTGTACAGCCCCATACTATTGAAAAACAAATCTGTTTTCCTAATGGCAATGTATTGTTTTTGTCATTGTTTTCTCTATCTAAGAACTGAATGCATAATGTAGAATGGGGCTGTGCAGAAATTTTACTCCTTTTTGTTTGGTCAGTGTCAACACATTCATTTACCCTCAGCAATTGATTGCATCCCTCTTTTCATTTGATTTATAAGATAAATTACGACAAATAGTTCAACAGCTATATGTTTAACCCTTTACACCCCAACATTATAGTATGCATATTCTTCATACAGTTCTCCTCACATATCCTAAGGTAACGACAATGAGAATTTGTGTACCAATCAGGAGCTTCTTTGCTTGGTGATCATTTCCTTTTTTCTCATGACCTTGATGTGTGATTCAGGGGTTACAGAGTAACGAGAAATTAGATGTTAGTCACTCTTAGGTGTCAAAGGGTTAAGGTGGGTGAGGATCAGTTTGCAGAGTATGGCAGTGCATGCACAAGTTCCCATTTAAAAGTCAATTGCATGCCAAAATCACTGCACAGCATGAAGATCTGCCATACTCTGCAGCCTGAGGTGAGGTTGAAGCCTCCTCATTAGAACCTGGACAACTGGGCCAGTCTATTTTCAGAGATCTTGCCTTACCGATGTTTATTTGTCAAATTTTTGTGATGATTTTGTTCTTTTTTTCTTACTTGCAACAATAGAGATCTTCATGTATGAGCTACTGGGATAAAAGATGTAAGGATACACCCTCATCCTGGCAACCATTCTTAAATTTCCCATTTAACCCTTTAAACCCAAAGGATGAGTAACATCTAATTTCTCCCTACAATATTACTCCTGAAACACACATTAAGGTCATGAGAATTAAGGAAATGGTCATCAGGAAAGAAACCTTTTGATTGGCAAACAAATTCTCCTTGTCAGCACCTTAGGAAATGTATAAAGAACAGTGTGGAGAATATGCATACTGATGTTAGAGTGTAAAGGGTTAAAGAGTAGCCAGTCAGAAATCTTGCCATTCATATAGGGTTGAAATTTCCCTTCTAATCAGAAAACAAAGTCTACTGATTAAGCTTGCCACATCATCAGACTCAACTGAAGAGTTTGTTCAGAAGAAAGAGGGTGCTTACAAATATTAGTATAATTCTGCCATTGTCCAATCACAAACATTGAAAACTAATTGACTATGCTGCATACTATCTGGAATTTACGAAGAGAATTTGTTAGACAATCAGGAGCTTCTAGAATTGGACATCATTTCCTTTATTTTCATGATTTTAAGTATTTGATGCAAGGGTGAAACTGTCAGGAGAAATTAGAAGCCAGTCACTCTTAGGGGAAAGTGGGTTGACCGTCCAGTATCAATGGTTCATCTCTCATCACTTTTACTGACAGTCTGATATCAAGTACTTATCTCCCTCATGCTGTCAAGTCAAACAAAAGACCAAGTTACTTTTGCTGCAATGGAAAAGTAAAAGGCTTATGGATTAACAATAGAGAACATTCTTACAACATTAACAAGCAAAATTGGTGAACTTATCTACCCTGTTGGCTTCTGGAAGGTGAGTAAATTTTTATGTTAGTTAGTTTGATTTTGACAGAATTTACTCACTAGAAAAGTAACTTGCAGAATAGTCTGAAGGCCTTCTCTCCCCTTATTAACTAAAAGTTTTGAATATTTTTTAAAAACTTACTAGTAGGGGCGCATTTTAGAATAGCTACTGATAATAATTTTTTCATCATCAGGTATGTTAAACAGGGTTCAGTGGGGTCTTATATTAGCATGTTACTGAATCAAGGGGGCTATTCCAAGTTGATTTATTATTTTCACTTGTCACTTTTTCGCCTACAAAAGGGGGTAGATTGGTTGATATCCTCCATACAACCCTCTGAGTTCCCCCCCCCCCTTTATTATAAAAACCATTAGCAGAAGTCTAGAAGTAGAAAAAGAAACAACAAAAATGGTTCAAAATCTGACACTGAACTCCCTTTTTAACTTGTAACACTTTAACTCGCAGAGGTGATCAATATGAAACTTTTCCTAATAATAGGTAATTTAGTGTTAACAACTGAGTTGAAAACATCAATTGGCCGGCGTAAAGAGTAAAAAAGCTGACGTTTTGAGCGTTAGCCATTCATCAGAGCAATTGGAGGAATTGTGGGTTGTGTGTGGGTTGTGTGTGGGTTTATATGCAGAAAGTGGAACTACACTATTGTTCTGTCACCATATTCTGACCACTTTCTGCAAACTTCCAGGTGTGGGCCCAAAAATGGTGCATATTACCATGAACATGGCTTCAGGGCACAAGTGACTGGAATTAGAGTTGATACTCATGTTCATAGAATTTCTAACAGACCGGGATGGGTCAAAAAACGTACTAAACTGCCAGAGAAAACTAGAATTGCTGTAGAAAGCTGGTGAAAAGTTATTTTGAATGATACCAAGTTACAAAAATTCTCTTCACCAGGTGTTTTGCTTCTTCCTTGCCAAAGCCTTTTCACTCACTGCCACATTTTAGAGACCCAGCTATTGTGCAAGTTCCAAACAACTTTTACAAATATTCTGAAATGAACAGGCTCTTGTTCCCTCCTGACTTTCAAGTAGCAGAATGCAAAAAGGAAAACTTTAAGGATTTTCAGACCTAGGTTCAAGATTCTCTAGATGCATAGCAAACCTTGACTATCATATTCTGTTTACGCATAACCCACAGTTAAATAATTAGAGTGTATGGCTTCAGAGACTAAATTAGTGAATTCGTTTTCTGTTTTGCAGAGAGGAGTGGGATGAACTGAATGTATTGTTGTTTGGATTTGGTCAACAGAAATGCGTTCCTGTAAGTCCAATGTGCAAGTTCTGTCCTAACTCCAAGATCTGTCCTGAAGGTCGAAGAAGGAGCAGAGGAAAAGCTGAGGAGGAAACTAACAAGAAACTTTCACCCAGAAAGGATGGAAAGGACACTAATACTTAAGAGAAAATCAAGTTTTACTTTAACTTAGGCTGTCCTTGTCTTTAGCCTTGGGCCACGTTGTGCAAAGCTGGGTTAAGGTAGCTTCATGGTTAGTGTGAAATCTGATATCAGATCTTAACTCCCAAAAGTGATTCATATAACTTTTCCTAACAATATCCGTGCACTATCCAGCAAGCAGGTAATGAGAAGGTAGAATAAAGAAAATGATCCAAAAAAGGCTTTTTAACAAAGCAGTAAGGAAACCTGGATTAAAATTTAACCCTGGGTTAGCACTAATCAGCCTTCCAACCACTGAGCCCAGGTTAGCATTGGTCCTCAAACCATGTCTCAAGACTGGTTCCAACTGTGTAAAATAAATGTACAGGTTCGTGATCCATTGAAAAAAATGCGAGAAGGAAGCAAAATCAAAGACTGTGAGACCTAGGTAACAAGTTGCTTTTTTTGTGAAAGATTTTTTATAAGTGGCACCCCTTCCTTAAAGGGAGAAATCTGCCGTTGAATTTGATTCAGAAATTAGTTTATACTTAAACGGTGGATGGCAATGAAGGCGCGCTCTGATTGGCTACTCAAACTCCTTTTATCCTTTGCTATTCGCCTTGCAAAGCTATTCACAATTATCTATAAGACCCCAACAGGGTCTACCGCCATGTTCAGGGCAACATTCCCGTGTATCTCCAGCAACAGAGACTAATGACCCCCCTCCGAAACCCAATGTCTCCATAACGGTTGCTCCAAGCGGTATCGTTTTGTCGTGGTATATGGCTCTTGAAGAGAGACACGCGCCTATAATGAACTATCAACATTTTGCGTTTCAGGACGGCGGCACAACGGAGAACCTTCACCAGTGGAAGAAGATTGGAGTCGTCAAGACGTTGACGCTTCCTATGGCTTGCACTCTGACTCAGTTATCACCCGGAAACCACTTCTTGGTACGTGCTACTGATGTTAATGGACGACAGGGTGAGTGCAGTGAGGCCTGCACTATTACTCTCAAATAAATCATTTTGGCAATAAGAGAAACTGTCTTGTACAGCTCTTTATCGGCACTATTGGTACTTACGTATAAGAAACTTAGTGTGGAGTCTTCAAGTTAGATTTATACCCCAAGAATACAACGGCAATCAATGATAGACAATCTGTATAGTACTGAACTTGGAGTATTTGTGAATCGAAATTTAATATATGTCTTTTTTGCCGTTGTTATACGCCGCTGAAGCCAAACGTATTTACATCTTTAACTTTTGGAGGAAAGAATCGCGATCTCAGATGCGTGAAATTTGTTACGCCAAGGATATGAGTTAATCGATTTTACTGATTTGTAGATTTTGTCTGCTTTTAGAAATGAGAGATTTTAAGAATGTGTTGCCGTCGTTTTTTTTTTTTTTTTTTGTCGTCGTATAATGACGGGTAGAACGAACTATTGATCAACCCTTTTGATGTGTTATTTTCAACAATAGGGGATCATCATAAGATGGTGTGGGTGTTGGGATTTTAAACTCGATCGCTTAAATACTTAGGCTGAATGTGAAATCGCGACGTCAACCTGTTTCCCAGTCCTCTCCAGCATGAACCTTGAGGGAAAACAGATAGAACCCTGGAGAGGAGGCCTTACCCCCTTCCTTTTTTTTTTTTTTTTTTTTTTTTTTTCAAGTCATAGAAAGCTCCCCCGAACTTCGTTTGACTTGAGTGAAATCTTTCAGTTCTACCATTCGTGAACATCTAACTTGCAATACTTTCTTTTTTTGTCTAATTTTTTTTTGCTCGACAATACGTTGAAGGGAGGAGATCAGGTCCGCGGAGGATTTAGCAGCCAAAATATTCCGACGCCCCTCAAAACAATTCAGAAAGCATTACTTTTATTTTGCCTTTCTCTAACGACTGTGGTAACTAAGTCTGTAAAGAAACATACTGGCCTCTTTTACGGATAGTTTTAACAGTCCTTCAGGAAATGTGCTTTTTGTATGTACATACTTCCAGCATCGATGGCAACAACTGGCGTCGCACTTGTTACATATTCGTGGGCTATTAAATTACTATGATATAACGATATGCTTAAAAGTTCAGGGAAGTTGCCAAGGCTTTATTTTACAAACACTTTTTTATGATTTTTATTTTCAAGAAAGTAAAAGCTTTTTTCACTAACACGGCTATAAAACCCGACCATTTGTAAATAACAGTTTTTGAAACATGTGGTTGGCCTGTGACTTCAAGGTTTGCTTCTAATCGCTTCACTTTGTTTTGGTCTCTTGGTGTCTTGAAACAGGATTAAACATGATGGTCTGTTTATAATGTGTGACATCTGTTCGAGGGGTACTAATGGAACATCACCATTGGAAGGAAAGGTTTCACATTTCATTTCAAGTTGAAGAAAGTGATTTCATGTCGATATTTAAAACCTAGTGCAAGACTAAATTATGTGTCAATATATTATTATGCTAATAATATATCAATGGATTTCAGTCACCTTCGCAGCTGTTTTTGGTTGTTACGCCACGCAGCACCGGGCGTTACATGAGAACTTGAGTTGCCATTGCAAATTCTATGAAGGCTACATTAGTTAGTGCCCAGATCTCTTCGTCAAGTTCCTTGCATCCCTGAAGGTGACGTATGGTGACTTTTTTTGTGTAGTTTTGTTCAGTTATGCCTTACTTTCATCTCAGAGAAATTTAGGTCAGGGTGAGAAGCCCAAGGACGCCAGACCGGACCATTCACTGAATTGAGATTAACCTCGCCACATTGATTTGCCCACCATGCACCATCAGGAAAACACTTTCCAAGGAGGTTGTCATTGTCTTGGTCTGGTGTGCCGAATTTCATCCCTCGGATGTTCAATTTAGGATCTGTATTACCATAAAACCCATTTCCGATGTTTCCTTCGTACGAAGTCATGTCGCATCGATACTTTTCTGTTTCGTCAGCTACCCGAAACCCACCATATTTGGCATATCCCTTTTGGCCGTTGGTTCGGTGCAGATCTATTCGAAGAATGCTGTCTGAAGAGGCGATTCGGTGCAAGTTGTCGTTTCCAAGCCAGAATTCTTTGAACAAGTCGCCAAAGCCTACTCGATACTCTACCCACGTTCGTCTAAAGCTTTGCTTGTATGGACGGGAACGTCTTTGAACCACAGTCCACCCACCTCCATCTGTGGTTTGGTCACAGTACACGTTTATGACCCCTTGACCATCTGGGTTGATTTTATAAATACCATTCTGATTCGCTCCCAGGGTTTTCAGCTGCTGACAGCTTCTCACTATACATGGAACAAAAGAAAAATAATATGAGACTTGTTGCTGAAAGGAAATTATCGCAAATTTAAGTGTTCCTCTCTTCTATTTAGTCACGAGTTACCCACCTCCGCTGTGCTTTTCGCAATACACTCCTTTATAATCCTGTCGACATTCACACGTGAACGTCCGGGGATTCCAACACGCGTCAACACATGTTCCACCATTTTGACATAAAGCTGAGACGCAAACAGGTCTATTTCCTCCCTGGGAGAAAATGGGAAGAATGGTTAAACGTACTTTCATCCTTTTATAAGGTGAAACTTACCATGACAATACCTCATTAGGTTGAAATACATTCTCGTTCTTAGAGCTAACGTTTTTCTTTGATGGTGGTCTGTACCCTTAATTCAAGATGAGTATAGAAGTTTGATATTTCCAAAGTTTTGAGTAGGAATTCATCTTTCCCTCTCCTGTTTTCCTTCAAATGAAATTTCGTTTCAGGTGTATATCGACCAACAATTTTGTCTCTATTTTAGCAAATTATATTTACCCGGGATTTCCTTGTAAAAAATAGGCATTTTATGACATCAATTATGTCAATAACAAAATGTTCGAGTATGAGTGGTTCTCTTATCAATAAAACAGCTCTTATTTGCGGCTTGATTGGCTGTTTCATGTCCGAATTGTTTGATGTCAACTGTTCAATTATAAAAATGTTAGCAAATGTTAGCCAGTCAAAATGGAAAAAATTTCTGAAGTGCATTGAGCATTGGACTTTTGCTATATGAATCAATTGCGTATGTGTAATTTAAAGTTTTCATTCCTGCTCGTAATTTCAAATCATTCTCCCGATTGCTGCCTGAATTGTACTCCTGCCCTACTACATTTCAACTTACTGTGTTTTCGGGCTAGAAATGAAAGTCTTATAAACGCTGCTCTGTGTGCATGTTAAGTTTTAGGCAGCCATACCGTTCTCAGAGATAAAGGCATTTATTTGACCTCTCGATATGACTTTGACACCACCTTGCTCAGAAGATGGAATTTGAAAAACCGAAGACCTCAAAGGTTCTTGCGCTTGGCAGTTTGAGTAGTGATGATTAAGTTTCTACCTGATCTGTAAATTTCTATGACTCACCATCTGTGTCGTTGGCTCGTAGTAAGTGACGCCTTTTCTTAAAACAAAGTCATTTGGGGCTGTCACTTTTGATTGGTCACTTAATTCACATGTTTTCCCTGAGCTTGCATAATTAAACGATCGACAGCGTGCGTCCCGTAGGCATTCCCACGTACAGTCTATCGGGCACGTGACAGTGTGCGTAGCAATCACGTGATTAACCAGAGTGTAGCCTAGAACAGATGCAAACATATCGTCATATATGAGAGTTTTCTTCAAGATGTATCTTACACGAAATAAAAAGAGAGAAATCAAGAGGACATCGACGACTTGATGAAAATCGTAAACATTTATAAGATATTAGGAACACTTTGATTGATCGAAAGCCTATCGTTCATTGTACTAATAAACTCAGGGCTCCATTTTAAAAGCTAGAAAGCGCACTTTCTATATTTTTTTAGGCGTCAGTGCACTTGGAACGTTGGTAATCATGCACCCTCGGGTCGTGATTTACAACTTTTCCTTGTGCTCTCCTAACATACCGTGTGAGTTTTTGCGTCTGAAAACCGACAGGAAGTGAAAAGTATTGCTTAGATATTAACATATTTTTACATGGAATTATTTTTCTCATGTTTCGAAAATTACTCAGTTTTCGTAAATTTCCGGCCAGTTCTATCTTAGGCTGTTCGCAACTCTTCGATACACAGCAAGCAAATACACAAGCCTTCAAAGTTGTTGGTTCTTAATTCTGGAAACCCCTGTAATTAAGATTCCCACTCATCAGACGATTTTATGCTCCGATCACAGCGTATTCGATCACCGGTCTTCTTTTTCATCCTCATCGTCCTTGTTGACCATCGTTTACTTTAGTTTGATCGTGTCTGAAACACGTTAACTTGAAGTAGTTCCATTTAAAGGTGAATAAAATTCTATCCTTACCATTAACTTTATTCCATTACAGCTGCAAGCAAAGCGATGTCAGGGAGGAATGCACGACACGAAAAGCCGAATTTGATAGCTTGAAACGAGCTCACGTTAAGAGAAAGATAACTGAATGATTTGCTGGTTGAAGTGCTTCGACTCGCGACTCGGTATTAAAGTGTTTTTCGCTAAAATACGAAAACTTGCGCACCACGATTACATTACCTTCAACCCCACTATTCAGTTAAAGAGTCTCAAAAAATCTTCTCGGTTCACATTGGTTCTGCGTCAAGCTTTCTATCTTTGTGTAGTCTAAGATCTGTTTTTGCCATTATTTGCAGTGCGCAAATTAAGTGTTTAAGTCAAGCTTTACCTTTTTCAGGATGTTCAGATCTTCTTAAACAAGACAACCGACCAGGGTTCGACGTTCCTGTTAGACTTTGAGCTGAGAGAGTTGTAAACTTCCAGCACAGGAGAAACTTAGAATGGAAGAGTAAAGTGAGTCGCTGCATTGTTTTCAAGTTACTTCCACTCGGCTTTTAAATTAGTTCACGATCGAAATAAAGTCGTGATAAGGAAGCTTTGACCTCAATTAGTCGCTGGTGCGTCAGCTTGAAAATGAATAATGTTTGAGTAAAAATAACTCTCATCCACAGTTTTTTTTATGTTTTGGGTTTTAGAAACTTAGCAGGAGACTGGCGAATAACATTTATTATTAAAAGTTCGATCCACTTCAAAATTTGACACACTTAGTAAGGATTCTCTTCTATTTCTATTGAACAAAGATTAAACGGTCTAAGGGGGAAAATAAGTGTGCAAGGTTTTCTTTGGAAGACATTGATAACATTTCACGACATTGGTTCACTGACTGAATCAGTTCGTGTGCTAATTATAGCATTCTCTTTTTTCTCAATTGCCATGAATTAATTAACTTAACAGTTTTCTGGGTTTTGTGGTGCTTTTATCCTGGAAATAATTACCCAAGGGTTCAGTAGTCTAGAATTTAAAACTAAATAATAGAAGTCTAGAATTTGAAATTAGATAAAGGTAGAATTTAGTTAAAACTAGATAAAATTAGATAAAAACAGATTGACCATGTTAGAAAAGATAGACAAAACATGAAAGTTTTATCCGATCTTTATTGTGGGTTCAGTTCGCAGCTATGTTGACCCTTGAACTCTCAAGATCTGATTGTTAATTCTCCCCTCTGGCTGCTACATATTTCCTAGTAAATAAGTCACGAGAATTTGGTGTAAGATCAAGACTATTAACTTCCACATGATAAGCTTGAGAATTCTCATTACATGTTGGCTGGATAACGCGTGAATGTTACAGGGAGAAGTTACATGTAAGTCACTTATGGGAGTTAATGGGTAAAGCATATTGATGTCATATGCGCGTTTTGTAACCTCTTATCATTCTCTGAAGAGTTTAAGTCCTGACCTTACTTTGTCTACTTTCAGGAATAACACTTAAGCGATCAGGTAAACATCGTTCAAAACAAAAGCTTAGCGTACAAATTTTCAAAAGAATAAAATTCTGCTTTTACTAAAATTTAAAGAAAGAACGTGAGTCAGCTCTCGTCTACATAAATTATTAAGTACTTACCAGGCGAGATATACGTATAAATTTGAAGTCCTGATGCGAAAAGGTACTGACCCGCAATGTAAGAATTGTAGAGACTGTTTGGGGTATTTATTTTTAACCTTAATCTATAAATGCGCGAAGGCCCTAAAGAACGCACGTAACGTGAATTCAAGTCGGAACAATACTGACCCGCAACGTACGAATTGTATAGTCTGTAAGGGGTATATTCTCTTTATACATAAATACGCAAAGGCGCTAAAGGACGCTAAACCTAAATTTGAATCCTTATGAAATAAATGCTGATTGCTTCCAAACTGCACGTAAACTCCAAATCATGAGCTTTATGATTCGTTCTGTTCCTTCAGGAATAACGTTAACATCCTACCGATCGACTAAACACTTTAGCATAAAAAAAACTTTCAGAAGGAGAAACTTACAAATAAATAAAAATTGTGCTTTTATATTAAAGTTTGAAGAAATAAGGTGAGACAGCTCTCTACATAATTTATTTAGTATTTACCGGGTGAGACATACGTGCAAATGCCTCGCTCTAAAACGGAAGAAAACAACACCTGACTTTTGAACTCCATAATAAATTATTTACAGCGAGACGGACAAAGACCTTTGGAGTTAACACTGGGGAAGAGAAAACACAAATCAAAGCGCCATAGAAGATTGATGGAAAAATTGATATCTCGTGAAGTTTGCCTTTTTTTAACTTACTTTTTTCAGTTCCTATTTAACTGAATCGGACGAACATGTAGAAACTAAGGTTTAAAACAGCGCAATCTTCTTGTCAACATCATTAAATCACGACCTAAGGAGGACTCCCTTCCAATCTCATTCATTTCATCTAAACCGCCCCATCTAAAGGCAAGTGACATGGGTTTTCTGTTAAAACCATTGATTTAGTTTGTTGTTTTAATATGGTAAAATTTTGATGATTCATTATTCTCGTGTTTGCCACTCAAGTTCGTGTAAATTTCAATCATGAACACCTCTTATGCTCAAAATCTACAGTAAAATTTCATCAGATGATATTTGATGCCAAACAAGAGATTGCAAGTTTCTATTCTCTTGTTAATGCCTATTCTTTGCTCTTTTGGGTTCAGTGTGTAGAAAATTCAATGGAGAGGATGTTCTAATAGGGAATTAGTTTTATTCTTCGGCAAATCTCCGGCTTTTATGTGGTGAATAATTACGTAGTCAGCTGGTCGAGTGACATCACTTGCCCGCCAAAATAAAAAAACTAATTGACTATGCTGCATACCATCTGCAATTTACGAGGAGAATTTGTTTGACAATCAGGAACTTCTAGAATTGGACATCATATCCTTTATTTTCATGATTTTAAGTATTTGATGCAAGGGTGAAACTGTTAGGAGAAATTAGAAGCCAATCACTCTTAGGAGAAAGAGGGTTAAGACAGTCCAGTATCAATGGTTCATCTCTCCTCACTTTTGCAGACAGTCTGATATCAAGTACTTATCTCCCTCATGCTGTCACGTCAAACAAAAGACCAAGTTACTTTTGCTGCAATGGAAAAGTTAAGGCTTATGGGTTAACAATAGAGAACATTCTTACAACATCAACAAGCAAAATTGGTGAACTTATCTACCTTGTTGGCTTCTGGAAGGTGAGTAAATTTTTATGTTAGATAGAAACTTGATTTTGACAGAATTTACTCACTAGAAAAGCAACTTGCAAAATAGTCTGAAGGCCTTCTCTCTTATTAAATAAAAATTTTGAACATTTTTTAAAAACTTACCAGTAGGGCTTTTTAGAATAGCTGCTGATGATAATTTTTCCATCATCAGTTGTGTTAAACAGGGTTCAGGGGGGTCTTATATTAGCATGTTACTGAAACAAGGGGTTATACCAAGTTGTTTTATTATTTTCACTTGTCACTTTTTCACTTACAAAATGGGGTAGATTGGTTGATATCCTCCATAGAACCCTCTGAGTCCCCCCCCCTCCTTTATTAGGGGTGTATATTACCATGAATGTGGCTTGGGGACAAGTGACTGGAATTGGAGTTGATACTCATGTTCATAGAATTTCTAACAGACCAGGATGGGTCAAAAAACGTACTCAACTGCCAGAGGAAACTAGAATTGCTGTAGAAAGCTGATGAAAAGTGATTTTGAATGATACCAAGTTACACAAATTCTCTTCACCAGGTGTTTTGCTCCTTCCTTGCCAAAGTCTTTTCACTTACTGCCACATTTTAGAGACCCAGCTATTGTGCAAGTTCCAAACAACTTTTATAAATATTCTGAAATAAACAGGCTTTTGTTCCTTCCTGACTTTCAAGGAGCAGAATGCAAAAAGGAAAACTTTAAGGATTTTCAGACCTAGGTTCAAGGTTCTCTAGATGCATAGCAAACCTTGACTATCAAATGCTGTTTACCCATAACCAACAGTTAAATAATTAGAGTGTATGGCTTCAGAGACTAAATTAGTGAATTCTTTTTCTGTTTTGCAGAGAGGAGTGGGATGAACTGAATGTATTGTTGGTTGGATTTGGTCAACAGACATGTCTTCTTGTAAGTCCAATGTGTGAGTTCTGTCTTAACTCCAAGATCTGTCCTGAAGGTCGAAGAAGGAGCAGAGGAAAAGCTGAGGAGGAAACTAAGAAAAAACTTTCACCCAGAAAGGATAGAAAGGACACTAAGACTTAAAGGGAAATTAAGTTTTACTTTAACTTAGGCTGTCCTTGTCTTTAGCCTTGGGCGATGCATGTTGTGCAAAGCTGGGTTAAGGTAGCCTCATGGTTAGTGTGAAATCTGATATCAGATCTTAACCCTCTAACTCCCAGAAGTGATTCACACGTAACTTCTCCTTAAATATCCGTGCACTATCCAGCAAACAGGTAATGAGAAGGTAGAAGTTGTTATCTTGATCTAGCACCAAATTCTCGCAACTAATTTACAAGGAAATGTTAAGCAGGTAGAGGAGGAAATTAATAATCAGATCTTGAGAGTTATAGGGTTAAAGCTATAGAAGAAAATTAATTATGATTTGTTTTGTCTACGATTTGATGATTGGATGCCTTTAAAAGAATAAAGAAAATTATCCAAAAAAGGCTTTTTAACAAAGCAGTAAGGAAACCTGAATTAAAATTTAACCCTGGGTTAGCACTAATCAGCCTTGCAACAACTGAGCCCAGGTTAGCATTGGTCCTCAAACCATGTTTCAAGACTGGTTCCAACTGTGTAAAACAAATGTACAGGTTCATGATACAATGGATAAAAGGCGAGATGGAATCAAAATCAAAGACTGTGAGACCTAGGTAACAAGGTGCTTTTTGTGTGAAAAATGTTTTGTTAGTGGCACCCCTTCGTTAAAGGGAGAGATCTGCCGTTGAATTTGATTTAGAAATTAGTTTATACTTTAAACGGTAGATGGCAATGAAGGCGTGTTCTGATTGGCTACTCAAACTCCTATTATCCTTTGCTATTCGCCTTGGAAAGCTATTCACAATTATCTATAAGACCCCAACAGGGTCTACCGCCAGGCTCAGGGCAACATTCCCCTGTATCTCCAGCAACAGAGACTAAAGACCCCCCTCCGAAACACAATGTCTCCATAGCGGTTGCTCCAAGCGGTATCGTTTTGTCGTAGTACATGGCTCTTCTATTAAATCACGCATCACGGATAACTTTTTTAACCAATCACGCGTCACGTCAAAAAGGAGTAAGTACGCTCGGTCCAATATTGCAATATCAAATCGTACTTTACAAGTATCGAACACAGTAAAAACGAAGAGTCTTGATTTTTTTAACATCTGAGGTGTTCGTCTGGGCATCATATTCATCATAGGTCTTTGTTCAAGGAGTCAGTAGTCGTATTTTGAACTCTTATATGGCTTAATGGTTATCTCATGAGAACTAGTATGAACTTTGTTAATTTGGCTATCTTTCGAGCTGTAGAATTCGTGGACCGACCCGTGGACTTTCTGGTCTTCTGGATCCCACGCACTACCACGACCACGAGATCGACAAAACTAACACACAAGGTCATAGTCCTTGTGCAAATTTTAACTTTATTAACTTATGCCTATTGTGTCACGATTGTTTGGACCTACCGCGAAGATCAAAGACATCCAAGGTCAAGCAAAGCTTATCAAAGGACGGAAAAGATCAGAAGACAGTATCACAGCTGCCCTGGTTTATTGATTTTTGGCAGGACTCTACTTTCTTTGAATGTCTGATACCCTTCTAGGTCAAAGAGCGTTCACTTATCACAAAACTCCGATTAGTAAGTCTTGTAAATCACGCGTCACGCGCTTGTAAAAAAAAGGAAATCACGCATCATATTGTGATGTCCGGCCCCGCATCACGCGGATAATTTGGGTACAATCACGCTTCAGCCATCAAATTTTGGGGCCATTACGCGTCACTCAAAAACCCTTTGCCATCCTCTGTGAAGGCTACATTAGTTCATGCCCAGATCTCCTCGTCGAGTTCCTTGCATCCTGAAGTTGACCAAAAGTGATTATAGCAGTTTTGTTCAGTTATGCCTCACTTTCATCTCAGAGAAATTTAGGTCAGAATGAGAAGCCCAAGGATGCCAGAATGGACCAAGCCTTGCATTGGGATTAACCTCACCACACTGGTTTGCCCACCATCCACCATGAGGAAAACACTTGCCAGAGTAGTTGTCGTTATCTTGGTCTGGTGTGCCGAATCTCATCCCTCGAGTGTTCAATTTAGGATTTGTCTTACCATAAAACCCATTTCCGATGTTTCCTTCGTACGAAGTCATGTCGCATCGATACTTATCTGTTTCGTCAGCTACCCGAAACCCACCATATTTGGCATATCCCTTTTGGCCGTTGGTTCGGTGCAGCTCTATTCGAAGAATGCTGTCAGAAGAGGCGATTCGGTGCAAGTTGTCGTTTCCAAGCCAGAATTCTTTGGACAAGTCGCCAAAGCCTACTCGATACTCTACCCACGTTCGTCTAAAGCTTTGCTTGTATGGACGGGAACGTCTTTGAACCACAGTCCACCCACCTCCATCTGTGGTTTGGTCACAGTACACGTTTATGACCCCTTGACCATCTGGGTTGATTTTATAAATGCCATTGTGATTCGCTCCCAGGGTTTTCAGCTGCTGACAGCTTCTCACTGTACGTGGAAAAAAGGAAACATAATATGAGACTTGTTGTTGAAAGGAAATCATCGCAAATTTAAGTGTTCTTCTCTTCTATTTAGTCACGAGTTACCCACCTCCGCTGTGTTTTTCGCAATACACTCCTTTATAATCCTGTCGACATTCACACGTGGACATTCGGGGATTCCAACACGTGTCAACACATGTTCCACCATTTTGACATGAAGCCGAGGCGCAACCAGGTCCATTTCCTCCCTGAGAGAAAATGGGAAGAATGGTTAAACGTACTTTCATCCTTCTATAAGGCGAAACTTACCATGACAATACCTTCTTAGGTTAAAATACATTCTCGTTCTTAGAGCTAACGTTTTTCTTTGATGGTGGTCTGTACCCTTAATTCAAGATGAGTATAGAAGTTTTCTATTTCCAAAGTTTTGAGTAGGAATTCATCTTTACCTCTCCTGTTTTCCTTCAAATGAAATTTCGTTTCCGGTGTATATCGACCAACAATTTTGTCTCTATTTTAGCAAATTATATTAACCCGGGATTTCCTTTTAGAAAATTGGCATTTTATGACATCAATTGTGTCAATAACAAAATTTTCAAGTATGAATGGTACTTTTGTCAGTAAAACAACTCTTATTTGCGGCTTGATTGACTGTTTCCTGTCCAAACTGTTTGATTTCATCTATCCAATTATAAGCACTTAGCAAATGTTAGCCAGTGAAAATGAAAGTGCATTGAGCATTGGATATTTCTTACATTGTTTAGACTTACGACCTGAACTTTTGCAATATGAATCAATTCATGTGCGCATGTTTCAATTAAAGTTTTCATTCCTGCTCGTAATTTCAAATTAAAGGCATTTATTTGACCTCTCGATACGACTTTGACACCACCTTGCTCAGAAGATGGAATTTGAAAAACCGAAGACCTCAAAGGTTCTTGCGCTTGGCAGGTTGAGCAGTGATGTTAAGTTTCTAACTGATCTGTAAATTTCTATGACTCACCATCTGTGTTGTTGGCTCGTAGTAAGTGATGCCTTTTCTTGAAACAAAGTCACTTGGGGCTGTCGCCTTTGATTGGTCGCTTAATTCACATGTTTTCCCTGAGTTTGCATAATTAAACGATTGACAGCGTGCGTCCCGTAAACATTTCCACGTGCAGTCTATCGGGAACGTGACGGTGTGTGTTGCAATCACGTGATTAACCAAACTATAGCCTAGAACAGATGTAAACATATCTTCATTTATATAATGAGCTCAGTTATGCACGCATTCTGATTGGTCCTCACTTATGATCTATTGGAGGACAGACGTATAGATGACGACATCATTAAAACTTAGTTCGTATAGCGTGATCGTCCGGGTGAGTGTAGTTCTGAAAAGAACTGTTGTTGGTGACTACAGTACAAACTATTTTCAACGACTGACTCTGGAAAGCTGGTTTACTAACTTAGAACAGACGCCTCTCAACAGATTATTACGCCTCGTGTGCCACTTTTTTGTTCTTACCACATTTTGACGTCATCTATGATCTATTACTGAACAGACGCACGGCAACTTGGAATTTATTTGTTAAATATAGGGGTTTTCTTCAAGATAAATCTTAAATGAAATTACTGAAAAGAGAGAAATTAAGAAGGACATTGACAACTTGATGAAAATCGTAAACATTTATAAGATACTAGGAACACTTTGATTGGTCGAAAGCCTATCGTTTATTGTACTAGCAAACTCAGGCTCCATTTTTAAAGGCTTGAAAGCGCACTTTCTATCAATTTTAGGCGTTAGTGCACTTGGAGCGTTGGTAATCATGCACTTTCGGGTCGTGATTTACAACCTTTCCTCGTGTTCTCCTATCATCCCGTGTGAGTTTTTGCGTCTGAAAACCGACAGGAAGTGAAAGGTATTGCTTAGATGTTAACATAGTTTACATGGAATCATTTTTGACATGTTTTAAAAATTACTCTCGGTTTTCGTAAATTTCCGGACAGTTCTATCTTAGGCTGTTCGCGACTCCTCGATACACAACAAGCGAATACATTCTGGAAACCCCTATAATTAAGCTTCGCACTCAGCAGACGACTTTTGGATCAATATCAGTATCTGGGCAACTGCCAACCTACCCCTCCCTTAACCCAACATTAACCCTGAGTTGTTATCAATTGACTATTGTTGAGTTAGGGGAGGGGTAGGTAGGCAGTTGCCCAGATACTGATATTGATCCCGATTTTTTACTCAAATCACAGCGAATTCGATCACGGGTCCTCCTATTCATCCTCATCGTCCTTGTTGGCCATGGTTTACTCTAGTTTGATCGTGTCTGGAACACGTTAACTTGAAGTAGTTCCGTTCGAAGGTGAATAAAATTCCATCATTACTAAAAGTGACCATACAAGTGAAAAGAGTTTATCTCTAAGATTTTCGAGCGAACTGCCTAGGCAGTGCACATTACTGCAAGGATCACTTTCATTCCCGAAGTTAATTTTATTCCATTACAGCTACAAGCGAAGCGATACCAATGAGGAATGCACGACACGAAAAGCCGAATTTGACAGCTTGAAACTTACCCACGTTAAGAGAAAAATGACTGAATGCTTTGCTAGTTGAAGTGCTTCGACTCGAGACACGGTATTTAAGTGTTTTTCGCTAAGATATGAAGATTTGCTTGTGTTGTAACTGATGCACCACAGCGCACCACGATTACATAACCTTCCACCCTACTATTTAAATAGTCTCAACAAATCTACTTGGTTTACATTGGTTCTGCGTCAAGTTTTCTCTTCTTCATCACGGTCGTCTAAGATATTTTTTTTTGCGATTATCTAGAATGCACAGATTTCTTGTTCAAGTGAAGCTTTACCTTTTTCAGGATGTTCGAATCTTCCGTATCTTAAACAAGACAACCGACCAGGATTCGACGTTCCTGTTAGATGTTGAGCTGAGGGAGTTGCAAACTTCCAGCATAAGAGAAACTGAGAATGGAAGAGTAAAGTGAGTCGCTGCATCGTTTTCAAGTTACTTCCACTCGGCTTTTGCATTAGTTCACGATCAAAATAAAGTCGTGAACTTAGTTGCGTCAACATGAAAATGAATAATTTTCGAGTGAAAATAATTCTCATCCACAGTTTGTTTTTGTGTTAGGTTCTAGAACTTGGCAGGAGACTGGCGAATAACATTAATTATTAAAAGCTCGATCAACTTCAAAATTTGACACATTTGTTAAGGATTCTCTTCTATTTCTATTGAAGAAAGATTAAACGGTTTAAGGGGGGAAAATAAGTGAGCAATTTTTTCTGAGGAAGACATTGATAACATTTCACGACATTGGTTCACTGACTGAACTTGTTCGTGCGCTAATTATAGCCTTCTTTTCTTTTAAATTGCCATGGAATTAATTAACTCAACAGTTTTCTGGGTTTTGTGGTGCTTTTATCCTGGAAATAATTACCCAAGGGTTCAGAAGTCTAGAATTTAAAACTAAATAACAGAAGTCTTGAATTTGAAACTAGATGAAGATAGAATTAAATTAAAACTAGACAAAATCAGATAAAAACAGATTGCATCTATATAGACAAAACATGAAGGTTTCATCTGATCTTTATTGTGGGTTCAGTTCGCAGCTATGTTGACCCTTGAACTCCCAAGATCTGATTGTTAATTCTCCCCTCTAGCTGCTACACATTTCCTAGTAAATAAGTCACAAGAATTTGGTGTAAGATCAGAACTATTAACTTCCACATGATAAGCTTGAGTATTCTCATTACATGTTGGCGGATAATGTATGGATGTTATAGGGAGAAGTTACATGTTAGTCACTTATGGGAGTTAAAGGGTAAAGCATTTTGAGGTAATCCGCGCGTTACGTAACCTCTTATCAATCTCTGAAGAGTTTAAGTCCTGACCTTACTTTGTCTACTTTCAGGAATAACACTTAAGCGATCGTTCAAAACGCAAGCTTAGCGTACAAATTTTCAAAAGAAAAACTACATATAAATAAAATTCTGCTTTTTTTAACTTTAAAGAAATAACGTGAGTCAGCTCTCGTCTACATAAATTATTAAGTACTTACAAGGCGAGATATACGTATAAATTTGAAGTCCTGATGCGAAAAGGTACTGACCCGCAATGTAAGAATTGTAGAGACTGTATGGGGTATTTATTTTTAACCTTTATCTATAAATGCGCGAAGGCGCTACTTTAAATAAACATCAAAGCAAGCAGACGGGGGACCAAAACATGAAGGTCCTTGGGAAACTGTTCGTTATTGCACGTCCAGTTCCCAGCTATATTAAGCATACTAAGGTTAAAAGTTAGTGTATTAGACAATCTCTTTGATTCACCTGCTACGTAACCTCTCAGCAATAAAAAGTTTACATCCTGAGCTTGGTGCTCCTTGACAGCTCCTTACATAAATTATTTAGTATTTACCGGGTGAGGCATATGTGCAAATGCCTCGTCCTAACACGGAAGAAAACAATACCTATTTTGACTTTTGAACTCCATAATAAATTATTTACAGCGAGAAGGACAAAGACCTTTGGAGTTAACACAGGGGAAGAGAAAAGACAAATCAAAGCGCCATAGACGATTTATTAAAAAATTTATATCTCGTGTAGTTAGCCTTTTTTTAACTTACCTTTTTCAGTCACTATTTAACTGAATCGGACGAACATGCAGAAACTAAGGTTTAAAACAGTGCAATCTTCATGTCAACATCATTAAATCACGATCTAACGAGGACTCCCTTCCAATCTCATTCATTTCATCTAAACCGCCCCATCCAAACGCAAGTGACATGGGTTTTCTGTTAAAACCAATGATTTAGTTTGTTGTTTTAATATGGTAAAATTTTTTAATTTTTCATTATCCTCGTGTTTGTCACTCAAGTTCGTGTAAATTTTAATCATGAACACTTCTTAAGCTGAAAATTTTCAGTAAAATTTCATCAGACGATATTTGATGCCAAACAAGAGATTGTAAAGTTTCTATTCTCTTATTGACGCCTATTCTTTGCTCTTTTGGGTTCAGTGTGTAGAAAATTCAATGGAGAGGATGTGCTGATAGGGAATCATTTTTATTCTTCGGCAAATCTCCGGCTTTTTGTAGTGACTAATTACGTAATCAGCTGGTCGAGTGACATCACTTTCCCGCCAAAATCAGCGTTCCATGGCGAGATCGGGGAGGACTGCTCACGATAATACTGTTAATGGCAGACATCAGGGAGACTGACGATCCAAACATATGATCAGTTTGTTTTCACGGATTTCCAGGATGAGTACTTCCCCGTATTTCACCTCAAAAGGAAGACAAACACGCTCGGCGGCTAGAGAAGCAATCGCAGCTTTGTCAACGAACCAAAAGGAACCAAGAAGGCACATCAAAATCGAATACGAGAAGCGACATGAAGAAGACTCGTCAAGGGACGACAAGAAAACTGAAGATGTTGCGGCCAAAAAGCGTAAAAAAGACACATCCACAGTACAGACACAAGGTTCAACTTGGCAGCCTCTGAACTGGAGAGAGCAGCTTGTTCATATTCGTGAAATGAGAAAAACACGCGATGCCCCAGTTGATTCACAAGGATGCGAGAAGACAGCTGATGAGAGCCAGTCACCAGAGGTGAGAGGAGATAAAATTGGCGATCCAGTGGGGTGGGGTAAGGGAAGATCCGACACAGTGGTCTCCTCGGAGACAACTAAGCTGATTTATGAGAAGTAGAAACTTTTTGTTTGGTCAGTGTCAACACATTCATTTACCCTCAGCAATTGAGTGCATCCCACTTTTCATTTGATTTATTGACCATATAAATTATGACAAATAGTTCAACAGCCATATGTTTAACCCTTAACACCCCAACATTATAGTATGCATATTCTTCATACAGTTCTCCCCACATATCCTAAGGTAATGACAAGGAGAATTTGTATAACAATCAAGAGCTTTTTTGCTTAGTGATCTTTCCTTTTTTTCTTGTGACCTTACTGTGTGATTCAGGGGTGATAGGGTAATGAGAAATTAGATGTTAGTCACCCTTAGGTGTCAAAGGGTTAAGGAATAAGAACCTGGACAACTGGGCCAGTCTATTTTCAGAGATCTTGCCTTACTGATGTTTATTTCGTCAAATTTTTTGTGATGATTTTGGTTTGTTTTTTCTTACTTGCAACAATAGAGATCTTCAGGTATAAGCTACTGGGATAAAAATTGTAAGGATACACCCTCATCCTGGCAACCATTCTTAAATTTCTTATTTAACCCTTTAAACCCTAAGGATGAGTAACATCTTATTTCTCCCTACAATATCACTCTTGAATCACATATTAAGGTCATGAGAATTAAGGAAATGGTCATCAGGATAGAAACCTTTCAATTGGCAAACAAATTCTCCTTGTCAGCACCTTAGAAAATGTATAAAGAACAGTGTGGAGAATATGCATACTGATGTTAGGGTGTAAAGGGTTAAAGAGTAGCCAGTCAGAAATCTTACCTTGCATATAGGGTTGAAATTTCCCTTCTAATCAGAAAACAAAGTCTGCTGATTAAGCTTGCCATGTCATCAGACTCAACTGAAGAGTTTGTTCAGTATAATTCTGCCATTGTCCTATCACAAACAATGAATACTAATCGACTATGCTGCATACCATCTGGAATTTACGAGGAGAATTTATTTGACAGTCAGGAACTTCTAGAATTGGACATCATTTGCTTTATTTTCATGATTTTAAGTATTTGATGCAAGGGTGAAACTGTTAGGAGAAATTAGAAGCCAGTCACTCTTAGGGGATAGAAGGTTGACAGTTCAGTATCAATGGTTCATCTCTCCTCACTATTGCAGACAGTCCGATATCAAGTACTTATCTCCCTCATGCTGTCAAGTCAAACAAAAGACCAAGTTACTTTTGCTGCGATGGAAAAGTTAAAGGCTTATGGGTTAACAATAGAGAACATTCTCACAACATCAACAAGCAAAATTGGTGAACTTATCTACCCTGTTGGCTTCTGGAAGGTGAGTAAATTTTTATGTTAGATAGAACCTTGATTTTGACACAAATTACTCACTAGAAAAGTAACTTGCAGAATAGTCTGATGGCCTTCTGTTCCCTTATCAAATAAGAGTTTTGAACATTTTTTAAAAACTTACTAGTAGGGCTTTTTAGAGTAACTACTGATAATGATATTTTCATCATCAGTCGTGTTAAACAGGGTTCAGGGGGATCTTATATTAGCATGTTACTGAAACAAGGGGGCTATACCAAGTTGTTTTATTATTTGCACTTTTCACTTTTTAGCTTACAAAGAGGGGTAGATTGGTTGATATCCTCCATAGAACCCTCTGAGTCCCCTCCCTTCCTCCCTCCCTCCCCCCTTATTACAAAAACCACTTGGAGAAGTCTAAAATTAGAAAAGGAAACAACAATAATGGTTCTAAAATCTATGACACTGAACTCCCTTTTTAACTTGTAACCCTTTTAACTCCCAGAGGTTATCAATATGAAACTTCTCCCAATAATATCCTCACATTATCCAGCAAAAAACTAATGAGAATATTCACATTTATCAGGTAGAAATTGTTGTCTTGATCTCACAATAACTTCTTGTAACTAATTTACAAGGACATGTGTAACAGCTAGAGGGGACAATTAGCAATCAGATCTTGGGAGTTAAAGGGTTAAGCCTATCCTACCAATGTGAAGTATGGCCGGGTACAACCTAAAGTATTTCTCAGGTTATTTATCATTATTATGCTATGATTGTAGAAAAAAGCCGAGTACATCAAGAATGCCACTAAAATTTGTGCTGAGAATTACAATGGAGACATTCCACCAACAGTAGAAGAGCTGGTCAAACTTCCAGGTGTGGGCCCAAAAATGGCGCACATCACCATGAATGTGGCTTGGGGACAAGTGACTGGAATTGGAGTTGATACTCATGTTCATAGAATTTCTAACAGACTGGGATGGGTCAAAAAACTGACTAAACTGCCAGAGGAAACTAGAATTGCTGTAGAAAGCTGGCTTCCAAGGTAAAAGTGATTTTGAATGACAGCAAGTTATGCAAATACTCTTCACTAGTGCAAGTGCAAGTTCCGCACAACTTTTACAAATATTTTGAGATAAACAGGCTTTTGTTTCTTCCTGACTTTCAAAGAGCAGAATGGAAAAAGGAAAACTTTAAGGACTTTCAGACCTAGATTCAAGGTTCTCTAGATGCATAATAAACCTTGACTATCTGGTTTCAGAGACTAAATGAGGGAATTCTTTTTCTGTTTTGCAGAGAGGAGTGGGATGAACTGAATGTATTGTTGGTTGGATTTGGTCAACAGACATGTCTTCCTGTAAGTCCAATGTGCGAGTTCTGTCTTAACTCCAAGATCTGTCCTGAAGGTCGAAGGAGGACCAAAGGAAAACTTGAGAAGGAAACTAAGAAGAAACTTTCACCCAGAAAGGATAGAAAGGAAACTAAGACTTAAGGAAAAATTAAGTTTTACTTTAACTTAGGCTGTCCTTGTCTTTAGCCTTGGGCCACATTGTTCAAAGCTGGGTTAAGATAACCTTTTGGTTAGTGTGAATTCATTAATCAGATCTGAAAAAGAAAATTCATTTCAATTTGTTTTGTCTAAGATTTGATGATTGGATGCCTGTTAGAGAATAGAGAAAATTATCCTAAAAAGGCTTTTTAACAAAGCAGTAAGGAAACCTGGATTAAAATTTAACCCTGGGTTGGCACTTATCAGCCTTCCAACAATTGAGCCCAGGTTAGCGCTGGCCCTCAAACCATGTCACAAGACTGGTTCCAACTGTGTAAAATAAATGTACAGGTTCATGATACAATGGATAAAAGGGGAGATGGAAGCAAAATCGAAGACTGTAAGACCTAGATAACAAGATGTTTTTTTTGTGAAATATTTTGTAATAAGTGGCACCCCTTCCTTTGAAGGGAGAGATCTGCCATTGAATTTGCTTTTAGAAATTAGTTTATACTTAAACAGTGAATTGCAATGAAGGTGTGCTCTGATTGGCTACTTATCCTTTGCTATTCACCTCCAAGTAATATGCATGAGATTTGTGCTCAAAAATGTTGTAATCATTATAGGAATAAACAAAGTAAAATCATCTTTTTGTGCTGTGTTATCATTATAGGAATATACAAGGTAAAATCATCTTTTTGTGCTATGTTATCTCACTGTATTAGTATATACTAAACCAACTATTCAACCATGACAGTGGCTGGAAGTGGACAATAACATAGCTAATTTGTGGCTCAATTAATATCCATCACTAGCCACCTCTGCTTTGGTGAATAGCTGTTAATTATACCCAATAAGAAGTTGAGCAAATCAAATTCAAAAATTTTCTTTGGATGTTTCACATTTTGCAGTGTTATACAATATCACAGTTGTAATAATGGTCAGAAGGCATCCAATATTGTTCAATAGAATGGCAAATTCACTGTTAATATCTTGTTCTGCTTCTTTAATCTAATTAACACCCATCAATCTCACACCAACAAAATAAATTTCATCCATGAATTAAATGACCATATTTATCATTAACCTATGTACATGTTCACCACCCACCAATTCTTCCAAATCATCAAATTTAATTGCAGTTAACTCGCATGAAATATCTGCAGTAATCTCTAATGAATAGCTTACTCCTTATAAAGGAAATACCCCACCCCATTGTTGATTAAACTTTTATGTCTTCTAAACCCATTAGGGTTTTTTATGTCATCTTGTAGAGCAATGCCTATTTGGAAATCTCTTCTTAGAAACAAAAAGCTTTTGAATTGCCCAGTCATTACCTTCAGATACTGTTTCAAATTAGGACACTGTTGTAGTTCTATTTTAAGCCTTTAAATGTTATGATCTAATTCAAGATTCTCCCCTCTAACAGCCATACATTTCCTTTTTAATAAGTTAGAAGAATTTGTTTCTAAACTGAGATGACAGCCAATGGCTACTAGCATCATCTATTTCTGAATAGAGTATTGATAATGCAAGAAAAATCACATTGTATATCTTATTTATGAGTTTCATTTTATAAAGGTTGGGGCTTTATAGAAAATATATGCTCTAAAAGAAACTACAAGTAAGGTTGGCTTTGTCAAAACCATATTTGTTTGTCTTTCTTTGCATATCAGTCCCACACTGTTCCTAATTATCCCTATCTAATACCATTGAATCACAATAAAGTCAACATGTTGTCCTATGGTGCACTACATAGTGTAACATACATCTTTTAAAGCTCATTTCTGTTGTAAATCAACTGTGGCATGGATCTCCTACAATCTCTTTCATTTCCTTTTGAAGGAAAAGAATGGTTCTAATTTGACATTCTAGAACTTATTTGGAATGTATCTTGTCCCAAACAAAGTGAATCCAATTTCATTCCATGATGGTGCCTCAAACAGAATTCCTCTCTCTTTTGGGGTAGCAAATTCCTGGCATCCATTCCCTGTCATCTTCTGAATTTCCTGCAAAGGAAGGAGCTTGATTCCAAATGCTTTGGCCACCTTCCTCAAGGTATGACTCTTCCCAACCACGATTCCAACGTCTGCTTTTAACATGGCCAGTATATCTCCAATGGAATCACCCACAAAAACTGAGATGCCATTTGAACTGTCAGTAGACAGCTTGTGGACCAAATCCTGAAATATTGTTTCCTTGTCAAAAGGACTTGTCACTTTCTTTCCCACATGGCCCGATGATAATTCATCTTCAAGTGGGAAACTGTTTGCAAAAATGTTCACATGCCTGAGATGATCTAAATTGGCCTGGATTAACTCCTGACACCAGTTGACTGATATTAGGTGCAGCGGCAAGTTGATGTGATTGAGAACGTTCAGGCATCCAGGACTGAGCTTCACTTCCTTTGCAATTTCTTTGATGCCTTCCTTAGATATACCTTTGAGGATTTCACTTGCTTCTACCTTCTTAATCATTGCCATGTTATATTTGTTCACCTCTTGAAGAAATGACCTCAAACCTCTCTCATTAAAATATGGCAAAGAATTGGGATCTGTGTGAAGAGCCATTGACCTTGAAACAGTTTCTTGGTGGCCTTTCCAGTAAATGGTTCCAATTTCTATCCAGCGTTCATCAATAATCTTCATTTCGGCTTGAGTAGATGATCGATACCTCTCTGATGCCTTGTAAAGGAGACTAGTCGTGTCCTTCTGAGTACAAGTGCCATCAAAATCAAAAGCGAACAGATTGACTTTCAAACCCATCCAGTCTGCTTCACAAGCCATTGATGGTGATGATGCAAAGCCAGTGTCCATAACTGCTGCCATGATGACTGAATCAAGGAAAAAAGAGATAAAAAGCTTTAGCACCACAGTTTCAAATATTTCAGACAGAGTACATCACTCAAACAGTGTAATCTACTAGCCCAGCAAGATAGGGTAAAATGTACAAACTTTTAATCCTTCCCTCCCAAGATCTAATCAGTGATTCTCCTTACCATTTGGCATACAATTCTTATATTGTAAGTTTGGAGAATTTGGTATTGGTTCAACTGAAAAATCCCTTAACTGCCGTCTTTTTTTCTTCTCATCACATAACTGCTTGAGATTGAATTGATATTGTAAGGAGAAATTCTGTCTCAGTCACTCATGGGAATCAAAGGGTTTACTGAGTGTATCAAGTAAAAAAATATGTTGCAACTAAGCTTTTATCGCATCTCGCCTGTGCTTTCTTAGCATATCAAATTACTGTGAAAAAAAAATTTAAGTAAAATAACAGCAAAGCTGATATTCAAAATATTAAGTGTGCCATTTGTCTTCAGTGCTTGCTTTGTATGTCTGTGAAAAAGTGCAAGAGTGAAAAAAGGCTAACAGCTGACCGGCAAGGAAGAACTGTTATGGGTCCTCTACAAGGCTCCTTTCCACTGTGACACAACTTATGTAGGCACGAGCTGAAAGGCGTGCAAATATAATTGCTACAGAGGGCAAGGGCGTCTAGACTGCATGGGGTGATATAATAACAAAAACACTTGGCATGAAGACAAAATCTGAATCAATCTTATTTCAAAGTAAAGCCCACTGATTGATAAAGCATTAATCGTTTTTTTTTTTTTGCAGACTATCAAAGATAGAAAAAAATGATTCGTCATATTCAATACGATCTACAATAGTGATAATTGTTACCCACGTACGTGACTACTTGCTCAAATTTCTAAAATATCACTATGCAACAAGAATCTACGTTGACAAGTTTTGTTACTCTTTTGTGAATAAAATGCCCTCAAGTCCAGCTGTTAACTGAATCTTCCTACGTAAGCTCGTGGTTGCATTTGTCACCGCCAGTACATGTGTTACGATTTTGTGTTATTATAACATTTTCGCCCAGGCAAGCAATTAGGCTGCAAGGTTTGTTCCATAAATACAAAGTTGCTCACTTAATATCCTTACCTATATGTCTAACTGAAAAAATGCTAAGCGTAATCTAATAATCGGGAAAAAGTTCTCGACAAAGGCAACCAGTTACGTAAGTTCTTAAGGCAACCAGTTACGTAATCAAATCACTGAAGAAGAAATATAAACAAGTTCACCCACCAACAACAGAGAAACTTGCTTTGGCGATAAGACCAAAGCTTCCTAATCCATTAAATTTGTAGAACTGAGACAATTTCGCTCTGAATTTGCCTCTTAACAGCATAAAGCGGCAGGACAAACCTTTGGTGTATTTATCTACCTCGCTATCATGTCTATTGTTTTTTTTTTCTTTTACATGACGTCTTTATTTTAAAGGAAAACCGCATCGCACACGGCTTGCAGGAGTAGGTTTTAAAATGGCCGCTCAAATAGCTAGCAGTGCGATGGAGAAAGTTTCAGAGAAAGTTTCTTTTGCAAAAAAGGTACTAATCTCCTTTAAAGAGAAATTTAGTAACTATTTACTTATTATTTGAAGCATTCATCGTTTCAGGGTTGCTATTTCTTTGGTTTGAGCACTTGAACTTGGGATTGAAACCATCGGAATTTTCTTAATCAACATTTTTTTCATGTACAGATTCCATTGCTGATGAAAGCCACTTCAGACGATAATAATCCAACTTCTGGTTACATGTATCAGGAAATTACTAGTATCCTGTGAACCAAATTAGTTGAAAAGATATCTGCTTTATGACCCTGATTGTTCGATTATGCTATCTGTGCTAGTTACTAATTTTAATTGGAAGTTTCATTTGTCAGTTTATATATGTTTACATACTTGGGTTACCATTGCGTCTCAATTGTATTTATTACTGGAAAGCAGTGGTTGCTTGTTACGCAAAGAAATGTAAGACTTGCACTCAGGAGTAAAAGGTGCCCTATTATCAGAACTACCTGAGATAGACAGGTGGCCTAGCACTGTACAACCTGGACTCCAGGTCATAAGGTGTGAGTGTGTGCTCTAGTCAGGTCATTGTATTGTGGTCTTGGCCCAGACACCTAACTCTCACATTGCCACCCTCTGCACGTGAGTATAAATGGGTGCAAATGAATTGTCAGGGAGGCCTGATGAATGGAGGATACCTTGTAATGGGCATGGGACTAGACATACTTCCCTTGAGGGCTTCTGTAAAATTGAAATGGCAATACTGTTAAAGGGGTAAGTTTCTTAGGAAACTGTGGTGCTACGTCCATGGGAGAGTATAACAGGGTAATTTAGTATTACCAGAGAGTTTTGAGCATTAGTTCTTCATCATTCACCCTGACGAAGGGCTAATGCTTGAAATGTCAGCTTTGAAACTCTTTACAGTGGCCAATTTATGTTATCAACTCAGTTGATAATACTAAATTACCTTGTTAATATTATTTATGAGTGTAACTGGCTTCTTGGTTTATTGTAAAATTGTACTGGTTTATTGAAAGCCACAGCTATCTGCGCAAAATAAGGATTCTTAGGAGCTGACGGAGCAGTACATGGTGCAATGTGGAGATTGTTTTAATAACTAATTAGTAAATGTCTTTCTCAAAATGTTATCCTCCTTAAAATACTTGAGTATCGGAATACAAAACTATCTTTCTGTTTGATTCATTCCAGACAATCACAATTGAACTGTTGTCAACCAATTTATAATCTAACCATTTAAGTGCTTTAAACCATCATTTCTAAACCACAAATTAGATTGATGTGCTTTAGTTAGCAGGTGGTTGTGGAGATAGGAAAAAGAAGTAGCCTTAGAATTATTTATTTATTATAAATCTGCTGGTACATATTAAAAACATTTTGCATGTGCCCTACCAGCTGATGGGGGATTAGTCTTTTGTTTTTTATCAATCTAAGTCAGTTGGTTGTCTAGTTTTGTGCCATTAAAGACAGATAGAACGTTTCCTTAATAAATATTTTAGGTATAACATATGAATCACTCAGCAGCTGCAATTCTCTGTTAGATTTTTTCATCAGTAGACTGAAGAGGCAATCACCATATATCAAGTACAAGGTCTGTGATATGACTGTAAATGATAAGGAAACAGGGATCATTTAACCTTTAAACCTTAAGAGAATTGCTCCCTAAAGAAACAGTGCTCAACCATTTATTAAGCTCGTGAGAATTAAGGAAAAGATTGCCAACCTAAGAAGCTCTTGATTGTGAAACAAATTCTCCTTGTCAGTATCAAAGGAAATGCATAGAGAGGAGTGTGGAGAATATGGATACTGATATTAGGGTGTAAAAGGTTAACAAACTTAATGACTTTTTAACTCTTTCACTCCCAAGATCTAATTAGTAATTCTCCTTACTATCTGCCATACAATTCTTATGATGTTAGTTCAGGGAATTTGGTATTGGATCAACTAATAATCTCATAATTGATATTCTTCTCTATTCTCATCACCTACCTACTTAATATTGTATTGATATTGTAAGGAGAAATTCTGTCTTGGTCACTTGTGGGAGTGAAATGGTTAAGGGAGTCTTCCATGAGAAATTTTCCTAATATACATGATTATTGCCTTGTCAATATACGGTAGATTTGTAACAGAGGGATGGATGCTTACAATTTAAAAGACCATGACAAAAGAGGAAGACCTTTACTGTACCATGACATAAAATACTTAATATATTATCAATTGTTCAAATTTTTTTCTCTGCCTGCAGGTACTAAAGATTTTGTGCTATGTTGGAAGCAATGGTCATTCTGAGTTCAGAAGTGCTCTACGGCATAAAGCTGATATTGTCAGAGAAACTGAAAGTAAGGACTTGTGAATTTACAGTGAGTTTACAATGTGTATTATTTTTTTGGAGGATATTTACCCAGCCTTCATGGCTCAGTAAATATGCATCACTCGCCACCTCCACTTCAGTGGTTAGTTAATTGTTTTTTTTGGTACAGTTACTGTCAGTAATAGCTGGTCACAGTGCTAGTCAGGGGTTCTTCTTAAAAAAAAAACCTGTTCTGTCCTCCCTCTCTTCAGGGTGGGTTGACATTAATATGAAACATCATGAGGCCAGTTGAGCATTGAGTTACTTGCCAGGACTTTAAGCATTGTAAGATAATTTAGTTTTAAATGACTGTGAATATATGAAAGTCATATATTTGAACTGCGGATAAAGACGTGAATATGAGAGCAATCTTTGCAGTAATGAGCACTACTTGCCTTATTTTTTATGAAAGCAATCTTCACAGTAATGGACACTAGCCTTAGTTTCACCACTGCTTAAGTAGTGTTCATTACTGGGGAGATCACTTTCATATTCACATAATTTAGTTTTGTCAATCTGGCTGATATTGTAAATCATCCACCTTGAAGAGTTTAAAAAGCTGACATTTCGAGCATTAGCTCTTCTTTTTTGCTCTGATGAAGAGCTAACCCTTATAACATCATCTTAACATTGGCCTATTTACATTTATAAACTTAGTTGATTAGACCAAATTATCTTGTAATATGGCCATCAATGCAGTACCACAGTTTCTTTAAAAAACTTAACCCCTGTTAACCATTGTAGTTTCCAAAATTTTTACCTTGTGTTTGTTTAGAATAAGTAAGTGATGAGTAAAGAAATCAAGTCACCATGACCAAAATTTTGTTTACCTTTCATTCTAACAAGTAGAATAAATACTGTTGTAGGAAAATTTACAAGATCTAGATTAGTGTATATCCTGTCTCTAAGGTAATTGACTTCAACATCCTTAAGTGATTAACATGCGACTTCTCTCACTAATATCCACACATTATCCATGAAACAGGTAATGAGAATTCTCATAGTTATCAGGGAGAAGTTGTTATCTTGATTTAACACAAAGTGTTATTACTAATTTATAATGTTAATAGGACTGAGTGGAGTCCAATTCAGTCTGTAATCATATGAGTGATTGAGCAAATCCCAAGACTGCAAAGCAGGAGTCAGGTTTGTTAATCATGAGGATGATTACCAACAGAAATGGATGACATAAAGTCCTGTTACCAATTAATCAAAACTATGACAAAGTTCAAGACAGAAGTTAGACTTTGGTCATATGTTTCCAAAAAAAAAAACAATAGGTAACTCAGCAAAAGGTGCAACAAAAGCCCATGCGCATGACATGTTCTGTCTACTTACACAAGCATGATATGTCAACTGTCCTGTTACACTGTCCAATTACAAGCATGAGGCATTCATTGTCTTATTAGTGCTCAAATTGGGCTGGCAATAACCAATCACATTTGAAAATTGTGTTATAGTTTTGATTAATTTAGCAGATAGATGGGAGAATGGATAATCAAATCTTGGAAACTAAAGGGTTAAACTGGCATTAAAACCAAAAATGTTTTTGAGATAAATGTGCTATATTTGAAATAATCTCCTGCATTTTTATTCCTTTGTAGGTTTTACTGGTCAGTTGGATCATCTACAGGGTGATGCTCTCAATCAACGTGTTAGAGCTGCAGCATCAGTGAGTCATAAAATTTATGAATTCCATTTAATAATTGGATAATTATGATACTTAACAAGGAATTTGCTCTTCCAAAACTGCCCAAGTTGTCAACACAAGAAGTTATCCTTTATTCACCAAGAGTGACTAGCATTTAATATCTCCTTACAATATCACCTCTGAATCAAACATTGATGTCCTGAGAATAGTGGAAATGATCACAAATTAAAAAGCTTTTGATTTATAGATAAATTCTCCTTGTCAGCTCCTTGGGAAGTGTATAGAGAATATTATAGAGAATATGCATACTGATGTGTGAGAAGATTGTGTAAGAACTCAAAAGGAGAACAAAGGAAGCAGTTTTAGTTTCGTTACTGTTAGTAAAAGCTCAGCTTACACTGCAGCCTGTGATAACTGCAAGACTTAGAAATCTGTTAACAAAGGAATGTATTTTTGTTAAGGAAAGAAGGCAATAAGGCATTAAAAATCTAGACTAAATGTTGGCAGTGTTCATTTTGTGGTTTTTCCTGATCTCCCATTCAACTGTTTGGAACATTTTCATTAAATTTACCTTTATGAAAGTTTATGTAATGTCAAGTTGAAGTTTTGTTCTCCAAAGAGGAGGTGAATATTTGTGGCAAGGTAAACATCCACCACTTTCTCTGACAATGGAGTGAATAATTGTTTGAGTATCTACCGAACAGAAACAAAAAAAATGTTTTTTTTTTTCTGTCGTTATAACAAAAAATGGTTAGAATTTACATTGTAGACATACAATTTTGTCTCTTCAGCTGCTCAGAGGTGAATAATATTTGCTAATCACTTTTGAACCAGTCAGTCAGCATGTAAGAAGAGTGCTATTCACCTGTGTGGTTTATATTAATAATAATTATTACTTTGTCATGTAGGAGTTAATTGCACTACTCTTCAATGTTGAGAGCAGTGGAACTTCAACCATGCATGGTGAGTGAAAGGAAGAGGGACTGGCTGCTAAGATGGAGGAGGACTTGCCTCAGGGCCAAGGCTCTGAGCTGAGCATTTTTCAAAAACGCTATTGGGCAACTGTGATTCAAAATAAGGTCACCAAGAAAAAATAATCACATGTCAGAAGTAAAAAGCGAGTATCAGTAGTATTTCATGATAAATTTTGTAGTGCTGAGAAGGCTTACCACACAGCATTTGTTGTGAAATAAACAGTGTGGCTGGAAATCACTTCTGCAAGATTCATGTAACATCTCTGATAAGCAAGGAGAAAGATGAATTATTTTGCAGAAGGAAATGACTGTTTTTTGAAAAGTTAACCTGTATTTAACCCTTTAACTCCCAAGATCTGATTGTTAATTCTCCCCTCCAGCTGCTACACATTTCCTTGTCAATTAGTTATGAGAATTTGGTGTTAGATTAGAAAACAACTTCTACCTGATCAGTTTGAGTATTCTCATTACCTGTTTGTGGGATAATGCATGGATATTATAGGGAGAAGTTACTTGTTGATCACTTCCATGATACCCTTACATTACCCAGCAAACAGGTAATGAGAATACTCAAACTTATCAGTTAGAAGGTTTTATCTTGATCTAACAACAAATTCTCATAACCAATTTAAAGGAAATGTGTAGTAGCTTGAGGAGGGAATTCACAATCAGATCTTGGGAGTTAAAAGGTTAATCCAACAGGGGCTAAAATTGAATTATGTGGTACAGACTAATTCACTAGTAACCAGAAATACCTTGGGGAAAGATCTAACTCTGTTTAATTCTTGTCTATAACTGTAGCAATGAGGGGACCAACAGGAAAGAAGATGGAAGGATTTGGAAACTCACCTTCTCAACAGCCAAGTAAGTATTAACCTACTCTTTATGGTTTAAGCCCTAGGCTCATGGGGACTGCTTTTTACTAAAAAGAGAGCAAAACTCTCCAGAATCTGTTCAACCAAGCTAACATATTATTGTGCATGATCTTCCCGAAATTGAAGTGAACATTGATGAGTCAATGAGTCAATCAATGAGTGCAGAAAATCAAACACAATTTTATATAGTATACAATTTAATTGTTAGACATGGAAATGACACAAAAAGTGTTCAAAATCAACATGAACACATAACTGTTGAAGACAACAAAGCAAACATTTAATTGCTCTGTTTTTATAAAGTCATTAATCATAGAATTGGTTTCAAAACTGCTCAATGCTATGTGAACACTCAAGGTATGAAGACCAAAGAATTTGTGCTGCATGTAGCATTATCTTCTTTCTTGAATTTTACTACAGAAAACAAAACGTGGCTTGATTCCATGAAAACTATGGCTGAACATCTTCCAGAGGCAGCAAATCGTTTTGCATCAAAGAAAGAAAAAGAAAGTATGGCATCAACTGGAGGATTAACTGGAGGCATCAGATTTGTTAATTACGTTGATTTTTCAGATCCTGATTCAGGTATCTCAGCAGTTTGTTGTTTTCTATGATGATCAGATGACACATCTGAAAATTCCAGTGGGGACATTAGTGTTTGAATTGTAGAAAATTCCAACACATAGATCTAGTGTATGAAATGTGTTAGATCCTGTTTAGTACTTTTTGCATGATCTGTAAGGATTATTGCACATTTTCAAGTATCCACTATCCTACGGCACTAAAATACACAAGATTCCAGCTTGTGCTTCAGCAATGACGACATTCACTGGAATCTGCCATCTTAAAATGGAGGCAGCATAACCACCTTGCCTGCTCCCTATAAAATCACCATCTCTGAACTCTGATACCTCTACAGGCTATGTATGCATGGGGTTCAATAGCAATAAAGATTGTTGACTAGTGTTATAAATGATTCATTCTAATAATGAATTTTCCTGATCTTAGTAATATTTTGTCTTTCACTTAATATCTGAATTATTCATAGTGGTTAATTATACCATCACAGGGTCTTCAAGGAAGTAAATAGTGAATTAATCTAAAGTAAACACAGACAGAAGTGATCTTCATATTTACAGGAAATATTTGACAAAAAATTCTTAATTACTTTTAATTTGTAGATTCCAAGACATTTGTGGATGATGAAGTCTCCCATCAGTAAGAAACATCTTTGCTTTCTATTTGTAATTTCTAATTAAAAAGACTCACCAGTAAGTTCTCTTCTGCTCAATGGAAGAGCAAAGGAGTACATATTCCGATGGTGTGGAGGTGTGATCCCCATGGGAAACAAAGATATTTCCCCTTTTTCTATCATGACAAATTAAACAAAACACACAATAGTGTTATTGGTTGGAATATACCCTGTATGACTCGAACAAATAAATTTTATTATAATAATTTTCAGTTGCATTGCCATAGGCATGTATTGATCCTTAGAGCATGTAAAAAATATTCAACAGGAGTCAAGAGGGTCTACCTCTATCCCTAACAGGAATTTTGGTCCATTTAGAAAGCAGTATGCACAAGGTATTTTTCAAAACTCCTCTGAGTTGGTGGTCATTTAATATATTAATTGGGGTAAATTGAAAGGTTTAATGTTTCTTTGTGTTTAAATTTCAGTTCATCAGGAGACCAAGAATCAGTAGAACTGGAAGATGCCTTGTCTGTAGAAGTTCATCTTGTTGAAAACATTACATCTGAAGGTGGAATACGTGCAGTGCCTTCAAAGCAAGATTTAAATCAGTTCACAAAAAGGTAGAATTATACTTGGAATATTCTTCCAACTTTTGCATTAGTTTATGGTAATAAATTGTGTTGGTCAGAAATTTACAATTGCTATTGTTGTATTGTTCAGGTTTCTTGCTCTTGCTAGTTTCCATGAAATTCCTGCTTGTTACTTTTAGCTCTGATAAGGAACTTAAACATCACTTATTGAGAAATTCAAACATTCAAAGCATTCATTTAGATTTTTTTTTCTTGTAAGATGCTCTTCCTTAAATTTCAATGAGGTATTGATAGCACTGAACAGCAGACTACTGGAACCAGTCACTGAAGTTCAACTGGTAGGAACGTTTATTACCTAATAAAATATGTGTCTATTATGAAATTACTTAAATCACTCAAGAAAAGATTGTGTCATCAGTGAATACGTTACAGTGTGATTAATTTGTTCCCAAAAAAAAAAAATACAAAACAATAAAATCCAGGTTTATTACAGGGTTTGTACAAGTCTTGGAAAACCTGGCAAGTCTTAGAAAAGGACTACAGGTCTTTGAGAGACCTGGAAATCTGCTTGATTTGTTCAATTAATTTTTCACAATTTACATTGTAAGAAATGTATGTAGACCAGAAGGAGAATTGAATTAGAAATCTTGGAAATGAAAGGCTTTAAGGTGAAATTTGGAGTCCGGAAAAAATCTGAGTCCTGGAAAAGTCCTTGAAATGTGCTTTTGAAAAAGGATAAAAACCCTGTAATTACTATACAGTATGATAAAGAGGGCACAAAATTCAAAGTAATCTCAGTATTGGCCAGTCCATCTTGTAAAATTATCTGTAAAGAACAGTATTATAATTATGACAATGGTATAAAACTATCAATTAAAGAATGTAAGGAAAACATTTACACAAAGTGGGGCACATGTAGGAGGTTGAGGGTTTGAGTCCCAGACCAGAGGAACACTTTAGTGGTTAAAATAATTGAGATGATTGTGCATTCTCTAAAGTGACCTCTACAAATGGTTGGACATTCTGATCTTCTTGGATGAGGAGTCTAAACCAAAGAACTTTTCTCTTCTATTTTCATTGGTATGACTCAGAGGGGGACCTTGCATACATACTGGTTTATTGATAAATACACCAAGCTACTGTGAGCAACACTGACAAGCTAGTTTTCCTTTATGGCACAGAAGATGAAATTATAATAATTAAAATATTAAATGTAAAAATTGTTTTGGCTGTGAAATAACATTTCAATAAAAAGTTTAAAAAATTGTTACAATAACTATAAAGAAAGACTACCAGTAAAATAATAGAAATCTTCTTAATATTTTAAAAGAATCTATTTGAAAAGAAAATGTGATCAAGATAGACCTAGCTGGTCTAATTTTCTTATGGTGTTTTTAACAGTATTACCTTGAAGAACCCATACTCTAATCACAGAATAAGGTGCAAAGACTAGTCTTTGCATGTTTATTTCAGCAGATCCAAATTAGGATACCACTGCCAAACTCTAAACTATTCAAACAAAAAAGCAAAAAAGAAGTAGAGTAAACTTGAATGGATTATACTCAAGAACATAACTCGGACCTAATTTTTTTTCAAGTTCATCCCAGTCTGGACATTTTTTTTTTTTTTTAATGCTTAGACACCATATTTGCTTGTCACATGCCTAGCAAATGAAACACTATTACCATGGCTATTTATGGAGGGGTTATAAATATTAAAATTAAAAAAAAACTATAGTACCATTTCAAATTTGGGATGGTTTAATTTATGAATGTAACAGGCTCTATTCAAAGTGAAATTGTGGTTAAATTTTTTTGTTTTGTTTTGTAAAGTTATGGACTTCAAATGTTTTCTTTTTTTTGCAGAAGTCACTACATGTTTTGGAGCACCTTTTAAAGAGTGATATTCCTTGTGTGGCCTCAAGAATGTCTCGATTTTGCACAAATTTGGAAGGAATTACAAAATCAGAAAGTGGTAGTGTTTTATCCAAGGCTACAAAGGTGAGTGGATCAGATTAATTTACTTAATGAAGAGTGATTTTTTTTTTTAAATATTGTCTGTGTGGATATGCATCATACACATAATGACAGAAACAATATATTGTTTTTATTTAGATCTTGTATTTACTGAATGCAAAAAGAAAAACAGAGGGAACTAAGAAAGGTAAGCATGAAGCATATGATATTGATCATAGATTTTGGCCTAAATAATTGTGACAAACTTCAGAAGGAAATAACTAGCAGTACTCAGTATTTGCAAGAGATGGAATAATAAGCAAAAACAAATTGAGAAATCAGTACTACATGCTTCCATCTGTGATCTTTTCCAAGCTATCAATACCCAAAGCTATATTTGGAAGTCTTTCCAGGGGATAATCCCACCCTAACCCAAGGGATGTGCCCCCCATCATGTATTTTTTTTACCCAAAGGAAATAGCTTATTATCCTAGGTAGTTTGGGTAACTCTCTCTAAGATGGTGCAGTATATTAAGAACAGAGTAAAAGTACTTGTACCAATGTTAATAATATCTGTGGGATTACTGAATGATGTTAAAGGACTTTAATCAAGTAACATGATTGCACTAGCTTATTAGATAGTTGATTGATGAATAAAGACAGAATACAGAAGTTAATTAAAAAGTGAGTGTCTCCTCTAAATGAATACACAACAGATGGGTCCAATAGTTAAAGATCATAGCTTTACTTCATGTAGAACACATACAGTGTAGAGGCATTTGATCATTTGAGGTTGAACTAACTTCAGCACTGAACTCTATCAAGCTTGATTTTGTTTCCTTGCAGATGTTCAAGTCTCAGTTGAAGAAAGAGATGTCCCAGTGGTAAGTTTTATAGACTCTATACTGACCATGTCAGGTTTATACCTCTGATGATCTATTTTTCTTTTCTTTTTTATTATTGTTATTTTTGTTTCTTTATATTTGCTTTTATTTTGACATAACTGGATTCTAAGTTTAAAGCCCAGCAGCCATTTACTAATTCCCTTTGAGATCATATCACGCAATCCTATGTGACCTCAATTTAAGAAGCAAGAAAAAATTCAAAGACAAACCTTTAAGAGGCTCCACAAATGACTAGGTACATCAACAGTACAATTTCGCCTCAGGAAAATGCATCCATTTAGCAATCTTCTCTCTTCACCATGATGAATTAGAGTTGAATTCACCCTTCTATTCTGACTGTTAAGTTGGTAATCTTTGTCTTTTTATATCTTGCAGGTTGGAGACACTGTAGACTCCTCACTTCAGTCAACAACAGATCAAAATCTTGCTCTATTTTCTGGAATGAGTTTGCATTCGGTGAGACCAAAAATACTCGGTCAATTAGCAACTAGAAGCTTATAAACTAAAAGTACTTACTTTCTTTTTCTTTCCCATGCACAGCAAAGAGACACCACTACAATATCGGCACTGTTTGATTCCAACACTACTGTTCCGGAGGTGAAATCTTCAGGGGGAGTTATGGATGTGTTCCAAGGACTTGATCTTTCAAGTGGGAGTGACACCTTTAGAAGAAACAATTCTACAAATCAAAGAGATAAGGGTTCTAAATCTGACTTAGATGATTTGTTTTCCGTTAAAGAGGATATCACACGATTAAGCCCGGTCAAACAGGCTAACGCCCAAGAAGCTTCTAAGGACAGCGTGACAGATCTGTTTGATCCATTGCTAGCGGACAGCAAGAATGCTGTTGGACATCATGTCACGCAATCCAATTTGGCTTCAATTACTGAAACAAGAAAGAATCACTATTCGGATTCAAAGACAAACGTTCTAAAGGATCCGCAACTTGTGAGCTACGGCAACAATATAATATCACCTCAGGACAACAATTTACGTCCAATGAACTCTTTGAATGTAAATACCCCCGGCTCTGTCTCAGTAAATCTTAAAAGCGGTTCACAAATTTTCGGGAATGGAGACGAATTGTCACACAACAGAACTACGCAACCAATTGTCGCGTTACCTGCCAGCGGACCACAAGGAACACTACAGCAATTTCCGATACAATTTCCTTTTAATTCCCATCCAGTCGTTCAACCGCCTGTTATGAGTGGCGCGTCAACAACCCCTTTAAGACTTCCAAAACAGTCGAGTCAAAGAACTGAGTTTAGTTTTGTTGGAAAATCCGGTAAAGCAGATGCGTTTAGTTTTGTCCAAGATGAGATGAAAGCAAGAAAATAGATTTATAAGTAAAATAATTTTGTCACTAAAAAGGATTTATCAATGACAGAACTTTTATATGACGGAGACGTAGTAACAACAGTAGAATGCGTCGAAGATGCCTAAAGACATGAAGACAGAAAAAGAAATGAAAGTAGTTTAATTACAGTGAGAATTGAAGACAGTCCATTTTATATTTTTTACAATAAGTTTAACAATAAAAATTTGCGATAAACATTCTTAAAAACGTTTAAAGATTGCTAAAAAACGACGACATTTCGACGTTGGCCGTTGGCTAAACGTCATTATCAAGTAAAAAAAAATATATTTGCAAGTTGCAGTCTATACATGCCAAAATAACAATGGGTGATAAAAAGCTGTAACGTAAGAAAAGATCATTAGTAATTAAACAAAAAGTTTAGCTCGTATGGAGTCCGTCTGGATATTTAAATTAGGCTTGAGATTCTTGTTGAACAGCATTTCAAAGACTAAACAAACAAATTTTCCCTGGCACTTTCTTAAAACTCTAAATTGGTTTTCTTTCAAAAGGTGGTTGCTACCGTGAGCTTCCACGAAATGTCGACCGATTACCGAATACATTTGTGTTTAGCAATGTATTGATGAAGTTGTCGGGCTGTGTACCCGACATAATCTGCATCGCACAGATCACACGAGAAACGGTAAACAACGCATAGCCGATTCACAATTGACGGCTCGATTTCTTTGGGTTTAGGATCTTGCCCCAATTTCTTGCTCACAAAAACAGGCTGCAATGTAGGGAAAACCTTATGACTAAGATCGCGCAACTGCGCAATAAGAATTAGTCTTCCATTCAAGGATCAAGTGGCCGCGAATGCGGTTCGGAAGCAGTTGTGCGACCTTAGCCATAAGATTGTCCCAACGTTGCTGCCTGTTTTTGTGAGCAAGAAATTGGACAAGATCTTAAACCCAAAGAAATCAAGCCACCAGTTGTTTACCGTTTCTCATGTGATCTGTGCGATGCAGATTATGTCGGGTACACAGTCCGACACCTTCATCAACACATTGCTGAGCACAATTATTCGGCAATCGGTCGACATTTCGTGGAAGCTCACCACAGCAACCACCTCTTGAAAGAAAACCAATTTAGAGTTTTAGGAAAGTGCCAGGAGAAATTTGGTCGTTAAGTCTTTGAAATGCTGTTCATCAAGAATCTCAAGCCTAATTTAAATATCCAGACGGACTCCATACGTGCTAAACGTTTTGTTTAATTACTATAATTGTTCTTTTCTTACGTTACAGCTTTTTACCACCCATTGTTATTTTCGCTTCTGTAGACTGCAACTTGCAAATATTTTTTTTACTTGATAATGACGTTTAGCCAACGTCGAAACGTCGTTTTTTAGCAATCTTAAAATGTTTTCAAGAAATGCTTCATCGCAATTTTTTATAGTTAAATGTTTTTCTAAATCACCTCTTCCTCATATAATAACTTATGTTTGAATTAAATTTAAGCCTGAAGCCTTTGAAGATGCCTGAGGAATATTATCTAGTTTTCGCAATGGTCGAGGGAAATACTGTAAACACTCCTCGCTGTCCTCCGTATGTAGCGTTTCCCTTCCACATACGCGAAAGGACTGTCCGCCCAGTTATCAAATTTACGGACTTCCGAAGTTTTAAATTCGTCCTTTTATTTCTGGCCCACATGAAATGGCTTTTACCCTTTAATAACTGGAAATGCCTTCCTATGAAATCAAATACTATTTACTGTAAAATACTCCTTTTCATCTCGTATCGGTTATCCTAAGGGATTGAACAAGAGCCATTGTTTAAAGACATACATCTTCTTATGTACGTAACATCCGCTCCTGAAATAAAAGGTCACAAGGTTCGATCTGCTTGGTTAGCAGACATAAAATAGCTATAATATTTAATCTGGCTGATGTTTCTCGAAATCACAAACAATACACGGGTGTGTTTCATTTCGCTCTGATTTCGTAATCTGCCTTCGCCATGGAGTCTCTCTTGAAGAATCTCGAAAAACATGTCACCTGTTCCATTTGTCTGGATACTTACACCAAACCAAAGACCGTTGCTTGTCTTCATACCTTCTGCTTGAGATGTTTAGAGGAACACGCATTGAAAACCCAAAGACAAGGACAATTTCGATGTCCCGATTGTCAGGCACAATTGAATATCCCAGAAGGAAAGTGTTTCGATAATTTGCCGACTGGTTTTCTGCAAAACAGCTTGTTGAGTCTTCTCGCTGTACGACAAAGTGGAGATGGAAGTCAGATTACTTGTGGTATCTGTAAGAAAAAGAGCGCCGAGATCAGCTATTGCTTTGCTTGCGAAAAATTATTGTGCCGTGATTGTGTTAATGCACACGAATTGTTTCAAGAGATTGCCTTTCGAGGACACAAAGTGACGGCAGTGAAACAGTTTCAAGCCGTAGATTACGAGGCCTTGTTAAAGCGTCAGTCCTATTGCCCTCAGCCTTACCACGAGAGAGAGGTAAGCAGGTTTTTTTGCCTTGAATGCCAGATTTGTGTTTGTCAAGTTTGCATAAACACTGATCACAAGAATCATAATGTTGATCCGCTTGAGAAAGCAGCGGACGCCGTGAAAGCAAACATTATGGCGGCAGTCGAGTCGATAGAACAAAAGAGGAAAGTCTGTAGCGATGCGATTCACACTTTTCAACAAGTTGTTGAAGAGCTAGAACGAAATGTTACCGCTGCTAAACGAGAGGTTTCCCAAACAGCCGAACAAATGATCGCAAAGATTCGAGAACACGAACAGGAAGCTACAAAAATCCTCGAGAATACACGTGTGGTTAAAATGGAGAAAATAAACACTCTAAACGAGATAGTTAAGTCATTGATCAAACAACTCGACCAAGCGGTTCAGTTTGGAAAAAACCTGGTTGAGAGAAGCTCCAGTTCAGATTTTATGAAAAGTAAGAAAAGTTTAGAGCAGAGATTTGGAGATCTCGACAAGGCCATAGTCCCTGCACTTCCTGTCAGCTCATACGTGAAGTTTTTCTCGACTAATGCACTTGACAACCTAAACCTGGGGCCAGTTATAACCAATGAAACAGATGTACGGTTGTCATCAATGGAAGCTCTTACCGAAAATCTCCAAGCTGGTCTGGAAGTAGAGTTTTTGGTTTGTCCAAAGCGAAAGAGTGAGGGAGAGCTTACAAGTAAATGCCAGCATGAATTTGACGTTAGAGTACTCATAGAACCTGCTGAAGATGTAGCCTGTTTAAGAACCTTTAAAAACGAAAATGATGATTTCCACGTGAAGTTTGTTCCTAAAGTACCTGGCACCTACAACATCACAGTCAAGATAAATGGCTACAAACTTGTTACCAGTCCTTTCAGGGTCCACGCGAAGGAACGACAGATTGATGTAGAGGGAGAGCTGGTTCTAAAGGGAGGAATTCCCATAAGTCCAAACTGGATTGCTCTCAACAGCAAAGGAACGATCGCTATAAGTGATCATAAAAAACACTGTATCCTAACGTTTGATGAGGATGGAAATTTTGTGCGAAAATTTGGCTGCTATGGAAAAGGGCCAGAGCAGCTGGCTTATCCAGCTGGATTGACATTCTTGAATGATGTCGAGCTTCTGGTGGTGGATGACGGTAATGACCGAATTCAACAATTAAATTTACAGACAGGGAACTTTGTGAAGAGCTTTGGAAAGGAAGAGACTGTAGACGGCGAGTTCCTGGAACCCGAGGGAATTTTCTTAAGTGATGAAGGACATGTCATTGTTGCGGATTACCGTAACAACAGAATTCAGGTCTTGGACAAAGATGGTAAATTCATGTACAAATTCGGAGACAACGGCCCTGGAAAGCTAAACCGACCTAGTGGATGCATTTATCACAAAAACAAGTTCATTGTATCTGATATTGGAAATCATTGTTTGAAAGTGTTTGACAAATCAGGGAAGTTCTTGTACAAGATTGGAGGAAAAGGTAAAGCTGATGGACAGTTTTCATCTCCATGGGGTTTGTGTGTTAAGAAATATGGCGATCATCAGAATCTTTTGGTGTGTGACCGAAATAACGGACGCATTCAACAGTTTACAATGGGAGGTCGTTTTATTGGCAAAACTATTGTTAAGCTAAGAGATCCGAAAGCAATAGCTACAACACCAGATGGTCGTATTTTGGTTTGTGACTATGAAGACAAAAAAATTCATATCTTGAAATAGACACTCAAATGTTTTTTTGCAAAAAGAAATAATAATGTGGGAATGGTTACAAAGTTAGCACGTTTATCGTTACACCGGAAATCAAATAATTTATATTTGTTTCTTCTTCCTTGAATATGATTTGCTAAGAGATCTTTGAGGTGCTTGGGATGTATGTATTAAAAAGCGGACTAACGCGAACTTCCACCTCCTTCCGTAGCTCAATTTCTAGGAGTGCATGTATCAGTTGAGAACGCGATCCTCTCCATCGTGTGTATTGAAACTCACATTGGTGGATATCGATCTTCCTCGATCTCAGGTTCCTTTGTCAATATTTTACTCCGGAGAGAATATCGTAGTTTTAGCTTGTCATGTATCTTTAGGTGACAGTTTTCAATTTTGCAGGATAGGACTGAAAAACAACTGTTACTGTGGAAATAATATTCCAGTTTTAGCTTGTTCGGTATCATTGTGAATGAATTTTTTTCAATCTGCCGAACTGGACCAGAAAATACAAACTAGTTCCTTTAAGAAATTCATACAACTATAGAGTTGCTCGCACAGTAAATTTTTTTCTTTATCATCGTTAAATGGTAATTTCTGCACAAGTAACTAGAACACTAGAAAAGTAGACTCGTTCAATTCTGATAGACCGATTTATTGAATTGTAAATTTGCTTAATATCTATTAAGATAAATGTAGATATAAAAAGATGGGTGACTGATATTTTGACTGAGCAAAACTTCATATGTAATGACAATGCTTAGGTTATTAATGACTTACAGGGGCGGATCCAGGAATTTTTGATAGGGGGTGGAGGGGGGCGATGGCTCCAAACTTTAACTCAGAAATTACTACAGGAACTTTGTTGGGCTAATTGCTTCTCCCTGAAACTCCGTCACTCTCTCCAACAACCCACAAATCCCGACCCAACTCCCCCCCCCCCCCCCCCCCGTGCGCCGTTACTCATTATAACCAATTATTATTTAACGCCAGTTTTCTTTGCCCCCCTTACCGTGGACATGGATTTTACTCGTAAAGGATACACCTTTGGAACATCCTTTCCTTGCGCTTGGCTACAAATGCTGTACAGATATCGTCAATATTTTAAGGTCATGGTGCAAATGCATGAGTGCAAGTCCTGACAACCGCTTTCCGAGAAATCGCTATCTTTTAGGCGAAATATGAAAGACGGAAAAAGTCTCATTTAAGGTTCTAATCATGTTTCAGTGACTGGAGTTAACCTGCGCGCGACTGCAATACTGAGATTTAAAACGTGACCGTTGCAATAAGTGCGCAATGCCACTGGAGCTATTCTCTTTTTTCTCCCTTGCACACTACATGCTTGCGATGACATGGCAGTGATAAAGTGATCATATACCTGTCCTCCTACAAACGCGACATCGATGTTGTTCTCGGCCAAACTTGACAAAATAGTGTTGCTATGCTCTCACCATATCTTTTGTCAAGGTTGACAAAGTCGAAAACTACTTCTTTGATATGAGGGAGACATCACTTCTTAGATCTAAAAGCCTTCAGGAAAACACTTAATACTTCTTGATTTGCTTATTTATCCGTCAGCTCATCGCTAATGATTGAGGGAAAAGCGTTTTCCTTTTAAATCTTCTACGGTGTAGCTTTCGACCGAACATATGCCCCAGTGATATCAAGAACTTTCTCTTGTACAGTTTTAGAGGGACTTGTGGCATTTCCCTACCAGTGAGTAATTAAGTGTTCTTTTAAATCGTCATCAGAGTTGCTTAATAGCATAAGAATGGGATGAAAGTTGCCTTTGTTCACGGATGCTACGGTTGTGCTGTCATCTGGATGGCCTCTAAGAGAGATGTTCTGTTTGCCACACAATATTATGGTACTTATAATTGCTCTAAGTAAGTTCATATTTCTGTCAAACATCCCTTGTTTTTGCGTGGAAATTCTTAAATGACAAGGTTTTCTTTGGTTTTTGAGCACTTTGAATTAGCGCAACGCTGGTGTCAAGTGCCCTCTTGTGACATTGCATTTTCTGACGACGCTCAAGTGCTCCATCTTTACCAGTGGCTTTTTTTACCTTTTGAATGGAGCTGTTACAGGTGGCCTTTTCTGTGCTCGAACATCCATCATGCATCACGCAATATTTGCAAAAACCTCCCATTTGACAAGGGCTATATACAAGCTATTACACGTTTCTAATCATAAGGGCTGGAAAACGAGCTTCCTAGAATATTTATCTTTTCCCTTAACCACAGCCCTTGAGAAAAAATTGGAGTATGATGGAGGCGGGATAAAATGGTTTTTAGGGTATTTAGTTTTTTCATGGGATTGGAGAGTTCTTGGATCGACTTTACCACTAACGATGTCCCCGACATCAAAGTATAGTACAACATGCTGATAAGTGGAAGAATCTTGGGAAAAACCGAAAAATAAAGCAAGTAATTTACTGCTAAGCCGTCAAATTGAAAGTGCAGCTTATTGTTTTCAACGTTCTAGATTGTTCTCTATGGATTTTTAACAATTATGATTTGAAAACTCAGCATAACTTAACGTTTACTTAATCGATATCTGAAAAATGCTTCTTGACTGTCTGGGCCACTTAAAGAAGCATTGTTGACAGTTATGCCAAATTCGCTTGCTAAGGATAGAGACTCTGATCGATCTTCGATATTAAGGTCCTTGTTGAGAGACAAAAGCTCGCAAAGTATTGTGCAGATTTTTACAAGTGATTCTAAAAATAGATTGCTTCCCTTTTCACCAAGGAAAAACAGATTTGATTTGACACTGCAAGAGCTCACACTCAGAAACAATCATCCCGTAAAGCGAAAAGGAGGTTAAATTTTTACGCAAATAAATTGGGGATGTGTCATTTAATGCAAAGCAATCGTTTAGGGTCAAATAAACAACTCGTGCGTACCTTGTAAGTAAGAAAGGCTACATATCGACTGGCCAGACAGATTTACATTTTCAAGTACATGAGACAAACAAAACTGAACTTTTAAAAATAGCATGAACTGTAGCTTGTGGCTCCTTGAATGGATTTTGTCTCACTTCAATATAAGCTAGTGAGAAATATCTGAAGCCCATTGTGTGCTTCATGATTGTCTCTAAATGCTCGCCACTTAGATGCCCCATTCATCAAGGCGGACGTTGCTTCACAACATGTCACTTTCAGAGACACGTCTCCTCTTCTGCATACGAGCCTTAGCTTGTTTTAATCTCTTTAAGACTTTTAAACATTTAAAAATACTCGAATACGACACAAAGAGGCTCATTTGGCAAAGCTGTGATGAGAAAAATTAAAATGTTGAAACTATGGGGCTTAAAGGGGCCCCGAAACTGGTATTTTTTGAGGGAGATCGCTGTCTGAAGGGTGAAAGAAATGCTTTGATAAAATTAGATAAAGGAATCATTTAGCCCTGATAACAAGAAATAAATTAGACTCTTGTGTACTTCAGATGACCTCACCAAAGCAATTGCCAAACAGGGAGCTCAGGTTAAATTTGATTAAGAATTGCTGCAAGCTTTCTTCCTGAAAGCTTTTAGATCAATGATTACTGTAGTTTTTTGGCGGCGTTGTTTCTTTTACTTTTATTTTTGTTTTGGACACGCCGGTGAAGAAGTAAAATTTCCTTTTTATGTACAAGCGTAGAGCAGGTCAAAGCTGCTATGAACACAGAATTTTGTAGCTGCTCCGCGCTTGGATCTTAGGACTGAACTGAAAAGCATAATTAATTTTCAATGAGGTTAAACAAAAAATAGAAATAGACCTTTTCACGGTTTCTGACGCCATCTTAGGGGGCTGCCGCCACTGACTCATCGCAAGCATGCCTTTACATGTGATTACAAATGGACTCTAAATTTATGATTTTTATGTAATACTAAGTAGAGATCTTAGAAGAGTTTGTATTGTTAATGAACTGTTCACGTAGCAAAAACAAATAGTGGCATGGCTGTGCACTTCATTTATCTACTTGTCAAAGACTGGATAGTGAAATAAATTTGTGATTTTGTTCACAGTCTTTGCCTTCAGTAAATGAATTACATTTGAATTAATTAAATATACAAATTGAATTTTAAAAAAAAGAGAAGTCGAAGAATCTAAATTAAAATGACCAGCAAATGCTCCAAGAAAGGTAAATTGTGAACAGACCCTAAACACATCGAGCATCTATGTCATTCGGCCGCTCGAGGTCCTGGAATATAAAGCTGATTTTATGCTCTTTTTTTCTGCCCAAAATGGTTGCAACCACAACTAATTTATTCATCAACGGATGTTCTTTGCATGGAAGCCATCACATCATAATTTTCGAGGCTAAAAATGCCGATAAATCTCGTGATGGGTTCGTGACCGGTCTGAGTTGCTTTGAATAGAAAATTGTAGTTTTTCATTGGATGACAATAATCAAGGCCAGTTGAGAGGAGGCTGGGGCTGGGTCCTATCTATTAGTGATAAGGATGATCGTCGAGAATATTGAAGGCTGAAAAAGATGTAAAAGGCTGCTACACTATTGATTTATGAGCCTTTGGTAAAACCAACGTTTTATTCCCCCGCCCCCCCCCCTTTTTAAAATCAGTTCGAGTTCTTTCAGGATTGTACGTCAAGCTCTGTGAAAATAAACCATATACCTTTATTTACAGACAAAGTTTTACAGTTCGCGTTCTTTTATATGAAACGCATGCATTTCCATAAAATCCGTTTTTCATAAGGGGTTCCAATCTGAAATTTAATGAACGACGCACGCTCCTACCGAGTGAATTAATTAAGCCTTGTCAAGTGATTTTTGTTTCCAGCAAATCTTACAAACTCTTACGCTACACTTTTGTGAAGCCCACGTACCTGATCACTGATGAGGATTAACCTTCATCTAACATATGGAATAATTACTGCAAAAACATCTTTTCATCTGCCATCAGTTACACCGAGAAAGGAATGGAGCAAGAGCCTATTGTTAAAGACCACATTACTCGTTGTGTGACTTGACATCGGCTCCGAAAATAAAAGGTCTCGAGGTTCGATCTTCTTGGCTCGGAATCACAAACAATACACGGGTGTGTTTCATTTCGCTCTGATATCGAAATCTGCCTTCGCGATGGAGTCTCTCTTGAAGAACCTCGAAAAACATGTTACTTGTTCCATTTGCCTGGATACTTACACCAAACCAAAGACCATAGCTTGTCTTCATACCTTCTGCTTGAAATGTTTAGAGGAACACGCTTTGAAAACTCAGAGACAAGGACAATTTCGATGTCCCGATTGTCAAGCACAAGTGAACATCCCAGAAGGAAATTGTTTCGATAATTTGCCGACTGGTTTTCTGCAAAACAGTTTGTTGAGTCTTCTCGCTGTACGACAAAGTGGCGATGGAAGTCAGATCAGTTGTGGTATTTGTAAGAAAAAGAGCGCCGAGATCAGCTATTGCTTCGCTTGCGAAAAATTACTGTGCCGTGATTGTGTCAATGCACACGAATTGTTTCGAGAGAATGCCTTTCAAGGACACAAAGTGACGGCAGTGAAACAGTTTCAAGCCGTAGATTACGAGGCCTTGTTAAAGCGTCAGTCGTTTTGTCCTCAGCCTTACCACGAGAGAGAGGTTACCAGGTTTTTCTTCCTTGAATGCCAGATTTGTGTTTGTCAAGTTTGCATAAACACTGATCACAAGAATCATAATGTTGATCCGCTTGAGAAAGCAGCGGATGCCGAGAAAGCAAACATTATGGCGGCAGTCGAGTCGATAGAACAAAAGAAGAAAGTTTGTGGCGATGCGATTAAAACTTTTCAGCAAGTTGTTGTAGAGCTGGAACGAAATGTTACCGCTGCTAAGCGAGAGGTCTCCCAAACAGAGGAACAAATGATCACGAAGATTCTGGAACACGAGCGGGAAGCTACAAAAATCCTCGAGAATACACGCGTGTCTAGAATGGAGAAAATAAATTCTCTAAACGAGCAAGTACAGTCATTGATCAAACAGCTTGACCAAGCAGTTCAGTTTGCCAAAAACCTTGTTGAGAGAAGCTCAAGTTCAGATGTTATGAAAAGTAAGAAGAGTTTAGAGCAGAGATTTGGAGATCTCGACAAGATCACAGTCCCTTTGCTTCCGGTTAGCTCATTCGTGAAGTTTTTCTCGACTAATGCACTTGACAACCTAAACCTGGGGTCAGTGATAACCAATGAAACAGATGTTCGGTTGTCGTCAATGGAAGCTCTTACTGAAAATCTCCAAGCTGGTCTGGAAGCAGAGCTTCTGATTTGTCCAAAGCGAAAGAGTGAAGAAGAGCTTACAAGGAAATATCAGCGTGAACTTGACGTTAAAGTGCTCATAGAACCCGCTGAAAATGTAGCAAGTTTAAGAATTTTAAAAAAGAAAATGATGATTTCCACGTGAAGTTTGTTCCTAAAGTACCTGGCACCTACAACATGAAAGTCAAGATAAATGGCGACAAACTTGTTACCAGTCCTTTCAGGGTCCACGTGAAGGAACGACGAATTGATGTTGTGGGCGAGTTAGTTCTAAAAGGAGAAATTCCTGTAAGTCCAAATTGGATTGCTGTCAACAGCAAAGGAACGATCGCTGTAAGTGACCATAAAAAACACTGTATCTTAATGTTTGATGAGGATGGAAATTTTGTGCGAAAATTTGGCTGCTATGGAAAAGGGCCTGGGCAGCTGTGTTTATCCAGCTGGATTGACATTCGTGAATGATGACGAGCTACTGGTGGTGGATGACTGTAATGGCCGAATTCAACAATTCAATGTACAGACAGGGAACTTGTCGAAGAGCTTTGGAAAGGTAGGGACTGGAGACGGCGAATTTATGGGACCCGAAGGAATATTCATCAATGATGAAGGACATGTCATCGTAGCGGATTACTATAATAACAGAATCCAGGTCTTAGACAAAGATGGTAAATTCATGTTCAAATTTGGAGACAACGGCCCTGGAAAGCTAAACCAACCTACTGGATGCTTTTATCACAAAAACAAATTTATTGTATCTGACAGTGGAAAACATTGTTTGAAAGTGTTTGATAAATCAGGGAAGTTCTTGTACAAGATTGGAGAAAAAGGCGAAGCTGATGGACAGTTTTCATCTCCATGGGGTTTGTGTGTTGAGAAATATGGCGATCATCAGAATCTTTTGGTGTGTGACAGAAATAATGGACGCATTCAACAGTTTACAATGGAAGGTCGTTTTATTGGCAAAACTATTGTTAAGCTAAGAAATCCGAAAGCAATAGCTACAACACCAGATGGTCGTATTTTGGTTTGTGACTATGAGGACAAAAAAATTCATATCTTGAAATAGACGCTCAAATATTTTTTTTGCAAAAAGGAATAAGAATGTGGGAATGGTAACAAAGTGAACACTTACTATTACACTCAGCAAATAATTTGTTCTGTGGATATGATTTGCTTAGAGGTCCTTTAGGTGCATGGGATGTATGTAATAAACATTGAACTGAATAACATGAACTAGACATGCATGAACTAGTGAGCCTGCGATCCTCGCCACCGCGTTTATTGTTGGATATCGAGCTCCGTTCTTTTGTCAATCTTTTTACTTTAGGGGGAATATTCAAGTTTTAGCTTGTGACGTATCTTTACATGACAGTTCTCAATTTTGCAGGATAGGAATGAATAGATGAATTTTTAAGATTTTTCTTATTGAAATAGGAAGCTCTCGCGCAAGGACTTGTTCCTTGGCTAACTAAAAGTCTAATAATTATATAAACATGCTACCTGTGAAGAATGGGTATAGGCAATTTTAAGTTGATGAGTGCAGTAGACAAGGTAACTTCGCAAAGAAGAAGAAATAATTTCTGATCATTATACATGATAAAAAAAATAGGTTATAAATTCATAGTAATAACAAATTCTTGAACTAAAATTAGTGGCCAGTGGTCAAAGGAGAATTTGAGATGTATAACTAACTTTATACTTAGCAAACCAATCATTGTAGTGTAATTTGCATTAAAAGTGGTTTACTATAGAAAATTTCTTTTTTTTTTTTTCTTGTGGCTTCATGGGTATGAGCCATAAATTCATGGATACACTTTAAATCGTGAAACCTGAGGGAGGGAAATTTAAGCAACCGGCTAATTATTGAAAAAAAAAAAACTTTTGGAAGAGAATTGAAGCGAGACCGTCCGTCCTGTCTGATAATATTTGTATGTGAACGAATCTGAAAGGACAATTCAAAAATAACTGTTGTAAAAGATCAAAAGAGGAACTATCGTCTCTTGAAAAGATGGATTTGCTTATCGTGGATATAGTGTTTTGGAGGACAATTCAACTGTGAAACCGGAGGCCTTCGTTTTTCCCGCGAGTTTTGAATTAGTCCCATCATACACTGCGCTAAACTAGATGCGCCTGACCACTATTTGGTGATGGGTTGTAAAATGTCTGTCCAAGTGTCGTAAACGATGCCTAGTTTGAAAAATCACCGCTGTTCACGGCGCCTTTGCGGCGAAACTCTTGCTTAGTATCAACAGCTGTCTATAAACGTCTTGCAAGCAACGTTTTTCACTTGTGTAAAGCCCATATCTATGGCCTACTTCGTGCAGATTGACCCTGCTATGAACAAATGCATTTTGGTTTCCACGAGAGACGGAACTTCGAAGGAAAAATGTGAGCTCAGTTGTTTACCGATGACAGCGTTTGATGGGTCATTTATTCAAGAACTACGTAGAAAGGTGTATCCGGTCGGTTGTAGAGTTATAAAATGCTCATTTGTCATGTTAGCTCACCTCACTTGTAGGTTATTTACATGGTGAGTGCTCCACACTATATTTTACCTTAAAAATTTTTAGGAATAATTTGCCTATGATAGCTTTTGATTGGATAACTAATTAAGGGTGATGTAATAGATCAGAGTTCTCAATAGGATTTGAAGTAGGTATGTAGCCAACTTTATGCAAGCATCTTTGCCAAATGAACATGAAACAATGGTTGGAACAAGTAGACCATACAGTAAGGTATTATGAATCCAAATCTAAGAAGCGATCAATTACCAGATACCTTTTAAAGTTCCTGTAGAAACTGCAATTATATTATTCCTGACTATAATAATAAAAATCAAGTTCTCTTCTACTGATCCTACTTATTGTTAATCACAGTTTTACTTTCATGTTTGGTTCAAAATATTGGTCTGAAGAATCATTATTGTGCCTTTTTATGACAAAAATTATCAAAAACAAAAGACATGAGACTAACATGAGATACAATGTGGGATGATTTTGCCTGATGGTATTAAAGCCACCCTCACATTATTAGAATTAATGTCTTCTTAAAATTTGTCATTTTATTCAATCATCAAGCTATCTTGAATAAATCTGGAGAAGGCAAGTGGTCTGATGACTTTGATAAATGAATTGAGAGATGGGATTAAAAAGCAAGGATACAGAAAAATAGACATTTCTAAGACATCTTTCATAGGACATGAATGTGTAATTAAGATTTGAGTTTTATGCTTTGTTTATTGGTTTATTTATTGAAATTCATTGCATTTAAAAAGGCTCTGAAATTATAGTGCTTGAAATTATTAGGATGTGAGAGTAGTGAAACATCTAAAAGAAGAGAGGATTATTTTTTATTCCTATGAAATTTATCATCATTGTTTATCACTATACCTGAAAACAAAGAAAAAACAAAAAGTTAAGTTATAGAATGAAATCAATTCAATTTCCTAGCTGGAATTGAAGTGGTAATGTTAATACTATGAAATTACATAGGGGTTCCAAAGATTTGGCAACAAATTGAGGTCAGGGTTTTCATTTGTGATGTCCTTTCTACTGGTATGCCTGTGTTAGACTGAAAAAAAATCTTTCACTTTGTTTTCATTTGGACAAATGACAAATGACTTGGAAGTTTTCCTTTGTCCCATGCTTGTGAGAAGATGAAAAAACATCTTTTTCTATAGGAATTCTTGTTTCTAAAAATTTCTTTTCTTGTTTTTTTGTATGAATTCAAATGTAATTTGCAAAAACAACTTTAGTTTTTTTCATCATTGAAGCAGTTGTTAATAGATGGGATTTCATCAAAAGTGCATGTGCCCATTACAAAAAATCATTTTCAGTTCAGTTTCCCCAATGATAAGTCTTACAATTTTATCTGTAGATTACCCATTGTTATGTGAGGTGATTTATCTTTTGGTTGTTCTTTTTTCTGTTCGTGAAAGCTGACACTGCATTGTAGGGTTCTGGGATAGTTCACTCTTTGAACCAGAACTGAACAAGCATCACAAGAGAGATTTGATCATGACATCTGTCAGTGACTCCACAACTCACAGATCCAAGAAGAAACTACCTAACATCCCTCCTCAGGAATTAGCACTGCATGGAAATGGAGGATCATTGGAAGGTGTTGGGAAACCTCATGATTTGCCACCTGAAGTGCAGGCGCAATTTATCAGACATGTGCACAAAAGATCGCGTTCATTGACAGGGCTGGATACAATTGAGTTTGAAAAAAAGTTGCTGGCTGAAGCTGAAAAGGAAAATGTAGAACCAAAACCTTTACTTGAGCAAAGTTTAGCAACACCAAAACAGGAGCAGTTGATTGGAAACCAAGATGAGAGGACAACATTTGCACATTCTTTGCCATCAACTCCAGGTATGATTGCAAAATGATGAGGTTATTTTTTTTCCTGTTTCATTGGGATAATAAGGAATGCTATTCTATGTGTAAAGAATGAGCTTTGAACTGACTAATGTGAAGGTGACTTTGAGTTTTGTTACTCCCCTTGGATGTGATGCTAGTCCATCAAAGTTTTACCTAGGTCTTTTATCAGGCCTCCCTGGCAGTTATCTGTGGCTTGTTTATACTCCTGGATGGAGAGAGGCACTCAGTTAGTAAAGAGACTTGCCCAAGAATGGAACACCTGACCTTGTCAGTTCTTAAACATGTGTCTTTCAATGCTGAATTCAGCACATTAACTGTCAGGCCACTGCCTCCTACAAACAGCTAGATAAAAACTGCTAAAAGTGACCAGGGCGCCTCACAAGAATGTCCACATCCGTAGTGTGAAAAACTCATCTAAGGGATTTAAAACAATCAATAAACTATTTCATGTTGTTTAAATACTGACTATTTCTTTGGATGCATAAGTTGTGATTTACATTTTCCTTTGGTGTAAGATTTTTAACCAGTTTAAGTTGTGTAAGTTTTTGTTTGTCTTAGAGTACATTTATAGTGTTGAGACCAGAAAAATTGAACCAGCTTGACATAAAGACACTTTTGATCACAAGGTTGACCTACCAGGAAATGTTAGTTTTAGACATTCAGAACTTGTTCAATACACTTTTTTGACATCTTTCTGCATTTTAGTAAGTATTCTTACTTGGTAGATGACAATTCAAACAATAACGTGTATACTTTTTGTTTTATTAAATAATATTGCTTGTTTTGCAGGGTAGCCATCAAAATGCCAATACCACCAACAGCTCTGTAATTCAGACAAACAGGTGTGACCAAACAAAATGTGGCAGACCTGTAGACATTCTTGAACGTGTGGCAGTGGAAAATCATGTATTTCACAAAAGCTGCTTTGTTTGTGCAATATGCAACTCTTGGCTAAACCACTTTAACTACTGATTTGTTCCTGTCCATGACAAAATTAATTTTACACTATCAGGATTCAACACTTGTTGCATTCAACACTATCAGAATATTGAGAGTGCCAGTTTTGGATTAGGAGAAGATATTTGGCATGCAATGGGTATAGGACCAGGAGTACAACAGCAATTTAAATTTACACCAGGTGTGTTAAGTACATATTTCCTTTTTAATTAAGTAATTATATTTTGGGAAGGAATTTATTATAGCCTCCAGCCTCCAGCCTCCCAGCATTTCTGATCAATCACAATCAATCATCTGGTTGGAGATAATCTGCCATATCACAGGTAGATTGGTAGCAAATTGAATGATAACAGTTCTAAACAGTTTAAAGAAGGCTGAACTTTCCACATGCATAATGGTCAATCTAATAACTTAATTAAATTGTTTGTTTGGTCTCAACAAAAAGAATACAGGTCCTGGAAAGACCTGGAAATCTGCTTAATCTAACACTTTAGATCCCAAGATCCAATTGTTAATTCTCCCCTCTAGCTGGCACATTTTCTTGTAAATCAGTTGTGAGAATTTGGTGTTCGATCAAAATAAAAACTTCTACCTCTTAACTTTAAGTATTCTCATTAGTAGTCTGCTGGATAATGTATGGTTATCATAGGAAGAGGTTACATGTTAATCACTTCTGGTAGTGAAAGGTTTAAGCAATAAATATTTCCCAATTTACGTTATAAGAAATGTATGTAGACCTTAAGGAGAATTGATTTTGAAATCTTGGGAATGAAAGGGTTTAAGGTAAAATTTGGAGTACTAGGAAAATCTATCTGAGTCCTGGAAAAGTCCTTGAAATGTGTTTTTGAAAAAGGGGAAGAACCCTGTAATCATTTTACAGTATGGGGAGGAGGGCACAAAATTCAAGGTAATTTCAGAATTGGCCAGTTCATGTTGTAAAATTATCTGTAAAGATCAGTGTATTATTTTAATGATGATGGTATAAAACTACCAAAGAACATTAGGAAAACACTTAAAAGACAAAGTGGGGTACATGTAGGAGGCCATAGGTTTGGGTCCCAGACCAGAGAAACACTTGGTGGTTAAAATAACTGAGTTAAATGTGTGCTCTTTAAAATGACCTCTACAAGTGGTTGGATATTCTGATCTTTTTGGATGAGGAGTCTAAACCAAAGAACTTTTCTCCTGTATTTTCATTGGTATGACTCAGAGGGGACCTTGCATATGCACTGGTTTATTGAGTAAATACATTTAGCTATTGTGAGCAACACTCACAAGCTAGTTTTCAGTCTTGGCACAGAAAATGAATTTAAAATTAACTGAATAAATGTAATTTCATGATAAAAACTGTTTTTCTTTGAAACAACTTTTATATAAAAAGTTTAAAAATTTGGAAAGAGAGTCCACCAGTAATTAGAAATCTTAATGTTACTTTAACCCTTCAACTCCCAAAGGTGATTAACATGTAACTTCTCCCTACAGTATCTGTACATAATCCAGCAAACAGGTAATGAGAATACTCAAACTTATCAGGTTAAAGATATTTTGATTAAACACCAAATGCTCATAACCAATTTACAAGGAAATATGTAGCAGCTGGAGGAGGGAATTAACAATCAGATCTTGGGAGTTAAAGGGTTAAAATAACTTTTTTTAAAAGGAAAATGTGATCAAGATGGGCCTAGCAGGTCTAATTTTGTTATGGTGTTTTTAAAAGTACATTAAAAGATGGTACGATCTTACTGATTTCCATCATTTCAGTGCAATTTACCTCCACAATTTTAATTTATAAGCCAATGTGTTGGTCTGTGGCAGCTTTTATGATATAAGTTACCCAAAGTTAAATCATATTAATCATGTTAGACCTTAAAGAACCCATGCACTTACTGTATCACAGAATAAGGTACAAATACTAGTCATGTTGTGGACTAGTCTTTGTGTGCTTATTTCAGCAGATCCATATCAGGATATCACTGCCAAACTCTAAAGTACTCCAACAAATAAGCAAAAAAAATATAATAGACTTGAATGGATTGCACTCAAAAAAAAAATTTCGACCTTTTTTTTTTTTTTTTTTTTCAAGCTTATCCCAGTTTGGATAAATTTGTTTTTGTAATGCTTAGACACCATAATTGCTTGTCATATGATTAGCAAGTGAAAGACTCTTACCATGCCTATTTTTATTGAATAGGTTATACTATTTAGATTACAAAACTAAAGTACCATTTCAAATTTGGCATGGTTTAATTTATGAATTTTGGGGCTCTATTCAAAGTGAAATTGTGTTTAAATTTTTTTGTTTTGTTTTTAAAGTTATAGAATTCAATTTTTTTTTGTTTTTGCAGAAGTCACAACATGTTTTGGAACACCTTTTAAAGAGTGATATTCCTTGTGTGGCCTCAAGAATGTCTCGATTTTGCACAAATTTGGAAGGAATTACAAAATCAGAAAGTGGTAGTGTTTTATCCAAGGCTACAAAGGTGAGTGGATCAGATTAATTTACTTAATAAGGAATGATTTGTTTTATGAAATATCATGTGTGTGGATATGCATCATTCACATAGTGACAGAAAAAATATATTGTTTTTACTTAGATCCTGTATTTACTGAGTGCAAAAAGAGAAAAAGAGGGAAATGAGAAATGTAAGGATGATGCATATAATATTGATCATGGATTTCGGCCTAAATCATTGTGATAACCTTCAGAAGGAATGAACCAGCAGTAATCAGTATTTGCAAGAGATGGAATAAATTAAACAAAAACACAAATTGAGAAATCAGTACTACATGCTTCCATCTGTGATCTTTCCAGGCTCTTAATACCCAGAGCTAGCCAGATGCCCCATTCATCAAGGCGGACATTGCTTCACAACATGTCACTTTCAGAGACACGTGTCCATCTTCTACATACAAGCCTTAGCTTGTTTTAATCTCTTTAACACTTTTAAGCATTTAAAAATACTCGAATACGACACAAAGAGGCTCATTTGGCAAAGCTGTAATGAGAAAAATTAAAATGTTGAAACTATGGGGCTTAAGCTGTGTAGAAACTGGTATATTTTGAGGGAGATCGCTGTCTGAAGGGTGAAACGCTTTGATAAAATTAGATAAAGGAATCATTTAGCCTGGATAACAAGAAATAAATTAGACTCTCGTGTACTTCATTTGACCTCAGCAAAGCAATTGCCAAACAGGGAGTTCAGGTTAAATTTGATTAGGAATTGCTGTAAACTTTCTTTCTGAAAGACTTTAGATCAATGATTACTACAGTTTTTTTGCGGCGTCGTTCCTTTTACTTTTATTTTAGTTTTGGACACGCCGGTGAAGAAGTAAAATTTACTTTTGATATACAAGCGTAGAGCAGGTCAGAGCTGCTATGAACACGGAATTTTGTAGCTTTACAAAATTCCGCACTTGGATCTTAGAGCTGAACTGAAAAGCATAATTAATTCTTAATGAGGTTAAACTACACTAGAAATAGACCTTTTCACGGTTTCTGACGCCATCATAGGGGGCTGCCGCCACTGACCCATCGCAAGCATGCCTTTACCTGTGATTACAAATGGACTCTAAATTTATGATTTTTATGTAATACTAAGTAGAGATCTTGGGAGAGTTTGTATTGTTAATAAACTGTTCACGTAGCAAAAGCAATAGTGGCATGGCTGTGCGTTTGATTTATCTATTTATCAAAGACTGGATAGAGAAATAAATTTGTGATTTTGTTCACAGTCTTTGCCTTTAGTAATTGAATTACATTTGAATCGATTAAATATACAAATTGAATTTTAAAAAAAAGAGAGAAGTCAAAGAATCTAAATTAAAATGACCGGCACATGCTCCAAGAAAGGTAAATTGAGAACAGACCCTAAACACATTGAGGATCTATGTCATTCGGCCGCTCAAGGTCCTGTAATATAAAGCTGTTTTTTTTCTTTTTTTTTTTCTGCCCAAAATGGTTGCAACCACAACTAATTCATTCATCAAAGGATGTTCTTTGCATGGAAGCCATCACATCATAATTTTCGAGGCTAAAAATGCCGATAAATCTCGTGATGGGTTCGTGACCGTTGCTTTGAATAGAAAAATGGTATTTCTGACGAATGAGTCTGCGAATAAGGCAGAAATAAATATTTTGTCGGCACGAGATACGACAAGGCCTGGGCCTTAGGCCCGAGCATCATGGGTAATGATGCAGTGGTATATAAGGGAAAGTATAGCACGTGGTGTCCATCTAGGCCTCAGAACCAACCGTTCACCTCTGTCTGATGACAAATTTAGTTTAGTTTGAAAACATATTTTCTTTAGCTGTGAAGCCTCGTAGGATGGGCTGCCAACTGCTCTGAGTTTGGGCCATGGTTCCTACCCAGATTTCCTGTCTTGTTTTTTCCCCTAAGGGTTTTTTTCTAGCCTCTGTATAACCGTAGTTATGTCCTTGTAAACGGTTGCCCATCTCTGTTGATCCAGACTTGGCGAAGTTTGCATGTTAGTAATGTATACCTTTTTTTTTAATGTGTAAGGAATTGACTGTATATTAGGATTGTATATGGTATACCAGTTGCGAATATATGTATGTATGCATGCCCCGGGCTATATATGCCTCGGGTTGGTTCTCGGCAGGCTTCCCTAAATAAACTTATTTGGTGTACACTACTGTGTTATTTGTTGTGTAGTGGAGACAAAGTTTTTAGTTTTTCACTGGATGACAATAATCAAGGCCAGTTTAGAGGAGGCTGGGGCTGGGTCCTATCTATTAGTGATAAAGATGACCGTCGAGAATATTGAAGGCTGAAAAAGATGTAAAAGGCTGCTACACTATTGATTTATGAGCCTTTGGTTAAACCAAGGTTTTATTCCCCCTGCCCCCCCCCCTCCCCTTTTTAAAATCAGTTCAAGTTCCTTCAGGATTGTAAGTCAAACTCTGTGAAAATAAACCACATACCTTTACTTACAGACACAGTTTTACAGCTCGCGTTCTTTTATATGAAACGCATGCATTTCCATAAAATCCGTTTTTCATCAGGGCTCCAATCTGAAATTGAATGAACGACGCACGCTGCTACCGAGTGAATTAAGTAAGCCTTATCAAGTGATTTTTGTTTCCGGCAAATCTTACAAGCTCTTACGCTACACTTTTGTGAAGCCCACGTACCTGATCACTCATGAGGATTAACCTTCATCTAACATATGGAATAATTACTGCAAAAACATCTTTTGATCTGCCATCAGTTACACTGAGAAAGGAATGGAGCAAGAGCCTATTGTTAAAGACCACATTACTCGTTGTGTGACTTGACATCGGCTCCGAAAATAAAAGGTCACGAGGTTCGATCTGCCTGAATGGCTAGCATATTTATTCTGGCTGATGTTTCTCGGAATCACAAACAATACACAGGGGTGTTTCATTTCGCTCTAATATCGAAATCTGCCTTCGCGATGGAGTCTCTCTTGAAGAATCTCGAAAAACATGTTACTTGCTCTATCTGTCTGGATACTTACACCAAGCCTAAGACCATAGCTTGTCTTCATACCTTCTGCCTGAAATGTTTAGAGGAGCACGCTTTGAGAACCCAAAGACAAGGAGAATTTCGATGTCCTGATTGTCAGGCACAAGTCAATATCCCAGAAGGAAAGTGTTTCGATAATTTGCCGACTGGTTTTCTGCAAAACAGTTTGTTGAGTCTTCTCGCTGTACGACAAAGTGGCGATGGAAGTCAGATCAGTTGTGGTATCTGTAAGAAAAAGAGCGCCGAGATCAGCTATTGCTTCGGTTGCGAAAAATTACTGTGCCGTGATTGTGTTAATGCACACGAATTGTTTCGAGAGAGCGCCTTTCAAGGACACAAAGTGACGGCAGTGAAACAGTTTCAAGCCGTAGATTACGAGGCCTTGTTAAAGCGTCAGTCCTTTTGCCCTCAGCCTTACCACGAGAGAGAGGTAAGCAGGTTTTTTTGCCTTGAATGCCAGATTTGTGTTTGTCAAGTTTGCATAAACACTGATCACAAGAATCATAATGTTGATCCGCTTGAGAAATCAGCGGATGCCGAGAAAACAAACATCATGGCGGCAGTCGAGTCGATAGAACAAAAGAAGAAAGTTTGTGGCGATGCGATTAACACTTTTCAACAAGTTGTTGTAGAGCTGGAGCGAAATATAACCGCTGCTAAACGAAAGGTTTCCCAAACAGCCGAGGAAATGGTCGCGAAGATTCGAGAACACGAGCGGAAAGCTACAAAAATCCTCGAGAATACACGCGTGTCTAGAATGGAGAAAATAAACTCTCTAAACGAGCAAGTAAAGTCATTCATCAAACAGCTTGACCAAGCAGTTCAGTTTGCAAAAAACCTGGTTGAGAGAAGCTCAAGTTCGGATGTCATGAAAAGTAAGAAGAGTTTAGAGCAGCGATTTGAAGATCTCGACAAGGCCACAGTCCCTTCGCTTCTGGTTAGCTCATACGTGAAGTTTTTCTCGACTAATGCACTTGACAACCTAAACCTGGGGTCAGTGATAACCAATGAAACAGATGTACGGTTGTCATCAATGGAAGCTCTTACTGAAAATCTCCAAGCTGGTCTGGAAGCAGAGCTTCTGATTTGTCCAAGGCGGGAGAGTGAAGAAGAGCTTTCAAGTAAATGTCAGCGTGAACTTGACGTTAAAGTGCTCATAGAACCCGCTGAGGATGTAGCAAGTTTAAGAACTTTTAGAAAAGAAAATGATGATTTCCACGTGAAGTTTCTTCCTAAAGTACCTGGCATCTACAACATGACAGTCAAGATAAATGGGAACAAACTTGTTACCAGTCCTTTCAGGGTCCAGGTAAAGGAACGACGGATTGATGTTGTGGGCGAGTTAGTTCTAAAAAAAGAAATTTCTAATTGTCCAAATTGGATTGCTGTCAACAGCAAAGGAACAATCGCTCTTAGTGACGGTGAAAAAGACTGCATTCTTATGTTTGATAAGGATGGAAATTTTGTGCGAAAATGTGGTTCTTATGGAAAAGGGCCTGGGGAGCTATTTACTCCAGCTGGATTGGCATTCCTGAATGATGACGAGCTTCTGGTGGTAGATGACAGTAATGGCCGAATTCAACAATTCAATGTACAGACAGGGAACTTTGTGAAGAGCTTTGGAGAGGAAGGGACTGGAGACGGCGAATTTAGAAGACCCGAAGGAATTTCCATAAATAATGAAGGACATGTCATTGTAGCGGATTGCTTTAACGACAGAATCCAGGTCTTGGACAAAGATGGTAAATTCATGTTCAAATTTGGAGACGATGACCCTGGAAAGCTAAACGCACCTAGTGGATGCATTTATCACAAAGACAAGTTCATTGTATCTGACAGTGGAAATCATTGTTTGAAAGTGTTTGATAAGTCAGGGAAGTTCTTGTACGAGATTGGAGAAGAAGGCGAAGCTGATGGACAATTTGTATCTCCATGGGTTTTGTGTGTTGAGAAATATGGCGATCATCAGAATATTTTGGTTTGTGACAGAAATAATGGACATATTCAACAGTTTACAATGGAAGGTTGTTTTAGTGGCAAAACTGTTATTAAGCTAAAAGATCCGAGAGCAATAGCTACAACACCAGATGGTCGTATTTTAGTTTGTGACTTTGAAGACAAGAAAATTCATATCTTGAAATAGACATTCAAATGTGTTTTGCAAAAAGGAATAATGTTGTGGGAATGGTAACAAAGTTAGCACTTTTATCGTTACACCGGCAATGGTGACTGTGAAGACAAAAAAATTCATATCTTGAGACAGACACTCAAATATTTTTTGCAAAAAGGAATAATAACGAAGGAATGATAACAAAGTTAGCACTTTTACCAGTAGACTCAGCAAAAAATTCGTGCTGTGAAAATGATTTGGTTAGAGGTCCTTTAGGTGCATCGGATGTATGTAATAAACACTGAACTGAATAACATGAACTAGGCATGCATGGATCAGCGAGCCTGCGATCCTTACCACCAGGTGTATTGTTGGATATCGAAGTCACTCGTTCCCAGGTTCCTTTGTCAATCTTTTATTTAGGAGGGAATATTCAACTTTTAGCTTGTCACGTATATTTACGTGAAAGTTTTAATTTTGCAGGATAGGAATGAATGAATGAATGTCTTAAGATTATTTCATTGAAACATATCAAATTCATGGGGTACAAATAGTCTTAACATGAATGTAGTGACCACGCCCACTTCAAAGCCACTCGAATCGAGTGTAATTTTCGAATGTTTTACCATCGTGCGGATTCTCTACGGAAAAAGCACTCAATGTACCTCTGAAATATTAAACTATAATATTGTGGCTTTCTATTTCGCTAATTTTCTAACTTGAAGGTAAAGTTTTTCCCCCGTCATTTTTACCTTTCCTTCGAGCGGTTGCGTGAAATGAACAAGGCGTTTTTGATCAAAACACGACCGAGCGAGGGGTCTCGGGCGATATCTCTTTTACGCAGGCGCATTTTAAAAATGTACTGCCAGAATCAAAAAGAGGAACAAATTTCCTTTGTTTTGACATGTAAAGTGTAGAACAAAAAGCAGATTTACCCTCGTCAAATGGCGTTTCAAAACAGCTGTATCTTCCTCCTTTTGATTTTTTCCTGTTTTGTAAGCGTGAAAGCAGTAGGAGAGGGATCGGGAAACTCAGAAAGCGCTTCGGGAATTAATCTGGCATCGTTTACTTACAAGATAAACAAGTAAGATTTGTGAAGTTCGTTGAAGTATGAAGTCTAAATAAATGACTTTTTTAAGCTTGTTTGCTGGATTTTTCGTAAACTTCCCTGATTAATTTTTCGTTTCAGCTGACTTATCTATACTATTTCAAAGCAATGCAAAGACGAAGACGGAGAACCATGAGTCGGTCCTCTCAACAATCGTAAACAAAGTGTTTGAGCAATCAGGTATACGAGGAGTAATAATCAACAGCCGCATATCAGAAGTCTTCAGATGGAAAATATTCTGTCTTCAGAAAGCTGTCAAGAAAGCTAGTAATCGTAGTGGAAGGCAATCAAATGCACTTCTTAGCAAGTTGGAAACGGGCCCTCGGTATCGATCTAATATCATATCGATCTCAATATCATACAGTTTTGTATCTTTCTTCCGTGGATTCGCCTTTCTAACGGGGGTGTATGTTGAGTATTCATTGCAAAATCGCTTTGTTTTTTCTATTTCCCTCTTTGGTCTGTTCGCAACGGAGAGCATGCACATTACGTGGGGCGATTTTAAGTTGATGAGTGCAATAGGTAAAGTAAATTTGCAAACAAGAAATACTTATTTTTCATTATACATGATGAAAAAATTGGTCATAAATTCATAGTAATAGCAAATTCTTTAACTAAAATTAGTGATCAGAGGAGACTTAGAAATGTGTGACTAACTTTATACTTAGCAAACCAATCATTGTAGCGTAATGTGAATTAAAGTGGTTTAGTATAGAAAATTTGTTATATGTTTTTTTCCTGTGGCTTCATGTATAAGCCATAAATACATGAATACGTTTCAAATCACGAAGCCTGAGGGAGGGGGGGGGAGAAGGGGAATTTAGACAACTGGCTAACAACTGAAAAAAAATTTGGAAGGGAATTAACGTGACCATCCGTCCTGTTTGATAACATTTGTATGTGAACGAATCTGGAAGAACGATTTTAAAATAACTGCTATGATCTCTTGTAAAGGTGGATTTGTTCATCGTGGTTATGTGGTTGCTCGTCGTGAGTATTCTTAAAGAACTTTTGATCATTTGTGTCACGATATAGAGTAACTATCAATTTCAGAGTAAAATTATCAATATTAGAAGGATTGTCTTTAGACCAAAATACATTCAAATCCTAAACAGCTTTCTTACTAGGTGGCCTGTCATCAAATTCCCGGAATAGTTATCGTTAATTTGACCACTCATGCATTCATTGTCACTAAATGGATGTAGATAGCCTTTTAAATTCCCATATAGCTTAGGGTGCGTTCCTTTGGGAGAGTCCGGATCAGGATTTCTGATCTGTGGCGTTCCTTTCGAGCAAATTCATTTTCAGATCAGTGATCTATCAAATCCACTCTGGACAAGGATTCATCGGATCTCTGATCTGCGTGATCTAAGAACGGAGCATTGGATCACTGACCCAACACGTTCCTTTGGGCGAAGGATCCGAAATTAATCATTTTGCCCAGCGGTGCTCAATTTGAAACAAGTATGTACTTCACATATTGACCGGAAAGATTGTTGGTAATGTGGGTAGCAGCGGCCATCCCGAGGGGTCGACCCCCGGGCACCCAGGGGCATTTGTCACAGCTGCCGTGACAAATACATGCTAAAGCCCCTCGGGTAGGGCAAAAAATTGGGACAAATACCCTCACCCCTGGAGCAACCTGGGCAACATATAGTCGGTGTTGCCTGTTCCTCGATGCAAAAGTACGAGTGATCATGGTTTACTGAAGCCACATCAGCACTAAAATCCACACAAGTCTCTATGGAGTCCTCAAATTCGAGCTTTCTGGGGCAAACTTTCTTGGCTTGCGGTTGTTCATCACACTGTCTCTTCCTATCGGCAAGACGCTTCGAATGCGAACTAACCGTATGAAATTGAAATCTCGATGTCGCTTTCCTTAAAATGCCGAGTGTCTTGAGTGTCGTGGATCGCCGAGTGTCTTGAATTTTTTATCCGCTCGCTTACAGAAAACCTCCCACTTCTTACGCTCATTGGGCCTTGTAGGAAAGCAAAAATAACAGCAGATTACGTGCAAATCCCGTGGGTATGGCCTCGGGGTATTTTGCCAAAAACGCAAAAGCGCTCTAATGCCCCGCGTGCGGGGCATGCCTTTGCTACAAATCCCCTGCTAAGCCCGTGGGTTGCCCTTGGGTTGCCCGGGGGTCGACCCCTCGGGATGGCCGCCGATACCCGCATAATCGCTCCACAAATTCTGCGGTAAACACGAAATAGAATCGATTTTTTAATTTTAAATCGATCGGCCAGTGATCGCAGGCATTCAGGGTTCCCAAGTATCCATATCGTAAATTAATACTTGCCTCTTTTTTAATTCCATCGGAAGGGAAGAGCCTAATAACCCACGTGCATACTTCCAAAGGAACGCAGCCTAAAACTCCGTTCCTTTCATGCACCGTGATTTGTATGATCTTGGATCACAAAGCCAAATCCGGATCCTCCCAAAGGAACGCACCCTAAGTTATTTCATTGTATTTCACCCCTTTTTAAACGCTGGGTCAGTCATCTGGTAAACTGCAATCAAGAAAAAGAGAGGTTTGACGGTACAATGGTTCAAAGGAATTTCAACTCACAGAGTTCACAGTTATTTGAAATAAGTGATAAGTTAGAGGTTTGCATGCTGTGCTTAAAATACGGTGTTCTGGAGGGCAATTCAGCTGTTATACCGAAGGCCCTCGTTTTCCCGCGCGTTTTGTATTAATCCCATCGTGCACTGCGGTAAACCAGATGCGCCTGACTACTATAGTGAGGAGTTGTAAAATGTGTCTGTCGAAGTGTCGTGGACGATGCTTAGTGGGCAGTTTTCCTTCTTAATTCTGATTAAGGGTGATGTAATAGATCAGGGTTCTCAATAGGATTTGAAGTAGGTGTGTACCAAACTTTAAGCAAGCGTTTTTGCCAAATGAATATGAAACAATGGTTGGGACAAGTAGACCATACAGTAAGGTATTATGAATCCAATCTAAGAAACAATCAATTACCAGATACCTTTTAAAGTTCCTGTAGATATTGCAATTACATTGTTCCAAATATTAAACATCAAGTTATCTTCTACTGATTCTACTTATTATTAATCACAGTTTTACTTTTATGTTTAGTTTGAAGTATTTGTTTAAAGAATTATTGTTGTGCCTTTTATGCTAAAACTTTTCAAAAACAAAAGACTAACAAGAGATACCATGTGGGATGATTTTGTCCAATGGTATTGAAGTCAAAAGAAGCTAAAGAAGCTCTTGACTGTTGAACAAATTCTCCTTGTCAGCACCTTAGGAAATGTATAAAGAACAGTGTGGAGTGAATGCATACTGATGTTAGGGTGTAAGAGGTTAAAGTCACCCTCACATTATTGAGTTAATTGGTCTTCCTAAAATTTGTCATTTTATGCAATCATCAAGCTATTTTGAATAAATCTGGAGAAGGCTAGTGATCTGATGTCTTAGGTAACTATATTAAGAGATGTGATTGAAAAGTAAGGATACAGAAAAATTGACATTTCTGAGACACATCTTTCATAGGATATGAATGTGTAATTATGATTTGAATTTTATGCTTTATTTATTTGTTTATTGATTTATATTCAAGGAATCTAAAAAAGAGACTGAAATTGTGCTGCTTTAAATTGGTAGGGTGTGGGAGTAGTGAAACATCTAAAAGAAGAGAGGATTATTTTCTATTCCTATCAAATTTATCATCATTATTTGTCATTATACATAAAAAAAAACCAAAAAAAAACAAGAAAAAAAACAAGAAAAAACAAAAATTTAAGTTATAGAATGAAATCAATTCACATTTTCTATTTTCCATCTGGAATTCAAGTGACAACATTAATATTATGAAGTTCCACAAGGGTTTCAAAGATTAGACAAAAAATCAAGGTCAGGGTTTTTATTTATGATTTCCTTTCTACTGTTATGCCTGTGTTAGATTGATTAAAAAAATCATTTTTCACTTTGTTTGAATTTGGACAAGTGACAAAATATTCAATGTAGTCTTTAAAATAAATATGTTGTCTGTAACACAGGTGTTCTTGTAATTAGAATAAGAAAGATGGAAAGGTTTGAGCTCTGTAAAGAATTGGAGAAAGATGTTTTTTTTTGTCTTGTTGCAAGTGTGGGACATAGAAAAAATTCTGAGTGCTTGTATGCTGTACCACTGAGCCACAAGGACTCTATGGAGAGCAAGGCTCATTATGAATTTCATATACAAAACATGACACTAGCAACTTTGATGATCCCAATAGTATGCATGAGGCATGTCATATATGAACTTTGTAATAGGCCTTGCTCATTATAGAGCCTCTGTGGCTCAGTGGTAGAGCATTAGTGTGTGGAATCCAAAAGTCTTAGGTTCAATTCCTCATGCGACTTAGAATTTTTAATTTGACCTATGCTTGTGACAAGAAGAAAAAACATCTTTTTCTATAAGTATCCTTGTTTCTAAAATTTCTTTTCCAGTTTCTTTGTATGAATTAAAATGTAATTTGCGCAAACAGCTTTAGTTTTTTTTTATCATTGAAGCTGTTGTTAATAGATGGGATTTCATCAAAAGTGCATGTATCCATTTAGAAAAATTATTTTCAATTCAGTTTCCCCAAATGGTCCTTCTTAAAGTTTTGTATGTAGATTACCCATTTTTATGTGGGGTGATTAATCTTTTGGTTCTTTTTCTTGTTTGTGAAAGCTGACACTGCATTGTATGATTCTGAAATATTTCACTCATTGAACCACAACTGAACAAGCATGACAAGAGAGATTTGATCATGACATCTGTCAGTGACTCCACAACTCGCAGATCTAAGAAGAAACTACCTAACATCCCTCCTGAGGAATTAGCATTGCATGGAAATGAAGGATCATTGGAAGGTGGTGGTAAACCTTATGATTTGCCACCTGAAGTGCAGGCGCAATTTATCAGGCATGTGCACAAAAGAACGTGTTCATTGACAGGAATGGATAAGACTGAGTTTGAAAAAAAGTTGCAGGCTGAAGCTGAAAAGGAAAATGTAGAACCAAAACCTTTACTTGAGCAAAGTTCAGCAGCACCAAAACAGGAGCAGTTGATTGGAAACCAAGATGAGACATGACAGGACAACATTTGCACATTCTTTGCCATCAACTCAAGGTATGATTGCAAAATGATGAGGTTATTATTTTTTTTCTGTTTCATTGTGATTATAAGGAACACTACTTTATGTGTAAAGAATGAGCTTTGAACTAACTAATATGGTAGTGACTTTGAGTTTTGTTACTCCCCTTGGATGTGATGCTAGTCTATCAAAGTTTTCCCCAGGTCTTTTATCAGGCCTCCCTGGCAGTTATCTGTGGCTTGTTTATACTCCTGGATGGAGAGAGGCACTCAGTTAGTAAAGAGACTTGCCCAAGAATGGAACACCTGACCTTGTCAGTTCTTAAACATGTGTCTTTCAATGCTGAATTCAGCACATTAACTGTAAGGCCACTGCCTCCTACAAACAGCTCTCAGACGACTCTCTTTCAGAAATTAGTTTCTGGAAGAACAACTTGGTATTCTTCAATAGCAAGGTTTGTTGGTCGGTCCTGTCCCTTCCGGTCAGGGTCACCTTTTCAGATGCCCCCAATTCGGCTTGTGGTGCTTTCGTAAAAGACTCAAATTTAGTATTTTATCAGAACTGGTCTCCTGTAGTGCGTGTCTACAGTTCTACATGGAGAGAACTCAAAGCTGTTTGCCTCGCCTTGGAAGCTTTCGCGAGTCATTTTTCTGGATTTAAGGTTATTTGGTATTCCGATAACCAGAACGTCGAATCTATTCTTCAAAACGGTTGTAGGGTAGCTGACATGCACCAATTGGCCCTCCTAGTTATCCAAATATGTCTTGAGTTTCACATATCACTGGAGGTTACGTGGATCCCTTGGGAGCGTAACGCTAAGGCTGATGCAATAAGCAATTTAACCGATTATGATGACTATACCATTAACGTAGCTATCTTTCAAAGAATTAACCTATTTTGGGGTCCCACACCGTTGCCAGATTTGCTTGTTCCTATAACGCTAAGGTACCAAGATTTAACACTGAGATTTTTTCAGACTGGCTGTGTAGTAGTAGATGCCTTCTCCCCAGTTTGGGGGCACGATAATGATTGGATTTGTCCTCCAGTGTGTCTATTAATTAAAGTGGTAAAGCACATGGAATTGTGTAAGGCGAGAGGAGCGGTTATCCTCCCCTTGTGGAAGTCCTCTTGCTTATGGACTTTATTTTGTAGAGACGGTGTGCAATGGAACAGTTTCGTAATTGACTGGGTGTTTTTAGCCAAGTTCCCAGGTCTCTTTATCAGAGGGAAAGCCCGAAACTCGCTTTTCGGTTCCAGACCCCTGGACTTTGATGCTATAGCCCTTCGAATTGATTTCGCCGCCCCAGATCTCCCTGTGCTTGCGTAGGCTTCTGTACGAAGTTCAGTAAAGACTGTGATCATTGTAATTAGCCCGGCGGGCTTTTGTATTCACCGCGGAAGTTTTCTCTTCTGGGTGCAAACGTGATTTTGTTTCAGTCAATCCCAGCGTAATTGCTCTAAGTTCTTTGTACTTAGCTTATGGGTTGTTTGGCACTTACTCAGGCTTGAAGTGACTTAAATCATAGAATTGCTCGTCAATATTGCGTATTGCGTTATGACACGAGTTTGTGTCAAGAATTTATTCAGCATTGTTTGAAATTAAAGGGACCCATTTGTGGTCCACTTTGCAGATTCCAGTTGTCTACGTATTCTCTGTTGGAGTTTGATTATTCCTGGTTATTCTATTTTTATTTATCTATTTCTTTAGTAATTTCTTGTTGGATTTTACTTCTAGCTTTGCCTTATTTTATCTCTCGTTTAGATATTTTTCATTCGGGATTTAGGGCATTCCGGGACGGAACGCTTGACAACTTGCTTGAGGGACTGAAAGATCGCCTGAGACGACTGTACTCTCTTCCAAAGCAAATGGGACTGTTATGGTATACAACCGAGCTTTCCGCGGATGGAATCAGTTTGCAAACGATAAGTTAAAGGGGAAAGCCTTTCCCGCTAGCCCTTTTCATGTGGCTTTGTATTTACAACATCTTCTAGAGGAAACCCACTCCCCTAGCGTCTACTAGTGGAAACCCACTCCCCTAACGCGGTCGATTCTGCTTTCTATGGCTTAAAATGGGCCTGTGACTTGGCAGGAATCCCCTCCCCAACTGATGACCCAGTTGCTGAAGCCGTGAGGACGACGTCCAAAAGAGTTCTTGGTACCAGTGTCCTTAGTCGTAAAGAACCTATTTCGGCCCTTTTAATCCACGACATTATCAACAAATCAGACTTAGATAACCTTGTAAAGTTGCGTAATGTTACCATGTATGTTTTATCTTTTGCCGGTTTCTTTAGGTTTAACGATGTGTCTAGAATAAGAAGAAGTGATATTTCCCTTAAAGAAGACTTCATGATTATTAAGGTTTTGAAAAGCAAGAATGTCCAGCTCCGTAAAGGCGACGAAGTCGTTATCTTATAATTGTCTAGTTCTCTATGCCCCGGTGAGTTGCTTAAGAGGCGTTTAGTTATGTTTAAGATACACCCTGATTCCAAAGATTTTATTTCAAGCCTATTTCTAAAGGGAAGGGCCCTTGCAAGCTTGTTGCCCCTGATAAGCCCATTAGTTACTCTACAATTATAGGGGCTTTTCGCTGGGACCTGCAAAGTCTCGGAGTTGAACCGTCCACGTTGGGTTTGCATTCTCTAAGATCTGAGGGGGGCCATTACGATAGCAAATAATGGAGTAAACGACAGAGTTTTCCAACGACATGGTTGTTGGAAATCGGTACAAGCCAAAGACACGTACGTAGACGATAATTTTGAACAATGACTCGAAGTATCGCGTTTTCTTGGGCTCTGAAGGCGTTTTCGTGTTCTTTTTGGTATTATATCACCTAGCCTCGTACGTCTTGCCCAATTCTTTGTCAGTCTATATATGCCTCGGGTTGGTTCTCGGCAGGCTTCCCTAAATAAACTTATAAACAGTGTAAACTGTGTTATTTGTTGTGTAGTGGAGACAAATCACTAATGAGGATTAACCTTCATCTAACATATGGAATTATTACTGCAAAAATATCTTTTCATCTGCCATCAGTTACACTGAGAAAGGAATGGAGCAAGAGCCTATCGTTATAGACCACATTACTCGTTGTGTGACTTGACATCGGCTCCGAAAATAAAAGGTCACGAGGTTCGATCTGCCTGATTGGCTAGCATATTTATTCTGACTGATGTTTCTCGGGATCACAAACAATACAAGGATGTGTTTCCTTTCGCTCTAATTTCGCAATCTGCCTTCGCAATGGAGTCTCTCTTGAAGAACCTCGAAAAACATGTTACTTTCTCCATTTGTCTTGATACTTACACCAAGCCTAAGACCATAGCTTGTCTTCATACCTTCTGCTTAATATGTTTAGAGGAGCACGCTTTGAGAACCCAAAGTCAAGGACAATTTCGATGTCCCGATTGTCAGGCACAAGTGAATATCCCAGAAGGAAATCGTTTCGATAATTTGCCGACTGGTATTCAGCAAAACGATTTGTTGAGTCTTCTCGCTGTACGACAAAGTAGCGATGGAAGTCAGATCAGTTGTGGTATCTGTAAGAAAAAGAGCGCCGAGATCTGCTATTGCTTTGCTTGCGAAAGATTACTGTGCCGTGATTGCGTTAATGCACACGAATTGTTTCGAGAGATTGCCTTTCAAGGACACAAAGTAACGGCAGTGAAACAGTTTCAACCCTTAGATTACGAGGCCTTGTTGTTAAAGCGTCAGTCCTATTGCCCTCAGCCTTACCACGAGAGAGAGGTAACCAGGTTTTTCTGCCTTGAATGCCAGATTTGTGTTTGTCAAGTTTGCATAAACACTGATCACAAGAATCATAATGTTGATCCGCTTGAGAAAGCAGTGGATGCCGTGAAAGCAAACATTATGGCGGCAGTCGAGTCGATAGAAGAGAAGAAGAAAGTCTGTAGCGATGCGATTAAAACTTTACTTCAAGCTGTTGTACATCTGGAACGAAATATTACCGCTGCTAAACGAGAGGTTTCCCAAACAGCCAAACAAATGATCGCGAAGATTCAAGAACACGAGCGGGAAGCTACAAAAATTCTCGAGACTACACGGGTGTTTAGAATGGAGAAAATAAACTCTCTAAACGAGCAAGTAAAGTCATTGATCAAACAGCTTGACCAAGCAGTTCAGTTTGCAAAAACCCTGGTTGAGAGAAGCTCCAGTTCAGATGTTATGAAAGGTAAGAAGATTTTACAGGAGCGATTTGGAGATCTCGACAACACCACAGTCCCTTCGCTTCCGGTTAGCTCATTCGTGAAGTATTTCTCGACTAATGCACTTGACAACCAAAACCTGGGGTCAGTGATAACCAGTGAAGCAGATTTACGGTTTTCATCGATGGAAGCTCTTACTGAAAATTTCCAAGCTGGTCTGGAAGCAGAACTTCTGATTTGTCTAAAGCGAAAGAGTGAAGAAGAGCTTGCAGGTAAACGCAACGGTGAATTTGACATTAAAGTTGTCGTAAAACACGCTGAAGATGTAGCAAGTTTAAGAACGTTTAAAAAAGAAAGTGGTGATATCCACGTGAAGTTTGTTCCTAAAATACCTGGCACCTTCAACATAACAGGCAAGATAAATGGCGACAAACTTGTCACCAGTCCTTTCAGGGTCCACGTAAAGGAACGACGGATTGATGTTGTGGGCGAGTTAGTTGTAAAAGGAGGAATTCCTGAAAGGCCAAATTGGATTGCTGTCAACAGCAAAGGAACGATCGCTGTAATTGACGATAAAAAACACTGTATCTTAATGTTTGATAGGGATGGAAATTTTGTCCAAAAATTTGGCTGCTCTGGATATGGGCCTGGGCAACTGTGTTTTCCAACTGGAGTGAAATTCCTGAATGATGACCAGCTTCTGGTGGTGGATGACTTTAATGGCCGAATTCAACAATTCAATGTACAGACAGGGAACTTTGTGAAGAGCTTTGGAAAGGAAGGGACTGGAGACGGCGAATTCAAAAGACCCGAAGGAATTTTCATAGATAATGAAGGACGTGTCATTGTAGCGGATTACGGTAACGACAGAATTCAGGTCTTGGACAAAGATGGTAAATTAATGGTCAAATTTGGAGACGACGACCCTGGAAAGCTAAACCAACCTAGTGGATGCATTTATCACAAAAAAAAGTTCATTGTCTCTGACAGTGAAAACCATTGCTTGAAAGTGTTCGACAAATCAGGGAAGTTCTTGTACAAAATTGGAGAAAAAGGTGAAGCTGATGGACAATTTTCATCTCCATGGGGTTTGTGTGTTGAGAAATATGGCGATCATCAGAATCTTTTGGTGTGTGACAGAGGTAATGGACGCATTCAACAGTTTACAATGGAAGGTCGTTTTACTGGAAAAACTGTTACTAAACTAAAAGATCCGAAAGCAATAGCTACAACACCAGATGGTCGTATTTTGGTTTGTGACCGTGACGACAAAAAAATTTACATCTTGAAATAGACAATCAAATGTGTTTTGCGAAGGAATAATGATGTGGGAATGGTAACAAAGCTAGCACTTTTATCTTTACACCAACAATCAAATAATTTATATTTGTTTTTTTTTCCTCGAATATGATTTGCTTTAGGATCTTTCAGGTGCTTAGGATGTATGTATTAAAAAGCGGACTGACGCAGGCCTCCATCTCCTCCCACAGCTCAATTTCTAGGAGTGCATGTATCAGTTGAGACCGCCATCCTCTCCGCCGTGTGTATTGAAAATCTCATCGGTGGATATCGAGCTTGCTCGGTCCCAGGCTCCTTTGTCAATATATTTTACTTTGGAAAGAATATAGCAGTTTTACCATGTCATGTATCTCTAGGTGAGAGTTTTCAATTTTGCAGGATAGGACTAAAAAACAACTGCTTCTCTGGAAATAACATTCTAGTTTTAGCTTGTCTGGTATCTTTTTGAGTGAATTTTTTCAATCTGCCGAACTGGACTAGAATATACAAATTAGTTCCTTTAAGATGTTCATGCAACTATGTAGAGATATGCTCGTACTATAAATTTTCTTCTTTATCGTCGTTAAATGATAATTTTTCCAGAAGAAACTAGAACATTAGAAAAGAAGACTCGTTCAATTATAATAGACCAGTTTATTTGAATTTGCTTAATATCTCTTACGATAAATGTTGATATAAAAAGATGAGGGACTGATATTTTGACTGAGCAAAACTTCATATATAATGACATTGCATTAGTTATTAAAAGACTTACGGGGGCGGATCCGGGAATTTTTCATAGGGGAGGGAGGGGGGGTTCAAATTTTGGCTCAGAAAACACTACAGAAACTTTCTTTGGCAAATTACCTTTCCCCGCAACTACGTCATTTAACAAACCTTAACCCAACTGCCCCCTCCCGCCGTTACACATTATATCCAATTTAACAACAATTTTCTTAGCCCCCTGTGCAAGTCCTGACAACGGCTTTTCAGACATCCTATTTCTATGGTAGGACTTGATTCTTCGCCAGCCAGAGAACGAACGCTCGGCTTCGGCAGAACTTTCTAAGAGCGTACACCCAATTATATAGTATCCATGCCTTTCCACCTATCTGGTTTTGCCTGAGTCTTTTAGCTTCTCCCTTTTAGAAATAGAAAAACCCTAAAACTTGTTACAGAAATCGCTGTCTTTTAGGCGAAAAAAGTGGAAGAAGGAAAAAGTCTCATTTGAGGTTCTAATCATGTTTCAGTGACCGGAGTCAACCTGCGCGCGGCTGCAACACTGACCGTTGTAATTAGTGTACAATACCATTGGAGCTAGTCTCTTTTTTCTCCCTCGCACACTACATGCTACCGATGACATGGCAGCAGTACCGTGATCATGTGCTCGTCCTCTTGCAAACGGCGACATCGATGTTGTTCTCGGCCAAACTTGACAAAAGAGCGTTTGCTGTGCTCTCACCAGATGTTTTGTCAAGGTTGACAAAGTCGAAAAATACTTCTTTGATTTGATGGGAGGCATTATTTCTTAGATCTAAAAACCTTAAGGCAAACACTTAATACTTCTTGATTTGCGTATTTATCTGTCACCTCATCGCCAATGATTGAGAAAAAAGCGGTTTCTTTTTGAATTGGCTGTGTAACTTTCGACCGAATATATGCTCCAATGATACGAATAACTTCCTCTTGTCCAGTTTTCGAGGTGCTTGTGGCATTTCCCCTACCAGTGAGAAAATGTTCTTTTAAATCTTTATCAGAGTTTCTTATTGGTATAAGAATAGCATGGAAGTTACATTTGTTCACGGATGCTGTGCTTGTGCTGTCATCGCGATGGCCTCTAAGAGGGATATTCTGTTTGTCACACAATATTGTGGTACTTGTGATTACTCTTACTACGTTCATATTTTTTTCAAACATCTCTTGGTTTTGCGTGGGCATTCCTAAATGGCGAGGTCTTCTTTGGTTTTTGGGCACTTTGAATTATCGCAACGCCGGCGTCAAGTGCCCTCTGATGATATTGCATTTTGTGATGACACCTAAGTGCTCCATCTTTACCAGAGGGTTTTTCCAGTTTTTGGAATAGTGCTGCTACAAGTGGTTTCTTCTGTGCTGAAGGATTCGATGGGGTTATTATGCATCACGCAAAACTCCCCATTTGAGAAGAGCTATATACAAGCCACTTACACGTTTCTAACCATGAGGGCTGGAACACGAGCTTCTTAGAATGCTTATCTTTTCCCTTAACCACAGTCTTGAGAATGAAGGAGGCCGGCTAAAACGGTTTTTAACGTATTGAATTTTTTCAGAGTTCTTGGATCGACTTTGCCACTAACGATGTCCACGACACCAAAGTATGGTGCGACATGCTGATCAGTGGAAGAAACTTGGGAAACACCAAAGAACAAAGTAAGTATCTTAGTGCTAAGTCGTCAAATTGAAAGTGCCAAACTAATGGCGTGGCCATGGGTACTAAAATGGGACCCAGCTACGCCAATCTTTTCGTAGGTTTTATCGAACATCAATTTTTTAGCCAATACCACGGCCCAAAACCTGAACTCTACGACCGCTACATTGACGATTGCATCGGCGCTACCTCCTCTACGTACCAAAGAGGAGCTCACTCAATTTATAACCGCCGTCAATTCCTTTCATCCGGCTCTTAAATATACCTGGGAAATTTCCGACACTTCTTTGGCTTTTCTAGACATTAAAATTTCAATTGAAGGCAACGGCTTATGTACTAGTGTTTACTACAAACCTACAGATTCACATAGTTACTTGTTGTATTCATCCTCACATCCATCACACGTCAAGAACTCCATACCTTTTTCACAGTTTCTCAGACTTCGTCGTTTATGTAGTGACGACTCTGATTTTTCCGAAAAATCGGAGGCAATGTGCCAGTTGTTCGATAAACGTGGCTATCCTGTTTCTGTCGTTCAAGCGGGCTACCACCGTGCTCAACAAATCGATCGACAGGCAGCACTACAAACGGCCGAGAAGGAAAACACTGATCGCATTCCATTTACTCTTACATTTCACCCTCAGAACCACGTAGTTAAATCTATCATTCTTAAAAATTTTAAATTACTCCAAAACGATTCAGAGACTGGCACTATCTTTTTGCAACCCCCACTTATTTCATTCAAACGTGACAAAAACATAGGCAACTTTTTAGTCAGGAGTTCATTTCAAACCAATGACCAATCTGGAACTTTTAAATGCGTTCGCTCACGATGCAAAACTTGTCCTTTCATTCACAACGTAGAGAAAATATCGGGACCTAAAAGATCCATTAAGATCATTGATCACTTTACGTGTACCTCCGCCAATGTTATTTACTGCATAACTTGCACTTATTGCAATAAGTTATTCATCGGCGAAACAGGAAGACGACTGGGTGACCGATTCCGAGAACACCTTCGCGATGTGGAAAGAAATGACAAGGACGCATCCAAACCAGTCGCTAGACACTTTAATCTTCCTACTCATTCTAAACAGCATATGGCAGTTTGCGGCCTTTCCTTACATCTAGGCAGTTCGGAAAGTCGTAAAACACTAGAACAAAAATTTATTTTCCAAATCGGCACCCTTAATCCCCACGGAATCAACGAGCGCTTTTCATTCAACTAATTTATTCCTGTTTTCTCGTCACCATATTCTCACCAATGGCGTCGCCCCACTTTCTGCATATAAATCCACACACAATCCACAATTCCTCTAATCGCTCTGACGAAGGGCTAACGCTCGAACGTCAGCTTTTTTACCCTCTACGGTGGCTAATTTACGTTTCCAACCCAGTTGTTAACACTAAATTACCTGCTATACTCTCCCACATCATCACAGCTTCTTTAGAAACTTACCCCTTTATAACTTCTTGTGTTGCTTACATCTGCCCCAAAAATAATAGGTCACGAGGTTGGCGAACAGCAGGTAATTTAGTGTTAACAACTGAGTTGAAAACGTAAATTGGCCACCGCAAAGAGTAAAAAAGCTGACGTTTCGAGCGTCAGCGTTGATAAGAAACTTATCCCCTTTATTCATATTAAATTTTAATCTCGCTAGCCTACGTGTAGCCGTACCCTCCCCATTCACCTTGGCAGAGGAAGGGTACGGTTACACGTAGGCTGTGATCTAGCTGATGTTTCTTGGAATCACAAATCACAGGCAAACCACACCATGTGTTCGTGGTTAATAATTGTTGACATGAGACGAGCTCAATCTATGAGGATTATGAATAAAGCTCTGAAATTTGTACATGTAAATTATATCTCGGTCTGGATATCTCAATAAAGTTAAATGAAATGTTAATCAACTGTTTTCTGATAATTTTTAGCCTTGTAGGCCGTTAAGAGACGAAAGGGAGACAAGGCTTGCTTCTTGATGGCCGGCAACCGCGACCTCCTCTGCTTCAAACTGGAATTAATGCCAAACAACTGAAAATCTCTCCTAACTAGCGACGGTTGTTGATCGATGAGATGTTGCTCTATCTCTTCGCTCTATTGAGATGTTCAGACTGGGATGTAATTTAGATATGCAAATTTCAGGCCTATATTGTCTTATATATACAGTTACTAACCAAGAACACATCGTATGGTCTGCCTGTGCACAAGCAATAGACAGGTGTTTCGTTTCGCTCTTATTTCGCAATCTGCCGACACGATGGAGTCTCTCTTGAATAATCTCGAAAAACATGTTACTTGCTCCATTTGTCTGGATACTTACACCAAACCAAAGACCATAGCTTGTCTTCATACCTTCTGCTTGAAATGTTTAGAGGAGCACGCTTTGAGAACCCAAACACAAGGACAATTTCGATGTCCCGATTGTCAGGCACAAGTGAATATCCCAGAAGGAAATTGTTTCGATAATTTGCCAACTGGCTTTCTGCAAAACAGTTTGTTGAGTCTTCTCGCTGTACGACAAAGTGGCGATGGAAGTCAGATCAACTGTGGTAATTGTGAGAAAAAGAGCGCCGAGATCAGCTATTGCTTTGCTTGCGAAGATTTATTGTGCCGTGACTGTGTTAATGCACACAAAAGGTTTCAAAACAGAGGCTTTCGAGGACACAGAGTGACGGCAGTGAAACAGTTTCAAGCCGTAGACTACGAGGCCTTGTTAAAGCGTCAGTCCTTTTGCCCTCAGCCTTACCACGAGAGAGAGGTAACCAGGTTTTTTTGCCTTGAATGCCAAGTTTGTGTTTGTCAAGTTTGCATAAACACTGATCACAAGAATCATAACGTTGATCCGCTTGAGAAAGCAGCGGATGCCGAGAAAGCAAACATTATGGCGGCAGTCGAATCGGCAGAACAAAAGAAGAAAGTCTGTAGCGATGCGATTAAAACTTTCCAACAAGTTGTTGTAGAGCTAGAACGAAATGTTACCGCCGCTAAACGAGAGGTTTCCCAAACATCGGAACAAATGATCGCGAAGATTCGAGAACACGAGCGGGAAGCTATACAAATCCTCGAGAATACACGCGTGTCTAGAATGGAGAAAATAAACTCTCTAAACGAGCAAGTAAAGTCATTGATCAAACAGCTTGACCAAGTAGTTCAGTTTGCAAAAAATCTGGTTGAGGGAAGCTCCAGTTCAGATGTTATGAAAAGTAAGAAGAGTTTAGAGCAGCGGTTTGGAGATCTCAACAAGGCCACAGTCCCTTCGCTTCCGGTTTGTTCATTCGTGAAGTTTTTCCCGACTAATACACTTGACAACCTAAACTTGGGGTCAGTGGTAACCGATGAAACAGATGTACGGTTGTCATCAATAGTGGCACTTACTAAAAATCTTCAAGCTGGTTTGGAAGCAGAGCTTCTGATTTGTCCAAAGCGAAAGAGTGGTAAATGCCAGCGTGAATTTGACGTTAAAGTGCTCATAGAACCTGCTGAATATGTAGCAGTTTTAAGAACTTTTAAAAACGAAAATGATGATTTCCACGTGAAGTTTGTTCCTAAAATACCTGACACCTTTAACGTGACAGTCATGATAAATGGCAACAAACCTTTTACCAGTCCTTTCAGAGTCCACATAAAGGAACGACGGATTGATGTTGTGGGCGAGTTACTTCTAAAGGGAGAAATTCCTGATACTCCAAATTCGATTGTTGTCAACAGCAAAGGAACGATCGCTGTGAGTGACCGTGAAAAACACTGCATTCTAACGTTTGATGAGGATGGAAATTTTGTGCAAAAATTTGGCTGCTATGGAGAAGGACCTGGGCAGCTCGTTAATCCAGCTGGAATGACACTCCTGAATGATGACGAGCTTCTGGTGGTGGATGATGATAATGGCCGAATTCAACAATTCAATGTACAGACAGGGAACTTTGTGAAGAGCTTTGGAAAGACAGGGACTGGAGACGGCGAATTTACAAGACCTGAAGGAGTTTTCATCAATAATGAAGGACATGTCATTGTAGCGGATCACTCTAACAGCAGAATCCAGGTCTTGGACAAAGATGGTAAATTCATGTCCAAATTTGGAGACAACGACCCTGAAAAGCTAAAGAAACCTAGTGGATGCATTTATCACAAAAACAAGTTCATTGTAACTGACTTTGGAAACCATTGTTTGAAAGTGTTTGACAAATCAGGAAAGTTTTTGTACAAGATTGGAGAAAAAGGCGATGCTGATGGACAATTTTCATCTCCATGGGGTCTGTGTGTTGAGAAATATGACGATCATCAGAATCTTTTAGTGTGTGACAGAAGTAATGGACGCATTCAACAGTTCACAATGGAGGGTCGTTTTATTGGCAAAACTTTTATTAAGCTAAGAGATCCGAAAGCATTAGCTACAACACCAGATGGTCGTATTTTGGTTTGTGACTATACAAACAAAAAAATTTATGTCTTGAAATAGACTTTCAAATGTTTTTTGCAAAAAGAAATAATGTGGAAATGATAACAAAGTTAGCACTTCTACCATTACACTCAACAAAAAATTTTGCTGTAAATATTATTTGCCTAGAGATCCTTTAGGTGCATGGGATATATGTAACAAACATTGAACAGAATAACATGAAGAAGACATGCATGGATCAGCGAGCCTGCAATCCTCGCCACTGCATGTATTGTTGGATATCAGGCTCCCCTGGTCCAAGGTTCCTTTGTCAATCTTTTATTTAGGAGGGAACCTTCAAGTTTTAGCTAGTCGTGTATCTTTAGGATTCAATTTTTCAGGATAGGGGCTAATTTTTTAAGATTATTTCATTGAAAAAGGAAGCTCTTGCACGAAGACTTGTTGCTTGGCTAAATAAGAATTAAATATTAATCGTTATACTTTGGAAGCATGGGTGTAGGCTATTTTAAGTTGATGAGTACAGTAGACAAAGTAACTTTGTAAACAAGAAATAATTTGTGTTCAGTATACATGATGAAAAAAATAGTAGTAAATTCATATTAAAAACAAATTCTTTAACTGAAATTAGTGGTCAGAGGAGACTTTGAGATGTGTAGCTAACTTTGTACGTAGCAAACCAATCATTGTAGCGTAACTTGAATTAAAAGTGGTTTACCATAGAAAAATTGTTTTTTTTTCCTGTGGCTTCTATGGGTATGGGTCAGAAATACATGAATACACTTCAACTCACAAAACCTGAGGGAGGTGGGGGGGGAGGGGGAAAAACGGAATTTAATCAGCTTGTTAACAACCGAGAAAAAATTGGAAGGGAATTGTAATGTGATCATCTGTCCTGTTTGATCATATTTGTATTTGTATGTCAACGAATCTAACAGGACAATTCTAAAATAACTGTTGCAAAAGATCAAAAGAGGTGGATTTGTTCATCTTGGTTATGTGGTTGCTCGTCGCGGTTATTCTTAAAAGAACCTTTGATCATTTGTGTCGCGGCTTAGAAGTAACTATCAATTTCAGAGTCAAACTATCAACACTAGAAGCTTTCTTTCTTATGAGGTGGTTTCTCATCAAATTCCCGGAATCCACCCCCATAGTTATTGTTAATTTGACCACTCTTACACATTCATTGCTACCAAATGGATGTAGATAGCGTTTTAACTTTTCATAAAGCTTATTCTATTGTAATTCACTTCTTTTTAAACGCGTGGCCAGTCATTTGATAAACTGCAATCAAGAAAAAGAGAGGTCTGACGGTATGATGGTTCAAAGGAATTTTAACTCACAGAGTTCACAGTTATTTGAAAAAAAGTGATAAGTTAGAGGGCAATTCAGCTGTTAAACCAGGGGCGAGTTTTAAATTAATCCCATCAAGCATTGCGCTAAACTATATGCGCCTGACTACTACTTGGCGTACAATTGTTAGATATCTGTTGAAGTGTCGTGGATGAGGCTTAGTTTGAAAAATCAACGTCCTCGATGCTAAATCGTTGATTAGCTGTCGCATTCACCTTCATTTACGAATCTTAATTCTTGACGTGTAGGTTGTTTATATGGTGAGTGGTCCACTCTACACTTAACATTAAAATTTTGAGGAATAATTTGCCTATGATAGCTTTTGCTTTGATAACTAAAATGTAAAACGGGATACTTTCTAAAACACGCGTTACTTAATTTCGTTCAAGGATTTTCACATTATATATTGTGGCGGTAGGCGGTAGGCGGTAGGCGGTAGGCTTTTTCAGTTTGCAGTTTCCTTCTTAATTCTGATCAAGGGTGATGAAGTAAATCAGGGTTCCCGATTGGATTTGAAGTAGTTATCTACCCAACTTAAAGCAAGGGTCTTTGACAAATGAGCATGAAACAATGGTTGGGACAAATAGACCATACAGCAAGGTGTTATGAATCCCAATCTAAGCAGCAATCAATTACCACTTTCTGTCAAAATTCCTGTAGATATTGCAATTACATTGTTCCTAACTGAAATAATAAACGTCCAGTTCTCCTTTACTGATTCTACTTGGTATTAATCACAGTTTACTTTTGTGTTGGGTTCAAAATATTGGTTTCAAGAATCACTGTGGTGCCTTTTATGTCAAAACTTATCAGAAACAAAACATGAGACTACCAAGAGATACCATGTGGGATGATTTTGACTGATGGTATTAAAGCCACCCTCACATTATTAGAGTTAATATCTTCCTAAGATTTGTCATTTTATTGAATCATCATGCTATTTTGAATAAATCTGAAGAAGGCAAGTGGTCTGATGTTGTAGATAACTAAATTGAGAAATATGATTAAAATGTAGTAATATACAGGAAAATGGTCATTTCTAAGACACATCTTTGAATGTGGAATTATAATTTGAATTTTATGGTAGTTTATAAGTTTATTTATTTGTATTCATTTATATTCATTGAATTAAAAAAAAGACTCTGAAATTATACTGGTTGAAATTGGTATGGTGTGTGAGTAGAAAAGCATCTAAAAGAAGAGAGGGTTATTTTGTATTCCTATCAAATTTATCATCATTGTTTATCATTTTACCTGAAAAACAAGAAAAAATGAAAAGTTAAGCTATAGAATGAAATCAATTCTTATTTCCTAATTGCTAGCTAGAATCCAAGTGATAACTTAAATATTATGAACTTCCATAAGGGTTCCAAAGATAAGATTAAAAAAATTAAGGTCAGGGTTTTTATTTGTGGTTTCCTTTCTACCAGTATGAATTTGGACAAATGGTGAAATATTCAATGTAGTCTTTAAAATGAATATGAACTCTGTAGCAAAGATATTTTTGTAAGTAGAATAAGAAAGATGGTAACTTTGAGCTCAGCAAAGAAACAGAGAAAGATGTGTTTTTGTCTTGTCCCGAACATGGTACAAAGAAAAAATTCTGAGTGCTCCTATGCTGTACTGCTGAGCAAGGCCTATCACTAATTTCATATGCCAAACATGACACTTATGACATTGATGATTCTAGTAGTATCCAGGAGGTGTGCTATATATGAGTTTCATGATGGGCCTTGCTAACCATAGAGCCTCTGTTGCTCAGTGATAGAGCATCAGATTGTGGAATCTGAATGTCTGAGGTTCAATTCCTCTTCACTCTCAGAAGTTTTCCTTTGTCCCATGCTTGTGACAAGACGAAAAAAACATCTTTTTCTATAGGTATTCTTCATTCTAAAATTTAATTTCCCGTTTTTTGTATGAATTCAAATGTAATTTGCACAAACAACTTAAGTTTTTTTCATCATTGAAGCCATTGTTAACAGATGGAAAACACAATATTGTTATTAATATTGTGTGGAAGTTTGAAAGGGGTTTTGATTCAGTGGGTGTCAATATAAGATGTCCGTCTCCAAGACTGTCTTTGTAGAGAGCTTTCATTTTCATTTTGATGAAAATTTGCATTTCATCTTTTCCAACTTTTATTTTTCAGTTTTTAATCGAAAATCTAGTGCAAGTTCAGTGAAATCAGCAGATCACGGGGGGGAACTTGTAAAAGAGATGGCACTATAAACAGTATATGAAGACAGCAAGACAGAACAAAAAGAAGCTTGCCAATGTAAGTGTGATTTCAAGAAAGGTGGAGGGGAATTTGATTTTCCTTCATGAATTGAACCAAATTCACGTTGTTCTCAGATGTGTCACTAGAAAATGCTATGAGAATTTGATCTGAAAAGAGAAGACTGCTGAATTGAATTATGCTTAAGGTTTACAAGAAATTGTGATGCAGGGAAAAGTAGATTCTAAGATTTATATTTATATTGTTAAAATAGAACTTCCAGTGGGGGTAGTCACTTGAAGAACTTTTTCATTTATGCATGCACAGGCACACACAAAAAATTTTGTTGGTTCATTTCCTACATTGGGTGGTTGTGGATGTTTTCTTGGAGCTTTGGTTGTAGACTACATTTAATTTGCAAATTAATCTAAAAAGCTCCAACTGGTATCAGAACAAACAAAAAATATATGTTGTTTATGTAATATGTTGTAACCATGGTGGGTTCTCCTTGTAGTCGAAGTTGTAATAAAAGTCTTACTCATTTAAAATTGTATTTATGAGATCACAAAATCGAATTGTTTGTTTTTATATTACACTAAGGTAGCCAACATTAGGGATGATAACAACAGTATCCTGAGTTTAGAAGGGATATCTCTAAGTGAGATAATACTTTTTTATATTGTTTAATTAGCAGATGTAATCAGCCTAAGCTTGTGACATGTTGGATAACAGTTATGGAGAATCTGATTAACCAGCAAAAATTAAGACCAGATTTCTTAGGTGACTAATGCAGACAAACTTGGTGATTTATTAAGCTTCTCACAGCAATTTTGAATGTCAAGTTTATTTCCATTGTGAGAAGTCTTTTGATAGAACCATCCACTGTGTTTGGTGAGCAGCTGCCCAAACCTGATCAACTTGTCTGAAAAAGTTTAATTTTAGATTAGATTAGACTTAAATTGGAAGAGTACCTTTATTTGTCAAAGAGATTTAAAACAATCAATAAACTAGCTCATGTTGTTTACATACTTACTATTTCTTTAGTTGCATAAGTTGTGATTGATATTTTCCTTTGGTGTAAGATTTTTAACCAGTTCAAGTTGTGTATGTTTTTGTTTGTCTTAAAGTACATTTATAGGGTTGAGACAAGGAAAATTGAACTGGCTTGACATAAAGAAACTTTTGATCGTGAGGTTGACCCACCAGGAAATGTTAGTTTTAAAGATTAATTAGAACTTGTTCAATACACTTTTTGACATCTTTCTGCATTTTATTTAGTATTCTTACTTCAGTTGGTAGATGACAATTCAAACAGTTATGTGCATACTTTTTGTTTTATTATAAGTAATGTTGCTTGTTTTGCAGGGTAGCCATCAAAATGCCAGTACCACCAACGGCTCTGTAATTCAGACAAACAGGTGAGACCAACCAAAATGTGGCAGACCTGTGGACATTCTTGAACATGTGGCAGTGGAAAATCATGTGTTTCACAAAAGCTGCTTTGTTTGCGCAATGTGCAACTCTTAGATAAACCACTTGAACTACTGCTTTGTTCCCAACCATGACAAATTCGACTGCATTGAACACTATCAGGATTAATTGAGAATGCCAGTATTGGGTTTGGAGAAGACATTTGGCATGCAATGGCTATAGGACCAGGAGTACAACAACAGTTTAAATTTACACTAGGTGTGTTGAGTACATAGTTTCTTTTTAATTTACTAATTATATTTTGGGGCAGGAACTTATTATAGACTCCAGCCTCCCAGCATTTCTAATCAATCACAATCAATCATCTGGGTGGAGATAATATGCCATATCACAAGTAGATTGGTAGTAAATTAAATGAGAACAGAGCTAAATACTTTAAACAAGGATGAACTTTCCACATGCATAATGGTCAAACTAACAACTTAATTGAAATTGATTGTTTGGTCTTGGAAAAAGACTACAGGTAAAGACCTGAAAATCTGCCAAATTTAACCCTTTAACTCCCAAGATGTGACTGTTAGTTCTCCCCTCTAAGCTAGCACATTTCCTTGTAAATCAGTGGCAAGAATTTGGTGTTAGATCAAGACAACAACTTCTACTTGTTAACTTACGATATTCTCATTACTAGTCTGCTGGATAATGTATGGTCATTGTAGGGAGAGGTTGCTTGTTAATCACTCCTGGTAGTTAAAGGGTTAAGCAATAAATATTTCACAATTTACATTTGTAAGAAATGTTTCTAGAACATAGGGAGAATTGAAGTCGAAATCTTGGGAATGAAAGGGTTTAAGGTCAGATTTGGAGTCCTGGAAATATCTATCTGAGTCCTGGAAAAGTCCTGAAAAAGTCCTTGAAATGTGTTCTTGTAAAAGAGTAAGAACCCTGTAATTACTTTACAGTATGGGGAAGACTGGGCTCAAAATTCAAGGTAATTTGAGAAATGGCCAGTCCATCTTACAAAATTATCTTTAAAGATCAGTATATTATAATTATGATAATGGTATAATAGGAAAACATTTAAAAGACTTAGGCTACAAAAAAGCTAGGGTTTTATTAGATGCTGCAGTTCATGCTATTCAATCGTTTAAAGTGGAGACTCTACCAAGATGGTTTTCAAGTCCCAAACCAGAGAAAATTATCTTAATGGTGGTTAAATTATTACATTCACATAACACTAGATTTTGAGTTTAAAAGGGCTAGAGAAGGAGGAAAATTTGCAGTTTCTGCCATTTAAATGACCTCAACAAGCCTTTCAACGTATTTAAATATTACTATAAGGACCACATTCTGATCTTCTTGGACAAGAAGTGTAAACCAAAGAACTTTTCTCCTGTATTTTCATTGGTATGACTCAGAGGAGGACCTTGCATAATACTGGTTTATTGAGTAAATACATTTAGCTACTGTGAGGAACACTCACAAGCTAGTTTTCAGTTATGGCACAGAAGATGAAATTAAAATGGAGTAAATAAATGTAAACTGTTTTGACTGTGAAATAACATTTCTATAAAAAGTTAAAAGAATTTAATACAATAACTATAAAGAAAGGCCAATAGAAATCTTAATGTTATTTTTAATTAAAAGAAATGTAATCAAGATAGACTTAACTGGTCAAATTTTCTTATGGTGATTTTAACAGTATTAAAAGATGGCACTGACTTAATTGAGTTCCATAATTTCAGTTCAATTTACCTCCACAATTTCAATTCATAAGTTAATGTGTTGGTCTGTGGCAGCTTTGTTATACAAGTTCCTTACAGCAAAATCATATTAATCATCACAGAATAAGGTGCAAAGACTAGTCTTGTTGTGGACTAGTCTTTGTGTGTTTATTTCAGCAGATCCATACCAGGATATCACTGCCAAACTCTAAACTACTCAAACAAATAAGCAAAACAAATATACTAAACTTGAATGGATTGCGCTCAAAAACAAAATTTGGACCTTCCTTTTTCTTTTTCAAGCTTATCCCAGTTTGGATAAATTTTTTTTTTGTAATGCTTAGACACCATAGTTGCTTGTCATATGATTAGCAAGTGAAAGACTCTTACCATGCCTATTTTTATTGGAGGGGTTATACTATTTAGATCACAAAACTAAAGTACCATTTCAAATTTGGGATGGTTTAATTTATGAATTTAAGGGGCTCTATTTAAAGTGAAATTGTGGTTAAATTTTTTTGTTTTGTTTTTAAAGTTATAGACTTCAATTTTTTTTTTATTTACATGTTTTGGAGCACCTTTTGAAGAGTGATATTCCTTGTGAGGCCTCAAGAATGTCTCGATTTTGCACAAATTTGGAAGGAATTACAAAATCAGAAAATGGTATTTTATCCAAGGCTACAAAGGTGAGCGGATCAGATTAATTTACTTAATGAGGAATGATTTGTTTAGTGAAATATCATGTGTGTAGATATGCATCATTCACATAGGGACAGAAACAATATATTGTTTTTACTTAGATCCTGTATTTACTGAATGCAAAAAGAGAAAAAGAGGGAAATGAGAAATGTAAGCATAATGCTTATAATATTGATCATAGATTTTGGCCTAAATCATTGTGACAACCTTCAGAAGGAATGAACTAGTGGTAATCAGTATTTGCAAGAGATGGAATAATAAACAAAAACACAAATTGAGAAATCAGTACTATGTGCTCCCATCTGTGATCTTTCCAGGCTCCCAATACCCAGAGGATAACCCCACCCTGACCTTAGAGATATCCTAGGCCAGGTCACCTTAGGGGTAGGGTTATCCTAATGATAATACCCCCCATCCCCTTGTCATGTATTTTAACGAAAGGAAACAGCTTATTATTCCAAGTAGTCAAGGTAACTCTCTCCAAGGTAGTGTAGTGAATTCAGAACATAGTAAAAGTACTTAACCCTTTAACTCCCATGAGTGACCAAGACAGAATTTCTCCTTACAATATCAATACAATATCAAGCAGACAAGTGGTGAAAATAAAGAAAAATATCAGTTAGAGGACTGTAAGTTGATACAATACATAATTATCCAAACTAACATCATAAGAACTGTGTGGCAGACAGTAGAGAGAATTACTAATGAGATCTTGGGAGTTGAAGGGTTAAACCAATGTTAGTTATATCACTGTGGGACTACTGAATGATGTTAAAGGACTTTAATCAAGTAACATGGTTGCACCAGCTTATTAGATAGTTGATTGATGAATAAAGACAGAATATAGAAGGTAATTAAAGAGTGAGTGTCTCCTCTAAATGAATACACAACAGATGAGTCCAAGAGTTAAAGATCATAGCTGTACTTCATGTAGAACACATACAGTGTAGATGCATTTGATCATTTGATGTTGAACTTATTTAGCATTGAACTCTACAAAGCTTGATTTTGTTTCCTTGCAGATGTCCAAGTCTTAGTTGAAGAAAGAGATGTCCAAGTGGTAAGTTTTATAAACTCTAGACTGACCATGTCAGGTTTATACCTCTGATGATCTATTTCTCTTTTATTTATTATTACTATTATTATTATTATTATTATTATTATTATTATTACTGTTATTTTTGTTTCTTTATATTGGTTCTTATTTTGATGAGAGTGGATTCTAAGTTTAAAGCCAAGCAGCCAATATAATAATTCCTTTTGAGATCATTTTGCGCAGTCCTATGTGACCTCAATTTAAGAGGCAAGAAAAATTTCAAAGGCAAACCTTTAAGAGGATCCACAAATGATTAGGTACACTAACAGTACAATTTCTCCTCAGGACAGTGTATCCATTAACAATCCTTTCTTTTTAACCATGATAAATTAAAGTTGAATTCACCCTTCGATTCTGACTGTTAAGTTGGTAATCTTTGTCTCTTTGTATCTTGCAGGTTGGAGACACTGTAGACTTCAGTCAACAGCAGATCAAAGTCTTGCTCTATTTTCTGGAATGAGTTCACATTCGGTAAGACAAAAAATATTCGGTCAATTAGCAACTAAAAGCTCATAAACTAAAGGTAGTTTACTTTTTCTTTTCCATGTACAGCAAACAGACTCCACTACAGTATCAGCACTGTTTGATTCCAACACTTAACTGTTCCAGAGATGAAATCTTCTAGGGGAGTAATGGATGTGTTCCAAGGACTTGATCTTTTAAGTGGGAGTGACACCTTTAGAAAAAACCAGACTACAAGTCTAAGAGATAAGGGTACTAAATCTGAATTAGATGATTTTTTTTCCGTTAAAGAGGATATCACACGATCAAGCCCGGTCAAACAAGCTAACGCCCAAGAAGCTGCTAAGGACAGCGTGACAGATCTGTTTGATCCATTGTTAACGGACAGCAAGAATGCTGTTGGAAATCATGTCACGCAATCCAATTTGGCTTCAATTACTGAAACAATCACTATTCAGATTCAAAGACAAACGTTCTTAAGGATCCGCAACTTGTGAGCTACGGCAACAATATAATATCACCTCAGGACAACAATTTACGTCCAACGAACTCTTTGGATGTAAAAATCCCCGGCTCTGTATCAGTAAATCTTAAAAGTGGTTCACAAATTTTTGGGAATGGAGACGAATTGTCACACAACAGAACTACGCAATCAATTGTCGCGTTACCTGCCAGCGGACCACAAGGAACACTACAGCAATTTCCAATACAATTTCCTTTTAACTCCCATCCACTTGTTCAACCGCCTGTTACGAGTGGCGCGTCAACAACCCCTTTAAGACTTCCAAAACAGTCGAGTCAAACAACTGATTTTAGTTGTCCAAGATGAGATGAAAGCAAGGAAATAGAGTTATAAGTAAAACAATTTTGTCACTGAAAATGATTTTTCAATAACAGAACTGTTATATGACAGAGAAGAAATAACAACAATGGCATGCATCAAAGATCTCAAAAGACATAAAGACAAGAAAGAAATTAAAGTAGTTTATTTACTGTGAGAATTGAAGTCAGTAGATTTTATATTTTAAATAACAAGCTATGTTTGAATTAAATTTAGGCTGAAACCTTTTAAGATGCCTGAGGAATAATATTTAGTTTCCGCAATGGTCGAGGGAAGTATTGTAAACACTCCTCGCTGTACTCCACATGTAGCGTTTGCTTTGCACACACACGAAAGGGCTGTCCAGCCAAAATATCAAATTTACAGACTTTCAAACAAGTGAATTCCTCTTTTATTTCTCGTGCAGATAAAAATGGCTTCTATTATTTAATAAGTGGAAATGTCTTCCTATGACATCAAACTCTATTTACTACACAAAGCCTCTTTTCATCTGCTATCAGTTACAGAAACGAACGGACCAAGAGCCATTATTAAATATACATACTGCTTCCTGTGATACTTACATCCGCTCCAAAAATAAAAGGTCACGAGGTTTGTTCCGCTTGGTTGGCGGATATTAAAAGCTCTCATGTTTGATCAACTGATGTTTCTCGGAATTACAAACAATTAACGGATGTGTTTCGTTTCGCTCTCATTTGCTAATGGAGTCTCTCTTGAAGAATCTTGATAAACATGTTACTTGTTCCATTTGTCTGGATACTTACACGAAACCAAAGACCATAGCTTGCCTTCATACCTTCTGCTTGAAATGTTTAGAGGGACACGCTTTGAGAACCCAAAGCCGAGGACAATTTCGTTGTCCCGATTGTCAGGCACAAGTAAACATCCCAAAAGGAAATTGTTTCGATAATTTGCCGACTGGTTTTTTGCAAAACAGTTTGTTGAGTCTTCTCGCTGTACAACAAAGTGGTAAGGGAAGTCAGGTCAGCTGTGGTATTTGTACGAAAAAGAGCGCCGAGATCAGCTATTGCTTCACTTGCGAAGAATTACTGTGTCGTAATTGTGTTAATGCACACGAATTGTTTCAAGAGAGTGCCTTTCGAGGACACAAAGTGACGGCAGTGAAACAGTTTCAAGCCGTAGATTACGAGGCCTTGTTAAAGCGTCTGTCTTTTTGCCCTCAGCCTTACCACGAGAGAGAGGTAACCGGGTTTTTTTGCCTTGAATGCCAGATTTGTGTTTGTCAAGTTTGCATATACACTGATCACAAGAATCATAATGTTGATCCGCTTGAGAAAGCAGCGGATGCCGAGAGAGCAAACATTATGGCGGCGCTCGAGTCGATAGAACAAAAGAAGAAAGTCTGTAACGATGCCGTTAAAACTTTTCAACAAGTTGTTTTAGAGCTGGAACGAAATATTACCGTTGCTAAGCGGAAGGTTTCCCAAACAGCCGAACAAATGATCGCGAAGGTTCGAGAACACGAGCGGGAAGCTACAAAAATCCTCGAAAATATACGTGTGTCTAGAATGACGGAAATAAACTCTCTAAATGAGCAAGTAAAGTCATTGATCAAACAGCTTGACCAAGCAGTTCAGTTTGCGAAAAGTCTGGTCGAGAGAAGCTCAAGTTCGGATGTTCTGAAAAGTAAGCAGAGTTTAGAGCAACGATTTGGAGATCTCGACAAGGTCACAGTCCCCTCACTTCCGGTTAGTTCATTCGTGAAGTATTTCTCGACTAATGCACTTGACAACCTAAACGTGGGGTCAGTGATAACCAATGAAAGAGATGTACGGTTGTCATCAATGGAAGCTCTTACTAAAAATCTCCAAGCTGGTCTGGAAGCAGAGCTTCTGATTTGTCCAAAGCGAAAGATTGAGGAAGAGCTTACAAGTAAATGCCAGCATGAATTTGATGTTAAAGTGCTCATAGAACCCACTGAAGATGTAGCAAGTTTAAGAACTTTTAAAAATGAAAATGATGATTTCCACGTGAAGTTTGTTCCTAAAGTACCTGGCACCTACAACATGACAGTCACGATAAATGGCGACAAACTCTTTACCAGTCCTCTAAAGGTCCACGTGAAGGAACGACGGATTGATGTTGTGGGCGAGTTAGTTCTTAAAGGGGAAATTCCAGAAAGTCCAAATTGGATTGCTGTCAACAGCAAAGGAACGATAGCTGTTAGTGACGATGAAAAAGACTGCATCCTAATGTTTGATAAGGATGGAAATTTTGTGCGAAAATTTGGCTGCTGTGGAAAAGGGCCTGTGCAGCTGCTTTGTCCAGCTGGAGTGACATTCCTGAATGATGACGAGCTTCTTGTGGTGGATGCATTGAACGGCCGAATTCAACAATTCAATTTACAGACAGAGAAATTTGTGAAGAGCATAGGAAAGAGAGGGACTGGAGACGGCGAATTTAGAGGACCCGAAGGAATTTTCATAAATGATGACGGACATGTTATTGTTGTGGATTGCTGTAACAACAGAATCCAGGTCTTAAACAAAGATGGTAAATTTATGTTCAAATTTGGGGACAATGGCCCTGGTGAGCTAAACGAACCACGTGGCTGCATTTATGACCGAAAAAA